ATTATTCTTAATATGTAGATACCAAAGAGAGAGGGCGAACCAACCAAATGTCAACTACACTGGCGTGCAAAAAAATCGGGCCACCTATAGAAAATGGACAAACTTAAGATATGATATTTTTTTATTAATTTTGTTATTATATATGGGTAGCTGTATACCCTAGGTACCTAAATCAATTATCGTTGAATAATTTAAATAAAAATTATTGCTCGAAAATAGAGGAAAATCAAATTTAATGATTTTCGCGAGTTTGGTATAAAAATGTAAGCCGCAAATTAATGGGAAAATTAAAAGATTTCGATTGGTTTTATGATTTTTAATAATGCGTATTACCGCCTATATTTTTAATTACAACTTTTAATCGATTTTTTAGAGATTTGACACACTTTTTTAGATAATCTTGTATAATAGACTTCCATTCTTCCAATAAGGCGCTTTTTAATTCTTGAATGTTGCTCGGGACTACTACGCGACTTCTAACTTTTCTTTTGAGATGGTCCCATACATGCTCTATCGGATTGAGGTCAAGGCTTCGCGCTGGCCAGGCAATAGTAGACACTCCGACCTCTTGAAGATACTGCCTTACTGATGTAGCAGTGTGTGGGCGAGCATTATCTTGTAGAAGCAGAAAATCTTCTCCAATGAACCCAGTAAAAGGCATCACATGATCTTCTAAGACTTCCGTTATATACCTAGCGGCTGTAACGGATCCATTTTCTATGAATATAAGCTCAGTTTTCGCTTCGTAACAGAGTCCTGCCCAAAACATAACTGAGCCCCCTCCATTGACACTGTTTCCCGCATAGTGCATGGTGCATATCTTTCACCTGGTCGCCGGTAAACAAAATTACGGCCTTCGGCACCATGCAAACACATTCTGCTTTCGTCAGTAAGAAGAACCTTCTTACTCTGCTCCAAATTCCAATTCACGTGATCTCGGGCAAAAAGTAATCTTGCAATTCGATGTGCAGGGGTGAATTTGGGGCCAGTTGCGGACTTGCGTGGCGTCAGGGAAGCCGCTCTAAGTCGGCGCCTTACTGTCCACTCGCTAACATTAACACCTCTCACTTCTCTCAGGAAATTTCGAACGTCAACGCCTGTGCGATGACGATTTCTTAGAGCTGATGACACAATAAATCGATCATCACGCTCTGATGTGGCTCTTCGTCGGCCGGAACCATGTCGTCGTACAAAGCCACCAGTCTCTATGTAACGTTTGTACACTCTCTGGACCGTAGAACGGCTCACAGAAAAAGCTTGAGCCACTTGACGTTGACTTTGTCCAGTTTCAAGCAAAGTCACAATTCGAGATGATTCAGCCTCGGTCAGATTCATCTTGCAGTATTTCTAACAATCGCAGATCAAAGTAGAAGTGTCTTTTTCAATAATTGGAACTCAACTAAGCTTCTAAAATAACAAAAAACAGTATTTGTGGGTTCAATCCATATTATGCAAATATTCACTAATTACTGCTAATTGACTATAATTAAGCGCACACGTGCATTTCCAGGAATTTTATGACTATTTTGAAGGAAACAAAGGCGTCTAATCTCCTTAATTACCATTGCGGTATTTTTTTTTCATCAAACAATTGCCAACAAAAAATTATGCTTAAAATTAAGGGTGGCCCGATTATTTTGCACGCCAGTGTATATTGACATATTGTCTATAACGTTCCGTTACTACATCATCCCCCTTAAAAAACAAAAAAATATTTCACACTGACAATATTATAAATTACTTAAACAAAATTTAAATTTACCTATCTTCTTTTACTATTCCAATTTTAAACAAAATTAATATTAATATTACAGAACTTTTATACAATTTTTAAATTTACTTTATCTTCTTCATTCCCTTTTACAAACGAATTATAAAATTTTACAAACAATTTAAATATATTAGTCGTAAGTTTTCAAAAACTATTTAACAAGTATAAACTAGAAGATGATTCTCATGATGTTGATATTTTACAATAAAATTGTTTTACAATAAACTAAAATACAACAGATACACCTTCAACCAGTGAGACCAAAGTCTGGCGAACCACAAAGTCTACGCTCGCCTAATGTAATAAGAGGTATACACTCGGCGTCACAAATATCGCACCTTTTAAAAAAGCAACTTTAAAATACTTTTACGCAAACTTTGTAAGGGTATGGTTGTAGGATATCATTGGAATGGTAATTTAATTGCCTATTAGAAATCAAAAACCTGTGTATGTGTTTTAAATCTTTTAATTAAAAAAACTTTTAAAGTGACCAAAGTTACAAAAAATAAAATTAAAACATTACAAGTAATTACAAATAAGTCCTTAAAATTTAGTGTTTCCTCGCCTTGCTTTGATGACAGCTTCCATCCGACCCTTAATGGACGTCACGAGTGTCACCACTTCCTCTTGGGGTATGTTCTCCCATTCTTCCGTACAGCATCCTGGACCTTTTGGAGAGTGGTGGGAGCAGGCTTTCGTGCTTGTACGTGCTTCTTTACATCGTCCCAGAAATGCTCGATCGAGTTTAGGTCTGGGCTTCGTGCTGGCCACCGTATAACAGGTTGGGTGGTTGTTGAGTGACGAGAAAGCACAAATAAAAGATTACGTCACTAATAAAATTATAATGAAAAAGTCAACACACACGTATTAAAACGTAGCTTATATAATAAGCTGTTGTGCTAGACTTTATCGAACCCTTACGCATCGCATCTCCTGTGCCTGGATCTGACTTTGTGTTGTAGTAAGTACTCCGATAGTCGATGCACTTAATGGACGCTAGAATGTTTAGCTCTAAAGCCAAACTGTTCGTTAGCAAGGAGGGACTTAGACTCGACTATCTCTTGAAGGCGAGCCAATATGAGTTTTTCATAAACTTTACCTAGCGTGCTTATGAGACTTATAGGACGGTAACTGGCGGGCATATTGCTAGGTTTACCCGGCTTACGAATACCTATCACCACGGCTTCTTTCTTTCTACTCGTCTGGGAAGGAGCAGCATAGCAACAGAGCGTTAAAAATGGTTTCTAGTAGGGATACGAACTGTCTCGGTAGGGATTTAATTATTTCATTATTTATTCGATCTGGCCCCGGGGCCTTCTTACTTATAACTTCTAACTTCGTCGTATGACGTCGGGCGAAGCGGTTCGCTCGAGGGAGGCATGGCGGCTCATGCTGTGACCTCCGAGTCTCGCGTGGACGTGACCCGGGTCACACGGTTGAATGCTAGGCGAACATTGCGATTCTATACTATCTGCACAAGACAAGTCTGCTTTATCTGAATCGTCTGACGTGAAAGAGTTGTCTGGCTTTATCAGAGGGGGCATCGTGGAGAGAGACTCGTCTCTAAAGGCCCACGACTGCGCCCAGAAACTCTAGCACTGCTTTGTTGGGCGAAAGATACACGGATGCTATGATGACCGGCTGATGGCCCGTCATGTGAACCTGACAAACCGACGCTTCGATGTTCGCGAGTGGCGGTGGATCTAAGGAGACGCAGTGTAGAGTTTTCTTAAAATAAATGAGAGTGCCGCCTCCCCTGTTGGCGGTTCTGTCATTCCTAATCAATCGGTAATTCGCGATTTTCGGATCGCGCGATGCCGGTTTTAAGAACGTCTCTACTATAATTTGATGTGAAATCGAGATCTAATCCTATGTGAGTTTTAATATTATTCGCGTTGTAAGTGCAGATAGCAATACCGCGGGTTTGGTTCGCCCTAGCCGCGAATCGGATATACGAACTAGTGTGTTGTTTACCGCCATTGGAAAGTTAATATGCGGGGGCTTGGAAGCTCGTGATCGCTTCTATGTGGCCTGCGTGTTCGCCTGGCGCCGTTCGGGACACGTATTTTATTTGCGAAAACGCTAAGTTCGCAAATGTCTAAAGAGCCGACGAAGTCCATGACCACTGAGAGGTCAGAGGCCAGGGACTGACTCGCCGGCATCGCGGGGGCTACGCGAGCCCTGAGCGGGAGCAGCGCGGGCTGTTGGGCCGGGACTGAGCGCGGAGCTGGCGCTTGCGCCGGTCGCGTTGCCTGAGTCGGTTGCGGCGCGGGCCTAGGGGCTGGCATCGGGCGCGTTACCGGGGCCAGGGTAAGGGGCGCGTTCGTGGTTGGAGTGGGCGCGGGCACGAACACCCGTGGTGCTGAGTGCTCCCTGGGTGCCTGCTGGGATTGGCGGAGAGGCCTCGAAGCCCTCTCTTTTTTAGCCCCCTTACGCGTGTGCGTACGCCAGCGTGGGACCCGGGAGCACCCGCGGTAATTCGCGGGATGCCCCTGGGTCTCACACAACGCAGCTGGGCGGCACGTTGGGGTCCGGGACCTAGCGCGGACAATCCACGGTCGCGTGGTCGTCGAGACATTTCACGCACCTCGGGCGCGCGAAGCAGTTTCTCGCAGAGTGGCCGTATAGCTGACAACGATGACACTGCCCTATTTCGCCACGCGCGTACGGTGGCACTACTTCAATGCCTGTGAGGCGGCAAACGGACTTCGGTTTAAAGATGCTTTATTTATTTCTCAAAAGAATAACATTTACTTAATGAGAAAAAATTACAAGTAGGTAGTTTAATATTATTTACATCGTGAACAACTTGATACAAAACAGAAATAAAAATGTGTTTTTTTTTTTTAAAACAAATACATATGTTCAAAAAAAATCAAAAATATGTACACCGATATCTAGATCGTCACTATGAGATAAATTAACGATAACTCTTATAGCTACATTTCTTGAAATACCCGTCAATACTTGTTTTTTATGCGCCAAAGAGCAGTTTTCAGCATGTGAGATGAACAAATATGAATTAATGTTAGTTGGGAAAGCTTATCTGAATTTTGATAACATAAATTTACATAGTCCATTAATGTTATCGTATTAAAAGTCAAACAGAATGCAGGAGAGCTAAACTGAGAGCCGTTTCTATTTTGTCAATTAATGGGAATCGAGATGATTATTGCCTTAGTCTATGTGTATGAAACTTCTATCTATCTATCTATTATCTTAATTTTTAGCTGTTAGCCTTGTAGGCCTTGACAGCGTAACCGGTTGGGGGGGGCGGGCTAGTAAGCCCGTCCTCGATGCTTAGAGCCGCGATGACTGGCTCGGAGAATGAGCGGAGGCGCACTCGCGCCTCCGGGTATGGACTGTGGGAGTTATAAAATTAAAATTAATATTATAATTAATTTTAATTAAGATTAATTGTAACGAAATTAAAACATATAGAAATTTAAAATTATACATTACCCGAAGTGGAGTGAAATGTATGTAAATGAGTGTATTTGTATACTAATACTGTATGTCACGACCGTATTAGGACGGTCGTGTAGCGGTGATCCCGACCGCGCCCGATCGCGGCCGAGGAATAACGAATCTCGGCGGTCTGCGTCGTCGCCGGCGGCGACGCATCCGAGTTCGTGTATTGGTCTGGAACGCGGCGTTCGCTAACGTAATAGCGTCGTCTGGATCTGTAAGGATGTTTCGCGGACGTCTTGCGCGCGGGTCGTTTGGTTTCGGCGTGTACGAGCATGTTTGCACCACTAGCGGGTTAGGGTGCGATACCGAGGTGTCGAAATGCCTTTGAGCGGCTTCTTTGACGAATTTTTTAATTGAGACTAGTTCGAAGTCCCTGTGAAGGTCAATATTTCTTACGTACCACGGGCAGCCGGACGCGATACGTAGAAATTTATTTTGTAAGGTCTGTAGCGTGTCGAGATTCACGTGAGCGAATGCGACACTGGCGTACGTCATGATGGGGCGTATGCAGGTTTTGTAAAGTGTCAACTTATTTCTAAGAGACAGTTTACTCAGCCTACATAGGAGAGGGTATAACCTACTGAGAACGAATGCGGCTCTTCTGCGGGTTTCGCGAAGGTGCGGCCTAAAGGACAGATTACTATCGAAAGTAACACCTAAGTATTTAACCTGTTTTTTCCAGGGGATCGGCGTGCCAAGGAGACGGACCGTCGAGACGGAATCGTGGCGGCTTAAATGAAATAGCAGCGCTGCGCTCTTATCTGGATTTACTTCGAACCTCCAGCGGCGGAACCAGGCGCCTATGGCGTCGGCCGCTATCTGGAGGCGACGATGGATTTGATCTTTAGACCGTGAACTGGTGTAAATCGCGGTGTCGTCCGCGTACAGCGCGAGTTCCACTGCCGGAGTACGGGGAATATCGCTAGTGTATAGCGCATAGAGGAGGGGCGATAGCAAGGAGCCCTGAGGGACGCCCGCTCTGACCGGGCGGGGGGAGGAAAGAGTGCCCTCCACTCTGAAGCGGAAAGTACGGTTCGATAAGTAGTCTCGCAAGATGTGAACGAGACTGTCCGACACTCCTATGTTGCGTAGCTTATGTAATAAGCCGTTGTGCCAGACTTTATCGAACGCTTTCGCTATGTCGAGGAAAATAGCCGCTGAGCATCTTCTGTAACTGGATCTGACTTTACGTTGTAGTAAGTACTCCGATAGGCGGTGCACTTGATGGACGCTAGAATGATTAGCTCTAAAGCCAAACTGTTCATGGGGAAGGAGGGACTTAGATTCGACTACCTCTTGAAGGCGAGTCAATATGAGTTTTTCATAAACTTTGCCTAGCGCGCTTATGAGACTTATAGGGCGGTAACTGGCGGGCAAGTTGCTAGGTTTACCCGGCTTGCGAATACCTATCACTACGGCTTCTCTCCACTCGTCTGGGAAGGAGCAGCATAGCAACAGGGCATTGAATATAGTGACTAGAAGGGATACGAACTGTCTCGGTAGGGATTTAATTATTTTATTATTTATTCGATCTGGCCCCGGGGCCTTCTTAGGGTTTAACCCTTTAATTACCGACGTAACTTCGTCGTACGATGTCGGGCGAAGCGGTGCGCCCGAGGGGGGCATGGCGGCCCATGCTGCGACCTCCGAGTCTATCGCGCGGACGTGACCCGGGTCACACGGTTGAGTGCTGGGCGAGCATTGCGATTCAATACTATCTGCAAGACATTCTGCTTTCTCCGAATCGTCTGACGCGAGGGAGTTGTCTGGTTTTATCAGAGGGGGCATCGTGGAGAGAGACTCGTCTCTAAAAGCCCTAGACAGCGCCCAGAAAGCCTGGGACGATGGCTCGAGCCCCTCGAGGAGCCTATCCCACGAATGCCCTCTCAACTCGTCGAATCTAGCCCTAACTTGTCTCTTGAGATTATTTAGCGCACTGCGGTTTCTCGCGCACGGGTATGAGTCGTGGGCTCTATTAGCTGCGTTCTTGCGTCTTATTAAATTCTTTAGGTCGCGCGGGACCTTGAAACGCCCGTCCGGGGGCACTGTTATGACGCGAGAGCATTCCTCTACGGTATTGTTAACGAAGTCGGTGAATTTACTGGCCGCCGCCTTCGCAAGTTCGGCGGATTCGATAATGTCTGGTATTTCATCATGTAATGGTGAATCTTGTGACCGAAGAAGTTCGGCGAACTTTTTCCAGTCTACAATTTTTCTGGTCAGTGGGCCTGAAGGGCTGTCGTGACCTAATTTAACGATTACTGGCCTGTGATCTGAATCTAACTCGGGTAACGATTCCACGGAGCGCAGTCTCAAGGCTACGTTCCTTAGAATCACTATGTCTAATACCTCAGGTGTGCCAGAGTGGCCAAAACGAGTGGGCGTCAGTGGGCCTATTACTTCGAAGTTAAGGGATGGGTGGCTGGCTAACTCATCGAGTACTCGACCCTTGGGGTTAATGCGCGATGAGTGCCAGCGCGTGTGTTTGCAGTTGAGATCTCCGGTCAAAATGACAGAGTCTCCCATGCCGAGAAGCGCCCTAATGTCGCTCTCTAGCACTGCTTTGTTGGGCGAGAGATATATGGATGCAATAATGATCGGCTGATGGCCCGTCATGTGAACCTGACATACCGACGCTTCGATATTCGCTAGTGGCGGCGGATCTAAGGGGACGCAGTGTAACGTTTTCTTAAAATAAATGAGAGTTCCGCCTCCCCTGTTGGCGGTTCTGTCATTCCTAATCAATCTGTAATTCGCAATCTTCGGATCGCGCGTAGCTGGTTTTAAGAACGTCTCTTGTACGCAGAGAACGTCTATACTATAGTTTGATGTGAAATCGCGAACTAATCCTATATGAGTTTTAATGTTATTCGCGTTGTACGTGCAGATAGTAATACCGCGGGGTTTTGTTCGCCCTAGCCGCGAATCGGATGTACGAATTATTGTGTTGTTTGCCGCCATTAGAGAGTTAATATGCGGGGGCTTGGAAGCTCGTGATCGCTTCTATAAGGCCTGCGTGTTCGATCGCGGCCTGCATACGCGCCTGAGGGGCGCCGTTTGTTGCTCGTATTTTGTTCGCGAACACGCTAAGTTCACGAATGTCGAAAGAACCGACGAAGTCCATGACCACTGAGAGGTCAGAGGCCAGGGACCGATTCGCCGGCATCGCGGGAGCTACGCGAGCCCTGGGCGGGAGCAGCGCGGGCTGCTGGGCCGGGATTGAGCGCGGAGCAGGCGCTTGCGCCGGTCGCGGTGCCTGCGTCGGTTGCGGCGCGGGCCTAGGGGCTGGTGTCGGGCGTGTTACCGGGGCCGGGGTTGCCGGCTGCGGCGCGGGGGGAGCGGCTGCTTTAAACCACGCGTTCGTGGTCGGGGCCGGCGCGGGCACGTACACCCGGGGTGCTGAGGGCTCCCTGGGTGCCTGCTGAGTATGGCGGGGGGGCCGCGAAGCCCTCTCTTTTTTCGCCCCCTTACGCGTAAGCTTGCGCCTGCGTGGGGCCCGGGAGCATCCGCGGTAATTCGCGGGATGCCCCTGGGTCTCGCACAGAACGCAGCTGGGCGGCACATTGGGGTCCGGGACCTTGCGCGGACAATCCACGGTCGCGTGGTCGTCTAGGCATTTCACGCACCTCGGGCGCGCGAAGCAGTTTCTCGCCGAGTGGCCGTATAGCTGACAGCGATGACACTGTCCTATTTCGCCACGCGCGTACGGTGGCACTACTTCAATGCCTGTGAGTCGGCAAACGGATTTTATATTGAAGATTTTCTTCCCCTCCGGCGAGAGGTCAAGAATCACGAGCACCATGTCGAATGGTGCTTTATTTTTTCCACCGTACATGCGGTGGACTTCGCGAACTGGGTATGCTTGCGACTTAAGGTCGCTCGCGACGTATTCGCAGCTAAGTTCTTTAGGTATGCCCTTGATGACGACGCGCAGACGGCGCTCGTCTTCCAGAGCGTAAGTATGAAAACTGATATTTTTCGCTCTGAAATGAGCGGTTAAAGATCGATGGTCGTTAGGCGACCCTAACTGAATTTTTATCCCGTGCGGCATAGACTTTGCCGACGTAAAATTCACTTTCTGGGCAAGCATCCACGCGGAGACGCTATCCCAGGCGGACTTGTCCTGTAAAATTACAGGCGGCGGGGGTTTTACTTTGCGCGCTTCGGGCGCGGCCGGGGCGGATGACGTCATCGGCGCTTGTGACGTCACCGGTGACGCGGCGGTTTTGGCGCGAGCTGGGCGCGTCGGTGACTCTAGCGACGCTCGCTTAACAGGGAGCGACGTCTTAACGCGCTTCCCTTTGCGCTTTTTTGAGACGACGGTCTCGAACCCGTCGTCATCAGTTACTTCCGAGCTGGACTCGGTCGCGGACTCTGCTTCCATACGGGAAGCTTCACTATGAGCCGGCGAGGAACGGCCGGACTCAGACGGGCAGGAGCGGGGCGACGCCTCTACGCTCGATGATTCGGGGTTTGCACTCTGCGAAACGATCTCCCGGGGTACGACCGCGTACACCTCCGGGTAAAATTCCCGTAGGAAGGCCAGAAGGCCCTCGGAACTTGCGTTTTTGGGGTCCATCTTCTCTGGACCCCCACTCGCGGGCTAAACTTATATACTAGCACCTTATATCTAATCACTTCCTAGCGTCCCCCTTGCCGCGGGGCAGGGGGGGTGAGTAACGGTACCTAAGTCCTCGCCTCTGGTGAGAAGCGTAGGTTGAGTATAATCTGCACTCCACTTACCTCCCAGGTATTACCCTGATCCTTCTTCGGGAATATCAGCCGCCGGTAACGGCAGCGGGCAGCAAAAGTCGTACTACGTAACAGCGTCCTGGCAGCGGGCATAAACACGTCCGCTCGGGTCGGCGCGCGAAGAGCGACTCCTGGCAGAAATCACATAATGTATGGTTCAGCTTGAACAGAGCTGTCATATTTAGCAACAGGAAATGACTGCACTGTCGCTATTACCAGGCAATATGAGGGCGTAGTAATATAAACCCTTTTTTGATTTTATTTACATTTGCCTGTTGCATTTAAATAACAAAAGCGGTAATCAATTGACAATAAAAGCTTACAAGATGTTGCTATTCCGTAAACCAAATTATTTGATATGGATGTATGTGCTGCAGTATATTCCTGGATAAAGTTATTGAACATTTTTCCTTTATATATTGTCTCATATTATTTTATTAATTGTAAAATAAAATTATTCATATTCATCACGACCTTAATCAAAACTAGAACGATGGTCACTAGATTTTTTGTGTAAAATAGTCATGCTTGGAGTATTGTTTAAGTTTACATGGATCAGGATATCCTTATCTATTGAGCCAATCGATCTATACTTAATTTCAACAGCTGATGAACTTTCAAGATTTTCGCCAAGACGAGTGCGTACGTCACCACGTATAAATCGTCTGCGGCCTTCACCTTCTGCATTATAAATAGACTATTTTAGCCTCACTTCGATTTCACATTCATCGTATAAATAAGGATCACCATTTTAAGAAAATAGGAATTTGGTACATGTTGAGTGCTCTTACATTTTGCTACTGCAAGAAACGATTTGACTGATTTTAATGCATGTCGTACATTTACAGAAATTGGAGTCAATGAGTGTTCGGATGGATCGATCGACGCTGGTGCAGCCGTCATGAGCTTAATAACAATGCTCTTTAGTTTATCCGTTAAATAGGTGACTCTATTGTCACGCTTTAACGTCGTTTATTGTCATTACTATTGCTATTGTTTTTATTATTGGGTTTATCCTCAGGTATATCATCGGCCCAACTTGTCGAAGCCATTGGTTCATTTCTTTCTTTCTGGCTAATAGGTGAGCTCGTCTTCACCACCGTCCCAACTCTAGGTAAATCGCTATCTTTATGTTTCTGAGTCTTGTCTTTCTTTTTTCTCTCGACTACCTGCAGACCAAAGGACTCCAAGTCCTTAGCTAGATCGCTCCTGTTTCCAGAAACGCGCACCTCCGCATCATGGAAATTCCCTCGCGAAACAAGAGTGACTGTTACATTTTCATCATTATAAGTGGTATGCATGATCCTGGCTCCTGAATGTACCATACTCGAGAACTAGACCTCGAGTGAATCTGGACTTATGAATAAACGTGTTCTATATATTGGTATATGTGGCTCATTACCCGATACAAAAACCAAACGATTCACTGGCGCTCTCTTATCTTTCAATCTCCATTTTCTAACTCTAATAAGAAATTCTTCGCCTGTTGAGTTTTCAAAATTGTACGTGTGTACAAAAAATAGTCGCTCTTTGACTGTTGGGTCCATGTATAGACTCGCTCCTTCTTCATCATCGTCGCGTCTGTTCCTATGTTCCTTTTATCCACTGCTAAATATCTTCGCTGCCACTACACTGATATGTATGATCTTTCACGACACATGCTAGTTGCCGACTGATTTATTTATAATATACCCACACCTTTATATCTTAATATTACTACATCTTCCCCTTCAATGAGAAAGTTATACTTATGAGAATTAGAAATATACAAAATAGTAAAAATCTACAATAACAAAAATTATGAATTCTTTTTTTTAATGTACTATATACCTATATTATTATTTTTTAACAATATAAACCATATAAATCGTATACCTACACTGATAATGACAAGGCTAATTAAAATCTTTGTTTTTTCTAAAATCTTTTATTATTTATATATATATATATATATATATATATATATATATATATATATATATATATATTTGTAATTTCCTTTAATGCTACTACTTATGTATATTAATAAATTTTATCGAGATATACAATATAAATATAACAACAAAAAAAAAATATAATAAACATAGTAACAATCAATATTAGTACATATTCTCGTTTTTTAATAATAATTTAGCTTGCCTTCTTGTAATAGGCCCATAAATATTCTTTGGAGGGCTACTACGTGCATGCTTAGATTCGCTATTCTGTTCTGAAATTAATTTACTTGTACAGCCCTCTTCAAATGGCTCACCTTTGCCTACTACGCTCGGTTTGTCCGAAGTTAACGCCGTGTCACCCGACTGTATGATGTCATGTTTTGCTTGTGCCCGTCTGCGCACTAGATGACGCCTATTTCGCTTATATTTACGTCCAGCTTCATCTTCTACAATGTATGATCTGGGTTCAACTGCCTGATGCAAAACTTTTACGAGTTTACGCTGCTTACCGTCGACCATGACAACTTTGTCATTATTATGCAGGACCGGGAGACATTTTGTTGTTTTATCATAATTATACTTTTGCTTTTCTTGTTGTTTAAGCTGTAGTGTCATAGTCTTGAATGTCCTGATTCGATATCTCATGAACAGGATTCTCAAAGACTGCATCCATTGTAATCATGGCGATTTCGTCATGTGTGAGAGAAGCTTCTCCTAAAGTGGAGGCCCGTATTATTGAGAGAGGTGGTGAGTTAGTTTCTGAGATTGTTGTTGTGATTTCATCATCCATTTCAGCGTCCTGAAGCGTCTAGCATGCAGGTCTAGCATGGCTAACAAAGTAGCAGTCTGTCTCCCCGTCATAAAGAAGGTCCTAGGAGCCTCTCCTTCGACAAGTCTGACTCGAACAGGTAAACTCGTATTCGCGTATGGAGAGGTCAAAAATGAGTGTTGGCCAAAGGTTCTGAGGAATCCAGGCATGTATGTGTATAAGCCTCCCCGAAATCAACATTTACATTATCTACTACCGAAGTCTGAGTCAATCAATGAATATATAAGGTAATGGCCAAAAATTATTTTAAAATAATTATAAAGATTGGAATTGTTTTATATAGTTATGATATATATATTTTTTCTGTAATAGCAAACAGTAATATTAATATTGTTAATAATAGAGAGTTTTGTAATATGTAACAAAAATAGTATCTTAATTAAAAAAAAATATATTATAATTTAATATCTAATGGGTATTTCATATATAACTTTTAATATTTATCATTTAATAATTTCTTTCTTTTTTTAAAGAATTATAATCCAAAGTAGGTACAATTACATTTATTGCAATATTGAATCTTTTGTAAAAATTAAATAGATTCAACATTTTTATATTAATTATAACTATTTATTGGACTAAAATCTTGCATGGAAACTGTTCCTAACGATAGATCAGGTTCATAACTACATATAAACCGCGCTTCATATTTCCTGACGCGAAACTTTTACTTATTTGGAAAGGAATTCGTACACTAATATGATTCTCGAGATCTTATTGCAGCCTGATGCAATAACTAGTAAACTTCCATTGTTTATATGATATTAAATTCGACTCTTTAAAAAAAGACAAAATCAAAGTTTGAATTGAAAATGACCAGCAATTAAAATAACTGTCAAATAATTATATTTTTTAATCATTATGTTTAATTTACCCTAAATGTACTATAATTATTTTAAATACATGTTTTTTTATTATACATAATATATGTAAAGGAGCCTATAGATTAGATTATTGGTGGTGGATAATTAGAAATCTAGGAATTTAATCTTAACAAAAACGGAATTGTAACTTAAATGACATGTTTTAAGGACAAGAACTTAGTAGATGAAAGGCTAAAATTGAATGTATGGAAAAAATTAATAAATGATAAGAATGTTTTTGAGTGAGCTTAACTGTAGGTAAAATGGGATGAAAGGAATCAAGAGTTGGTTCTATTAACAATTAGCTTTTTTACACCGATGATCGGTCTGATCAGCCGATAATTGTGAAAATGTTAATCTGTTAATAAGTTCCTAATTTAGCGTTTGCTTTTGGTTCGAGAATAACTTATATATAACTGAAATGACAAATATGAATAATATTGTTTTGCCTGCCTATTTTCTTGATCATGTTGTACGCGAGTCGTCTGCGTGAGAGCAATAGTGCAAGAGGCCAAATAAAATAAATAAATATGATGAAAAGGGCACGCCTATGTAAATAATGACTAATTAATTGAAAAATTAAGTTGTCGATAATGATGAATTTACTATTAATAAACTGACTTTAAACTATTCCCGGATTGACCAATTTATTTGCTGTAGTTAATTTTTTTTTGCATTTACTTGCTAATACTTATAATATATTATATTCTTTTTACGTATGATAAGATTTATTAATTATACTGAAATATTTTTTTTTATAATATTTCTTTAAAATGAATATTTTTATTTTAAGTTTTAACATATTAATAAAACATTTAGTAGTTAATATACCAAGGTTACGTAAAAACATTTTTTTTTATTGAAACATAGTTTTTTTTTTAATAGTGAAGAAAAGATAAATTAATTTAAAAAACAATTTATTATTTAACGAATGCGTACAAGTGCATACTGATGATATATTAAATATTTTTGTTAACTATTCAAAATTTTTGGATGATTTGGTTTAAATTGTAGATTCAAAATTTTAAAAAAATATATTAGTACTACTATTATTATTTACCTTATGAATTATTAATTTATATAGATATATTTTCCTGTTACTTGTTATGTCATGCAAATGTAATTTTTATTTGTGTAAGTTCTGTATTAATTAAATAATAATTAAATTACATAATGTGATATATTTCCAAATATGTAAAGATTAATAAAGTACCTATACAAAAATGATATTTGTAAAAAAAAAATTTCTTATTTTTTTTTTTCAAAATGCCGAGGGTGATGTAGTGTGTATGTGTATAAGCCTCCCCGATACCTATATATTGTACGACCTGTTATAATTAAGAGAGTATTAAACGAACCTTGGAGCCAAACAGTTGTCTCATTAAGTTCCCGCATTACAGGAGTATATGATGATGATGTTCTCCTAGCCGATTCCGGCCACGGCGGCCAATCGCATTGAGATTAGCCAACTGCGCAGGAGATATTATAGTGCACTCTCTATTCCTATCACTCATACTCTGGTGGGACGACCACTCGACACAACCGGTGAGAGTTAAGGCGCAGGACCGACGGCTTTACGTGCTCTCCGAGGCACGGGGGAGAAACACCGCCAACTACCCAACTTCGGGCTGTTACTGAGACTTACTATACAGAAAGAATCAGTAACTAAACTTGGCCCGACCTGGGACTCGAACCCAGGACTTTCGGGTGTGAAGCCGTACATGCTAGCCACTACACCACCGAGGCAGTTAAGAAAAGTGCCAAGGAGTATAAATGGTAGTGATACCGACCATCTACAATCAGCATGGCACATTATTGCTGCTTTTAACTGTCGATGGTCATTAGGTACCCAATTGGAATAATCTAAGCAGCTTACTTGGGCTTTTCCCTGTGTAAATATATAATCATTGTCAAAATCGACAGTATTTGATGACTCATTTTCCGGGGTGATGCTACGGTTTTCTGGTTTTTGGTGTAGGTCGTAAACACCTTTCATAAAGCTTCCTACTTTTTGTGGTGGTAAACCGTTGATACTGCCTTTGTACATTTTTTCCTGCCCAGCTGTTGCTAAAAATTTACCTATTACGATATAATGCGCTAATCTAGTAAGTGAATCGAAAAAAGTTATGAATCTGGGCGTCAAGTTGTTGCCTTCAGCAATCTGCGCTCTTCTTGTTCCGGGTTCGTAGTCTAGCTTACCTTCAGTTACAACTTTCTTCTGCTTAGACTCGGGTTTATACCTTACCGTGTTATATGATCCTGTTTGTTCCCCTCTCCTCCAGGGATCTATTCTCAATTTGAATGCCAACTCGTACCAGTTGGGAAACTTTTCCAAGAACTCCTTATGGTTATGGCCTCTATCGAACAGGCCTGTAGCTCCTGAGTTGTTAACATATACCATGACTTCTTCCTTAGTAGCAAAGTCAAAGGAATCTTTACTCAGTAGACCTTTTTCAGTAAGCATGAGTTCCATAATATGATGAAGTTCCTTCAACACTTGAGGCTGTGTGGTCCCGGGATTGGTGTCTAGGCGCTTTTTAATTGCTGCATCTCGCCACTCAGGTGTATACTGCGTCTGCCCATAAGTTGCATTGTCCTTGTTTATTCCAAATATATTGTAAACAGCGTCACTTATAAGTCCATTATATTGATCTTTTTCGATTTTAGTTTTCTGTTTTCTTTTAACTGATCCTACTAATTTTAGATTTTCAAATACTGTTTTGGTTGCTGGCTCTATTTTAACATTGGTTCCGGACATTGCATTTACTTCTTTATACCAGACTAAGTTTAGCTTCATAATCCTGACTCCAATTGACTTTAACTTCTTTTCCTTTTAAGTTATATTGTATAAGACCTCCTGCCTGCATCTCAGTTTTTTCGACTGGTTTATATAGTACGCCGTTACCCTGTAATGTGTACCAGTCATTACGTACCAAGGTAGAATAACCTCTTCCCCTACATGCTAAAATTTGATGAGCTTTTTGTAGGTTATCATGTATGATATTCCATACATTTCTAACTCCTGCAATTTCCGCTTCATACTCTTGTTTGTACCCTTCTAGAAATAAATAAAATTCTGTGCTAAAAAGTGATGATGTTCCTACTTCAAAAACCCGAATTTTCTTAAAGTGTAACCAACTGGTAGAAAATCTCCAATCTACCTTGGAAGTATCCTGTAAATTTGATCAGAGCTCGACCACCTGGTTGGAGAAGTTTAAAATAATTTAAATACGCGTCTAACATTGACCAGCCATTAGGAATTGGCTGCTTTCAGTAATTCTTCTGTGCTTCACTGGTGTGCTTAAATTCCCCAACATCGAAAATTATTAGTTAGCGTGCGGATTTCGACTGATTGGAGTTAAAACCTTTAATTAACTTAAAAAGATCGTCTGCTAATGCGCGGGCGCCGCTAACGGTAAACACCGAGGTGCGGTGCGCGGGAGGAAAGATGAGCATTGCGTCACCTCGATCAGCTGTCCGCGAGGCTCAAGTTCAAGGCTTCTATGCGTATTTTATTTATTATTTATTTAATATTATTTATTTTCTATTATGTAGGGGGTGTGTAAAGTGTGTGAATTTATTTGTATATATTGTCTAAAAATTGTTATTTATAATTTATGTTAAATATTTAGTATTTTATATATAATTAATGTAAGTCAGCCACATATTCACCTGCAAGACGGACACATTTTTCAGATCTTTCAATTAATTTATTTATACACTCATAAAAAAATGTTTTGTCTTTGTCCTCAAAATACGCTGAAACTGCCTCCTTAACTTCATCATCGGTGGTAATTTTTTTACCCCGCAGCTCTTTTTTTATTTTTGGAAAGAGGTAATAATCACTCGGGGCCAGGTCTGGGCTGTAGGGTGGGTGGTTCAAAATATCGAAGCCCACTTTAAGCAGGGCAGCCAACGCAACGCGGCTCTTGTGAACGGGCGCATTGTCGTGCAAAAGCAGTACACCTTTCGTCAATTTTCCCCGTCTTTTCTGTTTAATGGCTTCTTTTAGTCGCTCTAATATTGAAGCGTAGTATTCTCCGGTTATAGAAACACCTTTATCTTTATAATCGATCAATAATATTCCTTCCGAGTCCCAAAAGACCGTTGCCATGAGTTTCCCAGCTGACTGTGACACCTTAAAGTTCTTGGGGGGTGCTGTGTCCTTTTTATGCCACTGCATAGAGTCTTGTTTCGACTCATGTTCATAATGATGAACCCAAGTTTCGTCTCCAGTAACAATTCGACTCAATACACCATCCTTGTCTTCATTGCAGAGGTCCAAAAATGCACGTGAACACTATACGCGTTGTTGTTTTTGTGGCGGCGTGAGCATTTTCGGACCCATCTTTTTTTTTTTTTAACGTTGGAAAATGCATTTACGCACGACGTGTGGGACTCACCGGCGTAATACAGCCAGTACTACCCACTAAAACCCAACAAAACCTTCCCCCGTCTTAATGGGGCGACGCAGGATTGCTTATGCATTCAACTACGACGCCCCGACGGCAGGTCTGCCGAAGCAGACCACCACAACCATGGGATTGCTTCAAGGTCCACTCTGCTATCAGAGAAGTACCAGGAGTAACCCGCATGGTACACTGCCCCCCGAAGAGGGCCACCTCCCACCGCCCACCGAAGTGGGCAACCTCCCTGTGCCTTTCTTAGCTTCGCGCCCTGTTGGATTGCCGGGCACTACTGAGCCCCCCCACCACGACAAGGTGAACGCACGTTGGGGGGGGAAGCGTATCTAGAAGAACATCGTATGTGGTCTTTTTTGTCGATACTAAAATTTCATCAAAATAGGTTTGAGGCTTGCGTAAGAACTCCCGGTCATAAATAAGTAGGTGGAAAGTCAAGCATGGGATGAGCACCTCCACAATGACACCTTTGAATTCGGTGAGGTTCAAGAAAGCTGCGTGGATACTTTCAGAAACAGCTCTGTTCTCTAGGGATGTCACAAACTCGTCTTCACGAATATGCACCATCCAAGCGGCGAGTTTATGTGCTGTGTGGACTGTATACGATAATCTAGGATTATCTAGTGTGTTAGTAGGGATCAGATGTCGGTCCTCTACTTGAGTAACATCACCAATGACCTCTGGAGGGGAAGGCCCTGGTATGAGCATGATTCTAGCGAAAATGTCTCTGGTGCAGCTCCCACACGCAGCATTTGTGAAAAATAATCATGGCTGTGGCAGGAGGTACATATCCATATTCTCGATACCATTCTGAGATAACAGCTTGTCCATACAAAAAGTCTTCTTGAAAACATATATTGTAATTGTTTCCTTTCTTCGCGTATAAAGTAGCGGTGTCTGAGACTACCCTCAACCAGGACAGGACATTAGGGCATCCGTTCCACATTGCTCCGCTGCGCAAAGCAGGACACGGCAGGCGGTGAGATAACATGCCCGAGTAAACCTGCGCAGTAAATGGTTCTAGCTCACTTAGTGACAATACAGTTTTTTCTTCTATCAATGTCTGTAGTAGTTTCTGTTAACCATCACTTGCCTTCGGTTTAAAGATGCTTTATTTCTCAAAAGAATAACATTCACTTAATGAGAAAACTTATAAGTAGGTAGTTGAATATTATTTACATCGTGAACATGATACAAAACAGAAATAAAAATGTTATAGGTATAGAAACATCAAATATCAATCATTAGGTAATAGGATTAATACACAAATTTTATATTTAGTCAAACAACATCATTTTTACATAATGTTGTGGGTAGAACGGTGTTACAACTAGAATATTTATTAATTGGTAAACACAAAGATATAAAGAGCTTGTTACTAGAAGAGATACGGATAGAATTTAGTAATAACAATGAGTATAATAATAAAATGTTAACTATTATATTATTCTAGTAAATATACAGATTATATTTTGTTCAGTTGTATAAGTATTTCATTTAAGAATATATATTTTTTTTTTTATTTATTATTATTATTTTTCTTTTATTTGTTAAATTATAGGTATATTGTTTAACACATGATTTTTTAAAAGTTTTTTGAATTTATGAAATGGTTTTGTTTCTATTAAATTTAATGGTAATTTATTAAATATTTGAACGCCTTCGTACATTATATTGTGTTTGCCGTAGTTAGTCCTTGGTTTAATTGAACTTATTTGATTTGAATTTCTTAGTGAATGTTTTAATGTATGTAATTTCTTTGTGAAGGATATATTTGTATGTATTAATTCGTTTATAATTTTGTATATTAAAATTGAAGTATTATACACGTATGTTTGTTTTATACTCATAAATTTAGTTTCTTGGTACAGTTTTTCAGTAGGAGTCAAATAGTCATAATGAAAAAGCACTTTTATTAATTTATTTTGCAGTCTCTGTATTTTGCAGCGATTAGTTGGTGCTGCAGTGCCCCAGAGTTCAATTAGGTAGTCTATATGGGGTTTTACCATTATGTTATAAATAATTAATCGAACTGGTTTGGGAAAACAACGTACATTGCCGCGTAGTACTCCCACCAAGGAAGATAATTTAGATTTAATTTTGTCTAAATGAGGCTTCCATGTTAAACAGCTATCTAAAGTAATACCAAGATATTCTGCACTTTTTGTCCTATTAACAACAGTACCATTTATAGTTAAAGGATCAAAACTCCCTATTTTCTTATTTTTAGGTGCAAAGATAATATAATTTGTTTTTTCAGTATTAACAGTAAGTAAGTTGCTCTGCAGCCAATTGTTTAAATATACCAAATCATTTTGTGCATCTTTTACGATAGAATTTATTGAATCACCATAGTAAAACATACTTGTATCGTCTGCATATAACGTTAAATCTCCATTTAACCCAATATTGCTAATGTCGTTAATGTAAATTAAAAATAAAAGTGGACCTAATATGGAGCCTTGTGGTATGCCACATGTAATTGAAGCAGTGTCGCTAGTGTGTTCTCCTATTTTGACTACTTGCTGCCTGTTTTCAAGATAAGATCTAAAAATGTTTAGTGCTGTACCTCTAACACCGATATCGTTAAGTTTTTTTAATAGAAGTGCAGTACTTACGGTATCAAAAGCTTTTTTTAGATCAACAAATATGCCCAGAGCTATTTGTTTTTGGTCTATTTTAAGTTTAATTTTAGTGATAAGATCCATTGTTGCAGATAGTGTGTTGGATTTGGGTCTAAAACCATATTGTTTACTGTAAATAAAGTTTATTGAAGTTAAATAGTTATTAAGACGGGTGTGTAATATTTTTTCAAAAATTTTGGACAACACTGGTAGTACTGATATCGGTCGGTAGTTTCCAGGATCAGTACGTTTGCCTGATTTGTAAATTGGACTAACTTTGGCTATTTTGAGACTGTCCGGAAAGACACCATCATGCAGGCACCGATTTATGCAATTAGTGAGGTCATCAACAATCAAGTTTCTTAGACATTTTATAGCTTTCGTGCTAACACCATCGATACCTACCGAAGTGTTGCTATTAAGATTATTAATTATTTTGAGGACTTCATCCGTAGTAGTAGGTGTTATTTCAGAAAATAATATCTGTGAGTTGGAAGTATCTGAGAGTGGTGGGACAGACGTTAAATATGTATGTGTATGAAGTGATTTGGAAATTTTTGATGCTAACGTTATACCTATAGTAGAAAAATATAAGTTAAAACAGTTACAAATTTCCATTGGGTCTGTTATTATGTTAAGGCCAATCTCTAATTTTGTGGGAATACTAGTATATTTTATTTTGTTATTAGATATACTATTAAGCAACCTAAACATTTTTAACGGTTTTTTGATGGAATTTTGAAATGCTTTTTGATAGTAGTTACTTTTGGTCAATTGTATGTCTTGAGCTACTTGGTCCCTTTTGTTCACAAACTTTTGTTTAATTTCTATGTCTTTTGGTTGAATTTTATGTTGCTGCCATAAGAAGTTTCTTTCATTTATGGCTTTAATTATATTTTTGTTTATCCAGTCGGTTTTAGGAGGATTAAGAATTTTTATTTTTGTAAATTTACTGTTGCTGATGTTTTTAATAATTATTTTTTCAAGATCACTATACTCTAGTAACGTACCCTTTGGAATATCCTGCTCAACATTTTTATAGAGATTTTCATAGTTAATAGCTTCATAATGAATCTTCTTTTTTATTTCTGGACAATATTGTTTCAGTTCCAGGTACATCTGCTTATGATCTGACATCGCTGACTCTACAATAGCTAGGTTAAAGTTATGTTCTTTTAAGTTGGTTGATACGTGGTCTATTATAGTTTTTGTTGATGAAGTTTCACGCGTGCAATAAGAAGGCTCCACACAGTTAAGAATTGTGTATCCATTTTCATCAATCATCTCCGTGTAGTTTAACGTAGTGTGGTCTTTTTTAAGCAACAAATCTATATTATAATCTCCAAAAACTATAGCCCTTCTTCTTCTTTCTAATTGTAGAGAATATTCTTCAAGAAATTGATTCACTTTTGTACGGTCAGGTTTATAAATTAATCCAATATCCAGATTGTATTTATCAATATGTATCCATAAATAATGTATATTCCTAATACAGCAGTCCTCTATTAAGTTGTGACTTAGGTTGTTGTTTATAAACATTGAGATACCACCACCAGTAGTGTTCTGTCTGAAGTTGTAATGATGAGTATATCCCGGTAAAATAAGTCTCTTTGCTTGATCTTCACTTTTTATCCATGTTTCTGTGATGACAATAATGTGTATTATGTTTGCAAAAGAGTCTAAAGAGCATTTTAATTCATCAAATTTTCCCTGACCTACAATACTTCGAGCATTAATATATAAGAATTTCAAAGACTTTTGACGAAATAATATCTGTATATGTGTTTGTTAGTTGGTAAGATATTATATTGCTTTTTATTTGATAAAAATCTGCATTAGTTTTGCTTATTAGTTTTTTGATGCGGTTTTTACTATTTTAGGTATACTCTTAAAATATTTTATTTTTAGGTTTTTTTCGCCATTTTTAATTCGTTGCTCAAGCTCTTTATTGAGGTTCTGTATAAAAGTTTGTTGTTGCTTAGTTTTATCGGAAAAAATTTTGGTATTGCCTAGTTTACAACTTTTCTTCTTCCTTAATATTATCTTTGGTATTTCATCCGAGTCAAAACAAACCTTTATTGGTCGACATCTTTCTTCTTTATGATTTCCAAGCCGAAAAATTTTAATTGGATTGGGACATTCTTTATAGATGTCTTTTAATATGTTGTTAATTGCATTTGTATCATCACTTTGTCTTTTATTTTCATCAGGATTTTTTGATTCCAGTATTCCAGTAATTATAAGATTCTTTTCTCTCGCTATACGTTCTCGTAGCTCAATCATAGTATTCTCTGTTATGTTAGATAGGCTATCACGCGATTCTGTCGACCTCATTTTTAACTTTTCAATCTCATTTTGTAAGCTTTCAACTTTCTCGCAAGTGGTGCTGGTAGAAACTTTTAATTCTGTGACTTCCGCTTTAATAGTACTCTGTTCTAAGACTAGGTTATCCGCCATGGCTTTAAAATTATTTACTTGATCTTTTATAGAAGCAACATCTTGACTAAGCTTGTCGGCCGCAAGTTTTTGTGCCTCGGTAAATTGGCCCATAAAATCTAACAGTTTATCCATTTTGTTGCGTATCTCCACTAGTTCTTCTTTAATTTCTGAGTCTTGGTCGGGCTGCTTTCTTTTTTGACGGTTAATAGATAGTGATAGATTGCTTTCATTTAAAGAGAATCCATAATTTAACAAGTTAGGTTGCGATGCACAACGTTCATTTTGATTGTCGCTTCCAGTAGGGGATCGTAACACATTCATGATATCTGTGTTTTTGTGACGCTTATCCAAGACGAAGCGGGAGGAAGGTAATGCAGCGGCTTGCTAATGCTCAGTCTTGATAGGTGATTAAAAACGAGGGCACTGGCTACGACAATTTTCACTTTAAGCTGTTGACTTAAAGTTTATTTTTAATCAATTTCACAATTATATTTTTACAAGTAAATCACGTACACGTCCGATTCGCACGCCTTCACCCAGCTTTTAGCCTCAAAGAGGGTCTTTATATTTTCAATCATACTGCCAACCTCTAACACTTGAAGAGCGGCCCGTTTAGTCCTCACCCGGGTTTGGGATCCTATATACGGAGTGCGTGGACCTCTTTCATAGAAGCAGTTCTTCTCTGAAGTTCCCGACCATCCCAACATAATTGATGAGGGAACTGTTGTGTCATCGATGTTATCCCAGGACTTCAGGATTAGTTTGTCAGAAAGTGTAGGCATCGTTATTCCTTCTAAAGGGATACCCCACAATGTTTCTCGAGTTTTTTGGGTCAAAGCGGTAACACAGGGACAATTCTCTAGAACCTTTGTGAAGGGTCTATTCTTAGCTTTTATGTAGTGTCTTGATATTCTAGTTTCATACGCTTGTATTGTAGTCAAGAGACTCTTCTCATCGATCCAGGTACCTAGAGACGCACTTTGAATTGACCTAGAGGTGGTAAATTTACCTATAACTTTTTCTCGCACTCCTATGTTTGAGAGTTGCCATAATTTGCATAAAAGTTTTGGATTTGTTGGTTTAATAGAGAGTAAATCTCTTTTCAAACGCTCTTTTTCTTCATCAGCTACTGTACTGTGTTCAGTTAGATGTGTTCATCTACAAGATCCTTGTTTTTTACCAAATTGGGTAGTCCTTCTTTGAGTTTTCGCCTGAACAAGTTTTCAGGCTGTGGGGGTATGTTTAGCGGGATGCTTCCGGGGTCTTTAATTAATTGTGTGTAGTCCAGATGAGAAAAGCGTGTAATGTCTAGAAGCTGGTAGACACAGTCTCTGAACTGAGGCCTAAGGAGTAAATGCTTCATGACGCTGAGTCCCAAAGAGAGGGTGTCTTGGGTTGCGCGGAGAGCAAACTGGGGATATAGCACAACTGGATACCCTCCTATTGATCTGTTCATCATCAAGAGTGTGGTCATCCATTCATCCGACATCGTAAGGAACTCCGGGTGGTATCTCCATAGGAGGTTGGCTGCTTCAAATACGGTAATCATGTATGCTGGTATGGCTGTGATATCATCGCTGGCTACTGAGGCTCCACTAGAGAAAAGACCTGCAAGCACAGTGTTTAGGGTGTAGACTGCCTGGTTAGCCTCGCTAGTGAGACGTGATGCCTTTTTTATGGCACCGCTCACCTGAACCCCCACCCCATCTATGAAGTATTTTCTCCCATACTCTAGTAACCTCTTTGATACCCATGACTCTGGAACTTTAATAACAATTCCTGACTCTGTACAGATCTGCTCTAGAACTGTTAGAAACTGTTGGGTGTAGGTGTCAGGCGTCAAGCCTCTCTCATTAAGATATTCTGATGAAGGTATTCGAAGTACGATAATCTGGTTATCACCTTGACCAAGCAAAGAGGCGGTCGTATCACATGCATGAGCGGCGCGGAGGATAATCAGAATCGTAGCCAAGGTCCATCCTTTTTGTCTTAAGCCTTCGAGCCAAGCTTCGGGTCCCACAACGCATCGAGGTCCTTCTACTGGATCTCCATTGATATCTTGGTCAGGGGGCTCATATCTGTCCTGGAAGAGAAGAGTAGAAATCAGGGGAAACAGATGGGTGAACCCATACACATTTTGAAAACCGAATAAGTTGTCTAGGCTCCGGAAAAGGGGTTCTAAAAGTTCCGCACGAAAATGTGTACACCATGACGAAAAATCAATGATGATGTTTACGTAGTCATGATCTTCACCTGGACAACTCATCCTGATCAAAGTCTTGGTTAACTGTTATTCTGTTAAGGTCATTGACTGATGTTTGATGTAACGGAAGATGATGTCAGCCAAATTCTTCTCTGTTACCACTTGATACGCCCTCATTTCGGGAGTCATCTTCCCATAGCATATTGCATCCTCTTCTTTGAACTCTCGTTCTTTTGGCACAGCCACCATGACACGCCATTCTAGAGGGATAATTCCTGAGTCTATGAGTTGGATTATTTCACGGCAGTTAAAGATCTCAGTCGTTAAGTAGTGCATTACCACACTTTTTGTTGTGGGTGCGGGTCCAACAGGAAAGCGTCCGTATTTTGTACGGAAGGCTTTGCCGTCATACTCATGTATCCATTCGTTCTTTCTAAGTATGATCGCTTTGTCAGATTTGATGTCTATGGTGTCGATATAGAAGTTAAACTCAAAGGTTTTTAGCAGGGATACACCCTCAAAATCTTCTGGATCCCATTTGTAGGTGGCTGTCTCACCCCATTCATTGGCCTGGTGACATGCGCTTATTAACGGGTTCATAAAGGGTGACATCTCCATATGTGGTCATTTTTTGTGGGTCTTGTAGTACTGACGACAGAATTCTTTCTTGAACATATTATAGATTTTTCGCGCAGCACTTTGGAGACCGGGTTTTATCACAGTCCCCTTCTTCCTCCAGCTCAGGATGCTCGCGTCCATATTAATGATTGGGTGACCAGCAACTTTCCACAATCCGGCCAATTCCAGTTTCATCATGGCGTGGGTTACTCCCGTTATGGTTCCCGTGGCTTGATGGTAGAAAGCAGTGTTGAGGAGAAGAGGATCAACATCGGCGGTGATAGTGGCGAGGAATACAGGGGAGGACTCTAGATCTCTAAGAATGGCACCTATAACAAGAGAGGGCCACATTTTTAACAACAAATAGGCCTTTTGGTGGGTTGTGGTGAGCAGTGTCAATTAGTGATTGAGGCAAGTTCTGTATTTATATGAGAGGGACTGTCCTGGGTACTTATCGTTATGAATCCAGCAATAGCAGTCTACGGTAAACCAAGCAGCACACATGTCGGAGAAGCATAGAATCATTGTATAGGGAACGACATAACAGGTTCGAGGAGAGACCCTGATGAAACAAATTTCAGCATCGAAGGTAATCTCTACAGTTCCAATCTTTATGCATTGGCGAGGGTGGGGTGATTGCGCCACTGAGTGAATGGCTCTGGCCCATGAAGAGGAAATATCGGAGAAAAGAGTATCTAGTGGAAATGAGGATGATGTTATGGGAGGAGGTTCACAGTGGTAAAAGTGTCTATATGCCTCTTGCATAGCAAAAACCGGTTCCGGACATTGCATTTACTTCTTTATACCAGACTTTAAGTTTAGCTTCATAATCCTGACTCCAATTGACTTTAACTTCTTTTCCTTTTAAGTTATATTGTATAAGACCTCCTGCCTGCATCTCAGTTTTTTCGACTGGTTTATATAGTACGCCGTTACCCTGTAATGTGTACCAGTCATTACGTACCAAGGTAGAATAACCTCTTCCCCTACATGCTAAAATTTGATGAGCTTTTTGTAGGTTATCATGTATGATATTCCATACTTATTCAGATCTTTACGTGCCTGTACATGGTGAGGTTTCTGTCTATGGTGACCCCGAGGTATTTTGCGTTTTTTTTCCACTCGGTGTCGTGTCCCTCTAGCCTGAGTTTTGGAATCCTGTCAAGATGGTATTGGCCTGTGGCTAGGCTTTGTGTCTTTGTGATGTTCACTTTCATGCGCAATTTGGCGAGCCAGTCTGGTAGGAGGTCTAAGGACCTTTGGAGTTTGACGACTGCGTGCTTGGGTGTGATGGAGCTTGTCATCATAGCTATGTCATCGGCATACAGCGCGAGGGACGACGACGGCTCGAGCGGGATATCATTGGTGTACACTGAATAGAGTGCCGGGGATAGACAGCTACCTTGTGGTACTCCTGCTTTGATGATTCTTGGTGTTGAAGTTGTTTAGTCCTCTCTTACGGTGAAGCTTCGGTTTTTTGAGAAAAGATGCGATGACATGGAGTAGCCTTCGAGGAGTGGCGTTGTTTGCCAGCTTGTAAAGCAGGCCTTCATGCCACAACCGGTCGAAGGCTTTCTCCATGTCTAGGAAGGTGGCTACAGCGCACTCTTTTTTGTTCATGGCCGTCGATAGATGGTGGATAACCCTTGTCAGCTGCAGCGTTATTGAGTGGCCGGAACGGAAACCGAACTGTTCGGGGCACGGTTCGTTGTGCGCTAAAATAGCTGGTAGTATAAGCTTCTCGAACAGTTTGGAGACAGCTTATAGGAGAGTTATTGGGCGATAGACTTCGGGTTTCATGGGGTTTTTCCCCGGCGTCGGTAGAAGAAATATCTCTCATCCAGGGCTCGGGGAAATGACCGCTGCGTAGTATCGCGTTGAATAGACGGGTCAGTGCAGCTATTGTGCGCCGGGGTAATTGGCGTAGTGCACTATTTGTGATCCCGTCTATTCCGGGGGCCTTTTTCCTTGGTAAAGTTCTAATTGTTTTTGCAACCTTTGACGGGGAGAAGAAGGTCTCGTCTTCTTCGTCGAGTGGTGGATCTATTTCCTCGGCGATGCATCTGGCTACAGCTCGTTCGTGCTGGTTGTTGCCTGGGTCGTTTGGTGTGAAGGTTTTCTCCAGATGGTTGGCGAAAATCTCCGCTCTGTCTTCTGCGCTGTATCTGAGAGTGCCGTCCCTCGTGGAGCACACCTTCTTTCTCTGCGACCGTTGCATACGCACAGTTTTATTTTAAATATAATAGATAAATAATATAATAGAATAGAAAAAAGAATTATTATAGTAAGCTCATAATATATGTAGTTGACTGTATTTATTTCTTCTTCTTCGATTTCATAAAACACTGACGCAGGAGCGACGCCGAACATGAACTTTAAATGAACTTAATTCTAAAAGAAATTAATCAAATGAAATTTAAAATTATACTTTACCCGAAGTGGAGTGAGTAATGTATGTGTATGGAGTGTAATTGTAAATTACGTGTGGCGAGACCGTGTCCGTACGGTCATCTACGGTGAGTCCCGACCGCGCCCGGACGCGGTCGAGGTATCACGAATCTAGGCGGCCTGCGTCGTCGCCGGCGGCGGCGCAGCCGAGTTCGTGTATTGAACGCGGCGTTCGCTATCGTTATAGCGTCATCGGGGTCGGTAATTATATTACGCGGACGTCTTGAACGCGGATCGTTCTGTCGCGGTGTGTAAGAGCAGGCGCGCACCACTAACGGATTCGGGTGCTTCGCGGCGCCTTCGAAGTATTTTATCGCGGAGTCTTTTATGAATTTCACTATAGAGACTAGTTCGAAATCCCTATGGAGGTCTGTGTTTCTCACGTACCACGGACAACCCGATGCGGTACGTAGAAATTTATTTTGGACTATCTGTAGGCTGTCGAGCTTAGTGTGTGCGAACACCACACTGGCGTGAGTCAGAATGGGACGTATGCAGGCTTTGTAAAGAGTCAACTTATTTCTAAGCGACAGTTTACTCTTCCTGCATAAAAGCGGATATAGCCTGCTCGAAACGAAGAGAGCCTTTCTACGGGCTTCGCGTAGATGCGGCTTGAATGACAGATTACTGTCGAAGGTGACGCCTAAATATTTAACCCGGGTGGTCCAGGGGATAGATTTGCCTAAGAGGCGGATGGTTCCTACCGATTGGGTCTTTCTTATAGGGAAAAGAATGGCTGCGCTCTTTTCTGGATTCACTTCGATCGCGTGCTGGAGGCGCGAGTGTATCGTATCCATTATTTTGGAGGAGGTGAATATCGCGGTGTCGTCGGCGTACAGCGCGAGTTCTACTTTCGACGTGGATGGCATATCGCTTGTGTAAAGCGCGTATAGTAAGGGCGAGAGCAGAGAGCCCTGAGGGACGCCCGCGCGGACCGGGCGGGAGAAGGACAGAGTTCCCTCCACTCTAAATGAGAGGGACTGTCCTGGGTACTTATCGTTATGAATCCAGCAATAGCAGTCTACGGTAAACCAAGCAGCACACATGTCGGAGAAGCATAGAATCATTGTATAGGGAACGACATAACAGGTTCGAGGAGAGACCCTGATGAAACAAATTTCAGCATCGAAGGTAATCTCTACAGTTCCAATCTTTATGCATTGGCGAGGGTGGGGTGATTGCGCCACTGAGTGAATGGCTCTGGCCCATGAAGAGGAAATATCGGAGAAAAGAGTATCTAGTGGAAATGAGGATGATGTTATGGGAGGAGGTTCACAGTGGTAAAAGTGTCTATATGCCTCTTGCATAGCAAAAACCGGTTCCGGACATTGCATTTACTTCTTTATACCAGACTTTAAGTTTAGCTTCATAATCCTGACTCCAATTGACTTTAACTTCTTTTCCTTTTAAGTTATATTGTATAAGACCTCCTGCCTGCATCTCAGTTTTTTCGACTGGTTTATATAGTACGCCGTTACCCTGTAATGTGTACCAGTCATTACGTACCAAGGTAGAATAACCTCTTCCCCTACATGCTAAAATTTGATGAGCTTTTTGTAGGTTATCATGTATGATATTCCATACTTATTCAGATCTTTACGTGCCTGTACATGGTGAGGTTTCTGTCTATGGTGACCCCGAGGTATTTTGCGTTTTTTTCCACTCGGTGTCGTGTCCCTCTAGCCTGAGTTTTGGAATCCTGTCAAGATGGTATTGGCCTGTGGCTAGGCTTTGTGTCTTTGTGATGTTCACTTTCATGCGCAATTTGGCGAGCCAGTCTGGTAGGAGGTCTAAGGACCTTTGGAGTTTGACGACTGCGTGCTTGGGTGTGATGGAGCTTGTCATCATAGCTATGTCATCGGCATACAGCGCGAGGGACGACGACGGCTCGAGCGGGATATCATTGGTGTACACTGAATAGAGTGCCGGGGATAGACAGCTACCTTGTGGTACTCCTGCTTTGATGATTCTTGGTGTTGAAGTTGTTTAGTCCTCTCTTACGGTGAAGCTTCGGTTTTTTGAGAAAAGATGCGATGACATGGAGTAGCCTTCGAGGAGTGGCGTTGTTTGCCAGCTTGTAAAGCAGGCCTTCATGCCACAACCGGTCGAAGGCTTTCTCCATGTCTAGGAAGGTGGCTACAGCGCACTCTTTTTTGTTCATGGTCGTCGATAGATGGTGGATAACCCTTGTCAGCTGCAGCGTTATTGAGTGGCCGGAACGGAAACCGAACTGTTCGGGGCACGGTTCGTTGTGCGCTAAAATAGCTGGTAGTATAAGCTTCTCGAACAGTTTGGAGACAGCTTATAGGAGAGTTATTGGGCGATAGACTTCGGGTTTCATGGGGTTTTTCCCCGGCGTCGGTAGAAGAAATATCTCTCATCCAGGGCTCGGGGAAATGACCGCTGCGTAGTATCGCGTTGAATAGACGGGTCAGTGCAGCTATTGTGCGCCGGGGTAATTGGCGTAGTGCACTATTTGTGATCCCGTCTATTCCGGGGGCCTTTTTCCTTGGTAAAGTTCTAATTGTTTTTGCAACCTTTGACGGGGAGAAGAAGGTCTCGTCTTCTTCGTCGAGTGGTGGATCTATTTCCTCGGCGATGCATCTGGCTACAGCTCGTTCGTGCTGGTTGTTGCCTGGGTCGTTTGGTGTGAAGGTTTTCTCCAGATGGTTGGCGAAAATCTCCGCTCTGTCTTCTGCGCTGTATCTGAGAGTGCCGTCCTCGTGGAGCACACCTTCTTTCTCTGCGACCGTTGCATACGCACAGTTTTATTTTAAATATAATAGATAAATAATATAATAGAATAGAAAAAAGAATTATTATAGTAAGCTCATAATATATGTAGTTGACTGTATTTATTTCTTCTTCTTCGATTTCATAAAACACTGACGCAGGAGCGACGCCGAACATGAACTTTAAATGAACTTAATTCTAAAAGAAATTAATTAAATGAAAATTTAAAATTATACTTTACCCGAAGTGGAGTGAGTAATGTATGTGTATGGAGTGTAATTGTAAATTACGTGTGGCGAGACCGTGTCCGTACGGTCATCTAGGGTGAGTCCCGACCGCGCCCGGACGCGGTCGAGGTATTACGAATCTAGGCGGCCTGCGTCGTCGCCGGCGGCGGCGCAGCCGAGTTCGTGTATTGAACGCGGCGTTCGCTATAGTTATAGCGTCATCGGGGTCGGTAATTATGTCACGCGGACGTCTTGAACGCAGATCGTTCTCACGCGGTTTGTATGAGCAGGCGCGCACCACTAACGGATTCGGGTGCTTCGCGGCGCCTTCGAAGTATTTTATCGCGGAGTCTTTTATGAATTTCGCTATAGAGACGAGTTCGAAATCCGTATGGAGGTCTGTGTTTCTCACGTACCACGGACAACCCGATGCGGTACGTAGAAATTTGTTTTGGACGATCTGTAGGCTGTCGAGCTTAGTGTGTGCGAACACCACACTGGCGTAGGTCAGAATGGGGCGTATGCAGGCTTTGTAAAGAGTCAACTTATTTCCAAGCGACAGTTTACTCTTCCTGCATATAAGCGGATATAGCCTGCTCGAAACGAAGAGAGCCTTTCCACGGGCTTCGCGTAAATGCGGCTTGAATGACAGATTAATGTCGAAGGTGACGCCTAGATATTTGACCCGAGTGGTCCAGGGAATAGATTTACCTAAGAGGCGGATGGTTCCTACCGATTGGAACTTTCTTATGGGGAAAAGAATGGCTGCGCTCTTTTCGGGATTCACTTCGATCGCGTGCTGGAGGCGCGAGTGTATCGTATCCATTATTTTGGAGGAGGTGAATATCGCGGTGTCGTCGGCGTACAGCGCGAGTTCTACTTTCGACGTGGATGGCATATCGCTTGTGTAAAGCGCGTATAGTAAGGGCGAGAGCAGAGAGCCCTGAGGGACGCCCGCGCGGACCGGGCGGGAGGAGGACAGAGTTCCCTCCACTCTAAAGCGGAACGAGCGATTCGACAGGTAATCCCGTAAGATGTGTACGAGTCTGTCTGGCACTCCTGCGTTACGAAGCTTATATAATAAGCCGTTGTGCCAAACTTTGTCGAACGCCTTCGCTATATCGAGGAAGATAGCCGCGGAGCTACATCTGCGGTAGGAACGGTTTTTATGGGATAACAAGTACTCCGTTAAGCGGTGCACTTGATGAACGCTAGAATGTTGGGCTCTAAAACCGAACTGTTCGTTGGGGAGTAGGGACTTAGTCATCACTACGTCCTGTAATCTGATTAAAATGAGCTTTTCATAAACTTTACCTAGCGAGCTTATGAGACTAATGGGCCTGTAGCTAGAGGGCGAGTTGCTAGGTTTGCCCGGCTTTCGGATACCTATTACTACGGCTTCTTTCCACTCGTCGGGAAAGGAGCAGCATAATAATAGGGCGTTAAAAATCATGACTAGCAGGGATAAGAACTGTCTCGGGAGTGTTTTGATTATTTTATTGGTGATGCGATCCGGCCCCGGGGCCTTCTTAGGGTTAAGCCCTTTTATGACCGACTCGATTTCGTCCATCGACGTCGGGCGAAGCGGTTCGCCCGATGGGGGCATGGCTGCCCATACGGCGACCTCGGAGTCGATCTTAGAGACGTGACCCGGGTCATAAGGTTGGGTGCTGGGCGAACATTGCGCTTCTAAACTATCTGCAAGGCACTCAGCTTTATCTACGTCATCGGACGCGATTGTGTTATCTGCTCTAACTAGCGGGGGCATGGTGACGACAGTGTCCTTCCGAAAGGCTCGAGACAGCGCCCAGTATGCCTGGGACGATGGCTCGAGCCCCTCGAGGAGTCTGTCCCACGAGTGACCTCTGAGCTCGTCGAATCGAGCTCTTACCTGCCTTTTGAGGTCGTTAAGAATTCTACGATTATTGTCTGTCGGGTATGTGTCGTGTGCTCTATTGGCAGCGTTTTTACGCCTCAATAGGTCTCTTAGGTCGTCCGGGACCGCGAATCGCCCGTCCGGGGGCACTACAATCTCTCTAGAGCACGCGTCTAAAGTGTCGTTTATATAAACTGTGAACGAGTTAGCCGCCTCTCTCGCTTGCTCAGCGGAATCGACTATGTCGGGTATAGAGTTTAATAGGGGGGAGTCGTGCGACCTTAGAATCTCTGCAAACTTCTTCCAGTCCACGATCTTTCTTTTTATAGGGCCTGAGGGGCTGTCTGAACCTAATTTAATTACTACCGGTCGGTGATCTGAGTCGAGCTCTGATAGCGGTTCTATAGAACGCAGACGTAGGGCTACGTTTTGTAGAATCGCTATGTCGAGCACATCCGGCGAGCCTATATGGCCGTAACGAGTGGGCGCTAAGGGGCCTATAATTTCAAAATCAAAGGAAGGATGGCTGACTAACTCGACTAGCGCACGCCCGTTCGCGTTGACGCGTGTCGAGTTCCATCGCGTGTGCTTGCAGTTGAGGTCTCCGGTCAGAATGACCGAATCCCCCATGCCTAGTAGCGATCTAAAGTCGCTCTCTAGCACTGCTTTATTCGGAGAGAGATACACTGAGGCTATAATGACTGGCTGATGGCCTGTTAAATGCACCTGACATAGCGACGCCTCCAGGTTCGTGAGGGGCGGCGGGTCTAAGGGGACGCAGTGAAGGGATTTCTTAAAGTAAATGAGAGTACCGCCTCCCCTAGTGGCGGTTCTGTCATTTCTAACTAATCTGTAGTTAGCGATTTTCGGATCGCGTGAAGCCGGCTTCAAAAAACTCTCTTGGACACAGAGAATGTCTATACAATGATCGACTACGAATTCTCTAACTAAATCCATATGTTGTCTTAAACTATTCGCATTATACGTGCAGATAGTCAAACCGCGCGGTTTTATTCGCCCTAGCCGCGAGTCGGGTTGATTTATATTATTTAAGTCCGCGAATTTAATAAGTGGGAGCTTCAAACCGCGTTATCGCGTCAATAAGGCCTGCGTGTTCCAACACAGCCTGCATACGAGCGTGAGGGGCTCCATTCGAGCTCCTGATTTTATTAGCGAACACGCTGAGTTCGCGGACGTCGAAACTGGACACGAAGTCCATGACCACAGATAAATCTGCGGTCAACGAATGACCTGCGGGCGCGGGGTGCGTCCTGGGCGGCACCTGTCTGGAGACAGGAGCGGGGGCCTGTACCGGGCGAGGTGCAGGTGCTGGGCGCGGAGCTATACGCGGCGCTGGAGATTGCGCGGGAAACGCGGGCGAACGCGCGGGAATCGCGGGCGGATGCGCGGGAACCGCGGACGGATGCGCGGGAACCGCGGGCGGAGGCGCGGGAACCGCGGGCGGAGGCGCGGGAACCGCGGGCGGATGCGCTGGGGCCGATGAGGCCGGCAGTGGCGGGAACCACGCGTTCCTAATGGGCGCGGGTGCCGGTACGTAGCCCCGGGGTGCTGAGGGCTCCCTGGGTGCCTGACGGGAGGGCCTCGAAGCCCTGCCTTTCTTCGCCCCCGAGCGGGTAGTGCGCCTGCGCGGGGCCCTGGAGCACCCGCGATAGTTCGCGGGGTGTCCCTGGGTCTCGCACAGCACACAGCTGGGCGGCACATTTGGGTCGGGGACCTTTCGCGGGCAGTCTGCTGTCCCGTGGTCCCCTAGACACTTAACGCATCTCGGGCGCGCGTAACAGTTTCGGGCCGAGTGCCCATAGAGTTGGCAGCGATGACACTGCCCTATAAATCCGCGAGACCTTGGTGGCATCACGGTTATGCCCGATAGCCGACAGACCGATCTCAGATCGAATACTTTTTTCCCCTCCGGCGAGAGGTCTAAAATGACTAGCACCATATCGAAAGGCACTTTGTCTTTTCCGTGCATCCGGTGCACCTCTTGAACGGGCAGGGCTTGCGACTTAAGGTCGCTCGCTATAAACTCGCAGTCGAGTTCCTTCGGGATTCCCCGGATGACGACACGCAGACGGCGCTCGTCCTCCAGGGCGTATGTGTGAAAACCTACGTTTACTGCTCTCAAGTGAGCGGTCAGCTTGCGATGGTCGTTAGGCGACCCTAGTTGGATTTTAATCCCCTGTTGGGTGGACTTTGCATTGACAAAATTTACTCCGTGGGCGATCATCCACGCGGAGATGCTATCCCACGCCTTCTTATCTTGAAGGATGACCGGCGGCGGCGGTCTACTTTTACGTCCCTGGGGAGCGGCAGACGCGGCTACATCGGGAGTGGACGCGGAACCGGATGACGTCACTGGCGCGGTTTTCGCGGTAACGGACGCGGCGGAATTGGCGCGAGGCGGGGGGGCTGCGAGTGAAGCTCGCTTAACAGGGGGCGACGCCTTTACTGGCTTCCCCTTTCGTTTTTTCGACACGACGGTCTCGAACCCGTCGTCATCTGATATCTCCGAGCTGGACTCGGGACCAGACTCGGCCGCGGACTCTGCTTCCATCTGTGAAGCTTCGCTAGGAGCCGGCGACGATCGGCCGGACTCAGACACGGTCGGGCAGGAGCGGGGCGACGCCTCTACGCTCGATTGCTCTTGGGACGCGCATTGTGACACTATGTCCCGGGGTACGACCGCGTACACCTCCGGGTAAAATTTCCGTAGGAAGGCCAGAAGGCCCTCCGAACTAGCAGATTTGGGGTCCATCTTGTCTGGACCCCCACTCGCGGGCTAATACTTAAAACTACACCTTAAATCTAACACTTTTCCTATCGTCCCCCTTGCCTCGGGGCAGGGGGGGTGAGTAGCGGTGCCTAAGTCCTCGCCTCTGGTGAGAAACATAGGTTGAATATAAATAGCACTCCACTTACCTCCCAGGTATATCACCCTGATCCTTCTTCGGTAATTACAGCCGCCGGTAACGGCAGCGCAGCAACAGTCGCAGTCACGTAGCAGCGTCCTGGTAGCGGGCATAGACACGTCCGCTCGGGTGAATTACACACAAAATCCCTTAAACTTGTTTTAACATTTATACTCGCAATAGGTATGCTATTACATGAGGTAAAATTAATTCCTAATTCTAATTGGTCGATTTACACAATGCAGGGGGGGGGGGGGCATCTTTTGCGCGTATATTATATTTCGCGTGCACATAGATACATTAGACAGGGACGGGACATATACTTTGTTCGCTATCGGGGGCGGTCGGAACTCGTTTGGTCGTCGCTCGTCGTCCGCAACAGTTCTCCCCGCGGTGCAGCGCTACGAGCACGACGAGCTTCGTGACGGGACGCTTGAAGACTCCGGTCTTCGTCTGGATCTCTGCTACTCGCACGCCGTCCTATCTTCACCATCATAGGTCCGAAGTAATCCACCCCACAGTGAGTGAAAGGACGGCGAAAAGGTTCGAGGCGAGCTCGGGGCAGGTCTCCAATCGACGGGACCTGGGGCTTCGCTCTTCTCACTTTGCAGAGGGCGCACTCCCTTTCTATGGTGCGCACAGTAGGTCGTAGGTGGATGATCTAATATCGCTGCCTCAGATCGTTGGTCACACGCTCACGGTTAGCGTGACCCGCAGCGCAATGCTCCCGTAGCACGATGAGTTTTGTAACGCGGTGGCGTCCGTCGAGGATGATGGGTCGCTTCATCTCGAGCGGTGCAGTGGTGGCTCTTATGCGGCCTCGCAATACGCCTTCCTGCAGCACTGGATCCAGCCGGAACAGTCGGCTCGTCTTAGGAAGTGGATGTGATGACTTCATCCGTAGTAGCTCGTCTTGGAAGCTGTTTCTTTGAGCGCGGCGTATGAGTGCGCGCTCGGCTTTCTCGATGTGTCGATGCTCCAGTCCCGTAGCCCGACGCCGACACTTGTCTACAAACGCCAACACCTCGCAGCCGCTCTGACCAGTGTCTCGAACTTGGAGAAGCGCGCAGGATCCGGCAACCACTCGTCGCCCTGCTGGTCCTCTGTGGTCACGTGCAGTAGGACCTCCTCCTCTTCTGTTGATTGTTCTTCGACTGGCCATAGTTCCTCTGGCTGACGTAGGAATTCAGGCCCCTGGAACCATCGGTCGTCACTAGTGATGCGAGTGTGCGTGAATCGTGTAGCGTCATCAGCTACATTATCGCTGGTCGGGACCCATCGCCACTCTTCCGGTTGGGTCAGCTCGGCCAATTCTCCGAGCCGGTGCGCGACGAACGGTGTGTACCTCCGCGCGTCGTGCCGTATCCAATGAATCACGGTCATAGAGTCGGTCCAGTACACTGTCCTCTGGACCTCAACACGATGCTCCTTTTTTATGGTTTCTGCCAGTCTGGCGCCGATGACTGCTGCCTGTAGCTCCAGGCGAGGTATCGTCTGTGTGCGCATTGGAGCCACCTTTGCCTTAGGGGTCACGAGGCTTACGGCAATAGTTCCATCGGTTCGTGTAATACGCCAATAAGCCACGTCTGAGTAGGCTTGCTCGCTTGCGTCACAAAGTACGTTCAGCTCCAAGCCCTGGTAACCCTCCAGGGCGTAGCATCGTTCCAGTCGCAGGCAGGTGAGGTCGGGTAGCTGTCGCAGCCACGCTGCACACATTTCGTTCTCTTCCGCAGGAATCTGTTCATCCCATGCCATCTTCATGCGCCAGAGACTCTGCAGGATGATCTTCGCTCGTATCGTGTAGTGGCTGAGCAGCCCCAAGGGGTCATTTAAGGACATGACCGCACTGAGTGCTTCTCGTTTAGTAGGCGGACGGGTCTGCAGGAACTCGGTTCATCGAGATATTGAACCCCAGTTCGTCCCGTTCGGCGTCCCGGTGCAGGCCAAGTATTTTATTCTCGGGCCCGTCTCCTCCTAGTCGGGTCGGTGATGTCGCTCGCAGCTGCGCGGGCACATCGCCAATCACTTCTTTCTTGTTTGCGTTCCATCCACGTAGGGTGAATCTAGCCGCTGCGTGCACCTCCCTGGTTTTTTTGTATACACAATCTTGACACGTATTTTGCAATAACCACGCTTTGATCATCGTCGCGCTCGCACGTAAGCGCTCATAATCATGCTCCTGTACCAGACGCGAGCACCAACATACGCAATACAATAAGGTGCGCAACCCAACTCCCTCTGACACACGACGACGTACACGCTCCAATAAAAGCATTAAAAACCATTGTCCTAAAGTTCTAGGCTTCATGGTATAACCTCCTTGAATTTCAAAACTTGGCCCTATTAATGGAACCTAAAGTTCTTGATTCAGTATGTGTCCTAATGAACGCACTGGAGGAGAAAAAGTCGGTATCCATCTATCTCTAACTGAATCTATTCTATTGATTTTATCAAGCAACTGAGAAATCAGAGTATACTCAGACAAATACTGCTCTACTCCTTGATCTCCCATATATTTTAACATCAAATCGGGGATTGTGACACAGTGAGACTTCCGAAAAAGATAAGTCTCAACTCTTGAGTAATCTAGCACACGATGTATCTCAACTCGTTTCGAACGAATGCCATCCTTAAACTTCATATGAATTTCTTTATTAACAAAATTTCGAGTGTTAACTTGAAATAAAGCCAAACCTAAATTACACTCATCTGTCATTTCAATATGACCATTCCATTCAGTTGACTGTAATGGCCTCGTTCTGGTAGCTGCTCGATGAATCCGTGCAGCTTCTAGATCATACGGTTTTGCATTATCACGCGAGTTCTGAAGACTGTTTTCTCTTGTACGCCCAGATTGAATGGTACGTTTTTGTTGCACGTTTCTCTGCCCCTTAGGACTACTTTGTTGAACAATGCCGCCATAAGCACGCACCGGTTGCATAGTGTACACGTAGAACGATACTATTCTGACCCAAAATACGAAAGCTGAAATCGTCAAATGATTGCACTCAAGTGACAAAAAATGAAGCAATTTTCACCACCTCCCTGGTTTTTTGGATGGCGCGTCGAGCTTCTTCCGCAGTGTCGTAGCTCGCCACCAAATTGTCCATGTAGTGACTCCTCGTGATAGCTTCCAGGGCACTAGGATGCGTCTGCGCGTGCTCCTGTGTATTATGATTCCGCACGTAGTGAGCCATGAAGGTTGAGCTTGCTGCGCCAAAAATCATGCTCGTCATCTTGTAGTGGCGAGGTGGATTGTCTCGGTTGGCGCCCCTCCACAGGAACTGTTGTGCTGGCTGATCTTCTGGTCTAATCTTCACCTGGAGAAACATCTCTTGTATGTCAGCAGTGATGGATACTGGTCGCTCCCTGAACCGGAACAGGATGCCTTGAAGTGACGTCAGCAGATCAGGTCCCTCCAGCAGATGATCGTTGAGGCTGACCCCTCGGCTCTTGGCTGCTGCATCAAATACCAATCTTTGTTTTCCAGGTTTGTTCGGATTCTGCACGGCGAAGTGTGGTAAGTACCAGCAGACTGCGCTCGAACGCTCCGTGCCGTCGCATTGCACTGCGTATCCTTTCACCAGCAGGTTGTCTATCTGCCTGGTGTACTCTTCTGCGAAGGTCGGTACGGCATCCATCTTCTGTTCGATCTTCGTAAGACGGCGAAGTGCCGCGTCGTAACAAGGCGGCATCTTGACGTCGTCTTGCTTCCAGGGCAGTCCCACCTGGTCCTACCTTCGATTTTCTTCAAGGTCTGTTCGGCGATCTTCGTGGCCCGGGAGTTCACATCGCTCACCCGTGACTTATGAGCAATGCCGAGCGCGTCGATTCGAAAGTGTTCTTCCACCAGGTCATGAAGGCGTTGATCTCGCTGCTCCTTTTCAAGCTTCCACCAGGTTCGACTGTGAAGACATGAAGAACGCCATCTTGGTTGTGGATTACGCTGCGTGGTGCTGTTCCGTGTACCACCCAGCCGAGTTGTATTCTGAAGGCGGCTGGTTGATTCGGGCCTCAAACTCGCAGTTCTCGGGATACAATGTACTCCCAGTGGTCTGTCCCCCACCAGGATTCAGCCTAGGTGTAATTTCATTATTACGAACTGACTATACTGACTGAACTGAACTGACTATATATTTAGGTTTTTTATGGGTAAGCTATTCTGCCGTCATAAGAAGAAAAGACGTATCTAACAATTTTTCCGAAATTGAGTTATTTACATATTTAAAATCAGTAAAAACAGACGCATCTGCTAGTATTTTTTTAATAATTTCCTTATGGCCGCAAACCTACAACTAGAACTGAGTAGATGCGTCTTATTTCTTTGAGAAATTTTGGTCTAGCCATAAAATAAAAAGACATGTCTTACATGGTCATAGGAAAAAAGGACGCTTCTGCGTAGTTTTAGTTGGTTTGGTTTGGTTTGATGTAGTTTTTTTTTAGTAAATGAATGTGCAATAATAGCGTCTATTGAAAAAAAGTGATATTAAATTACTAGGGCTACTAAAAATTACAATTTTAATTACACATACGTATCCAAAGAGGTTTTTGGGATTAAAGTTTTACATTACATAAAGTTAAATGTCACTATAATACTTTAATAGTCTGATTCCCATATTAAGTGTTTTATTTTATAGTAAAAGGCATCCTTTCAGCTAAAAATTAAAAAGGTTATTGAAGTACCGACACAATGGTAATACTGATCATAGGAAGTAAGGACGCCTCTGCGTAGGTACGTCTTTTCATCGTAGTATCGTGAATTTACTTACATTTTATTTACTAAGAACAAAAGTAAAATCAAATTTATATATTATACAATATATACATAATACAAATTTTAATATGTCATAAGATAGTTTAAAGTATGACCTGCTATTTTTCATTCAAAAATTATTATTTATTATCTTTACTTACGCACAGCGATTATTTTTCGAAAAAAATTACAAATCTTTTTATTTCTCGGTTTGGAGGTTTAGGTAGATGCGTCTTTTTTTCCTTATGACGGCAGTATTACTAAATAATATAAGTTTCATTTATCTCCTGCTTTACAAATACCTCTTTATAACTTTTTCTATTGGAGACCAACATCCACATTTCCATACATACTGTTATAAGCTGTTTGGTGATTAAGTATAAGGAATGAAAAAGTAAAAGGCAGAAAATTAACTACTTTTTAATAATTTTAATTATCAGGAACCTTTTCCTTTTCGTCTATTATTTCATTTAATTTTATTTTTATTATTTCCATCCCTCGAATGTGTCGGGGATCGACAATTTCTGGCAAAATGCAATGCATATAAAATTTTATTAGGTGTGATTGCATTTTATCTCGCCAGAATTTTTTATCTTGTCTTATTTTTATAACATACAAGGGTTCCTGTACTCCCGACCATATGCCAAACAGACAATATTTTCTGTTTGTTACTCGGAGTTGACCCTGAATTGAAAATCAAAATGTTAGAAAGGAAAGCCTTGTGTGTTGTTATCTGATTCTGGCCGCCCGTGTATTTATCTCCCACAGTAAAATAGGTAAGGAACCATGAATGTTAGTGATTTGGAATGGTTTTTGAAAATAGGGAAAGTTATGGTAAATGGAAAACTATACAATTTTTAATAATTACCTGTACTTGATAGTACCAATTACTTGTTTTGTTTATTTCGGTTGCCTCAGTTTTATTATTGTACCGCAAGATTTGAATTTTGTTATTTTTTATTGCACTTTGCGGTACGCAATGCTCTTTATATGCAGTAATCGGACATTTGATTTCTACAACGGCATCCTCGCCGACGAGACCATCGGGTGTAGCACCAATAAAAGGGAATTCGCTGTCTATAAAAAGGCCGCAAGGCTCTATTACTATAGCTTCTTGCTCTTGCAATTGTTGTTGTATAAAATTATAAAATTATAAAAATGTTTAAAGTTAAAAAATATTGTAATGTAATTGGTGCAATTTTCATTTTGTTAATTGTGGGTAGGCTGTCTGTAACAACTATACATTCAAGACATGTAACACCTCAGTCTCTCCCGTGACCATGGATGCTGTAAAGCATTCGAAACGTCGGAAACCAAAAATCAAAATAAATCCGCGAAATAATCCGAAAAGATAGTTTTATTTAATAATAAGATAAATTTTTTTGTACAAAATATTTTTAACTAACGTTGATGTGTCAGACGACGGCTTCTTCTTGCATATGGAACCAAAAACTGAAGCTGTGATTATTTTCTTTCGTATTTCTAACCAATCGCTACTGTCTGCCTGTAGTATGGTAGATCTTTCTATATGGTCTCTGTCATCTACTTTTAAACTGTCGATAAAATTTTGTTTAGCTCTGCCTATTTCTGTAGTTGACATATCAGGGGCAGAACTGTTTGCACCATAATCATGTTGTAAGTTAGTAACATGAATTTTTCTATATTTTTTAGTAGGATGCGTCATGTTAATTTTCCTTTTTAAAGACCTTCTCCGCTCCAATTCTAGACAAAAAAGCTTTTTGTAGTCTTGATATAGAGGATTCGTTATTAAATGACACTACAGCTGCAGAGCATCTGGCTTGATATCCTCTCCTTTGCGTAAAATTAATACGCTTACCTCCAACAAATTTAGCGACAACACTGTTGAAACGCTCTACTGCGTTTGTGTCTACATTTTCTATAAGGGTTCGCGATTTAGCGGCAACAGTACAAATAATGGCATTCATTCTAAATAAAAATGTGGAATTCTGGATTTTTGGCAGGTCATTTTTGTCATTTTGTTCTTTATCGCAGTAATGACTTTTACCCATTCTGTGAATTCCATATGCATGAGCCAATGAATTAGCAATATTATCATGTAAAAGAGGAATGGAATCATTTTTAGTCTTGTCTGTGGCTTTATTGTGATACTGCACTGACTTTACTATTACTTTTCCTCATACTCATAATTCTGGTGTTCGTGAGTGTTTTTCTGCAAGAAAGTGCATACTTGGTCTCTTTGGTTATATTGCGTAGCTTTTTACAAAAATTTCTCAGAATGTGGTTTTTGCACTCTATTTTCTCAACAGTCACGTTATGGTGTGCGTATGGGTTGACTTTTAATATTTTGGAATATGTTGCAGAATCACCATCCGCAATAAGCCTCCCATACATCATGCCATACATCGACAGAGACAATTGGAAACCGTCCACAATAATATCTGATTCCATTAAACTCGATGCACCACTATAATTTTTGAAGCAAATGTGATCTATGGGAGTTTGACCGTTTTTTTCAGCGCGTGCACAAACGAAACAATATTTATTTTCGACTCCCATAAAAAGAACTTCACCAAATTTCTTGCCTATTATGGCAGCAGCGCCTGACAGCGCTTTAAAGTTGGTGCCATATGACCTTGCAGACCAACATCCATCGACATACATGTCAATTAAGGGTATGCCATTTTTCATCTTACCCTCTGCAATAGCCGCTATTTTTTCTCGCATAGCCGCAGCTTCCATGGACTCAGTAGCTACCATTTCCCATTTCTCATACACTTGTTTCTGAAGCTGGGCAAAAAATGTTGTGGAAAATACTGGAACATCCATTGCCGACATTATCTCCTCAAATTGGGAATATCCAATTCCAGAAGCTATTATGCCACTAGTAGTGGCAATGTTGGCATTTACATTTTCCTTACTGTCTGTGTCTTCGGAATTAATCAGTACAGTTTCATGACATATTTTGCATTCAAATTTAAATTTTGAAATTAGTCCTAACCTCTTCTCTCCTACTAGTTTGAAATTTTCAGTTTTGCAATCAAACAAACCATTATGACGTGCTTTACTTTGTAGTTCAGTTAGGAAATAATTTATATCAATTAATCTCCTTCCGTTAATTTTTTTTAAAGTCTTTATCGTGGCTGAAACGTGAAACAAAATATGTTATCTAAAAAACTGTTTTTTTATTATACATTATTGGGATAATAAATATTTATCTTACTTTTTTTCTGTAGAAGTGTTTGAATCAGCAGTTTCAGCAGTGATCGATACGTTCACAGGACTTTTGCTCTCATGTTCTTGTATCGTGTCATTTTGCCTGGTAAAAAATAATACTAGTGAACAATGCGCTTTATTATATAATATGTAAAAATATAATAAAATAAATAAGAGTTAGGTACTTACTCCACACTAGGGGCCACATTACTTAGTGTCACCAAAGATTTTGGACTAGGTTCGCCACTCGCGTTTGTTGTGGGATTCGCTTGGTTTGTGCCCCCGTCTAATATACTGAAAAGCAATATGAAAGTACAGTTCAATATGTTCACGATAAGGAATTTCAAAAAATAAATAGAGGAATATTAATTGACATGAGTGAATTATTTCTAAAATCTACAATATTGACAAATAGTTGCAAAGTGATTAAAAGTTTATGGCTTATGTCTATCTAACCACCAGATATCGGAAAATATAACGGCAAAAAATCACTTTATATAGCCAAAATTAGTAAATTATCACCAAAATTAAGTCGCCATTTTATCATGAAATTAAAACAAAGAAGTACAATTTGCAATCCTACTAAAAGCAAAAAACTCCTATTATGATTGTAATCCTAAAATAATAAGTTAAGGAAAAATCTTATCCAATTCGACTGATCGTTTGATATCACATAGTAAAAACGTACCTATAACCTATAATTAATATATGAAATTATGTATATAATTTTCATCGATAATGGTGTACTTGTTGTATCAAATATATAACCTTATATGTCTTCGTTCAATTACTTACCTTGGACTTTGGTAATTAGGTTCAGGGTTTTGTCTGTGATGCTATTACCAGCATTTTTTTTCTTGCACATAGCAGCACTGAAATATCATATTATAATAAACACATATTTTTCATGAATTAGTTTTAATAAAGTGGCACTTTCTAAATAAGTCGACTATTAGCCATACTGCTCCTTTTTATGCTATGGTTACTTGACGTCTTTGTAGTAACTTTATATTTTCATGACTAAGCTTATTTGTTTTTAAGCTAATAAAGCTTAAATTAGCTTAGCTAAGCTAATTTAAGCTTTATTTAATTTTAAGTGCCAACGACCAACAACCAACCCGTGGCGGGTTCAAAACAATTGATTTCTATTGTGTCTGAATAGGTATGTGGCGTTCAAACACACTGCTCGTTTTTATGCTATGGTCCAAATAGCCAATATAAAATGTAGGTATGTAAGCAGGTCTAATTTCTATAAGAAAAAGTACCTACCTAACTTTATTATAATTCAGATTTCCAAATCATGAAACATATTCCGAAAACCGACTTTGAAATTAGTGACACTATTAATTTCTATGAGCAATGATCCAATTAACCACTTCATAATTACTTTAATATTAGATACGCGAGTATTATAGATTATTGATTGATATACTTACCATTTCTCTTGAAGCATTTTTTTATAATCTTTTGGTTTTAATTTTCTTCTTCTTTTATTTCCCATAGTGATTTCTTACAATAAGCTTAGAGTCTTAACTATATGTGGGGATATAAATGAAATATGAAATGCCTTTAACCCATATATTGTTCTAAACGTTACAATGCCTTTTCTTATACAAGTCATCTTTTTTTTTTTTTTTTTAACGTTGGGAAATGCATTTACGCACGACGTGTGGGACTCACCGGCGTAATACAGCCAGTACTACCCACTAAAACCCAACAAAACCTTCCCCCGTCTTAATGGGGCGTCGCAGGATCGCTTACGCATTCAACTATGACGCCCCAAGGGCAGGTCTGCCGAAGCAGACCACCACAACCATGGGGTCGCTCCACTCTGCTATCAGAGAAGTACCAGGAGCAACCCGCATGGTACACCGCCCCCCGAAGAGGGCCACCTCCCACCGCCCACCGAAGTGGGCAACCTCCCTGTGCGTTTCTTAGCTTCGCGCCCGGTTGGATTGCCGGGCACTACTGAGCCCCCCCACCACGACAAGGTGAACGCACGTTGGGGGGGATTATACAAGTCATCTAAAACAGTTCATGTATACTCACGGTACACACAGAAAAGCTTTTTCGTATTTATCTTTAATCTTACCTTATATCCGAAATCGTACTACTTACTCGACAAACTGTTTCCCCGTTATATAATACACATATACTTAATTATATATACAAAACATATGTACACTTAGTTATTACTGTACAAGTCATGTCCGCGTGGAATAGTGGCAAGAATGCTAGCCGCATTCCCCCGTTGAATGGCAATGCCGATTCTTTGGGCGAAAAATGCGCCAGCCCTCCTGTCACCAGTAGAGGTGATAAGACGGGGTGTTATGTCTTTTAAGAAGAGCTTAGCACTTTGACTCCATGGGCCAAGGGTTTCTACAGCAAATGGAATAAAAACATAATATTGACTAAGGGAGGTGTATTTACGCAACTTAAGTAGTTCAGCCTTCTCCGCCGCAGCTCCCACTTTAGACGCGGTCTCCCTGACATGGGACGGGGCCAATGTGTCAACGCATGTAGCGTTCCACAATAGGGCACGTCCCCTTTCCCAAGGAACCAGCGACAGGCCATCAGGTCTCTTACCATCATCTCGACTTAATCCAGATGGCTCAATAAGAGCAGGAATGTCAATGGTGGCAAGAGCCCTTTTGATGGTATCGTTTAGGGAACCATGACGGAAAAGTCTCCCTGAACTTCTTTTGCAAGAGAGTCCATGGAGTCCATAACAGTCAACCTCTTTTCCACAGGGGCATCTGTGCTCAGTGCACAGCGGTGTACCCAGCCGGAGACCTAAAGCGATACGAAAACTATCATTATCCAAAAGTGTACCAAGATTAGTTGAAGGTAGGACGTGCAGCCAGTGCCCCGACTCTGGCAGATGACGCTAAAAGTCCGGCACGGTTTACATCACTCGAAAGATTTTGAGCCAAATTTTGGAATGTAGAATGAACCAATGGCGCATCCCAAAGTTTTTGCATGGAAACTTCCTTTGGGATGTCAACATTAGGACATTTCAACTTCCATTTTTCTAAGGCCTCTGCAGCACCAGTTATGTTTTGGTTAGATTTCAAAATTTGAGAACAGAGTTCTCGAAGACTGTGCTCAGAAGCAAGAAAAGCTGGAAGAGCTATACTTGAAATTTGTCTCAAGCCGATGCCACCGTTTCTAATAGGTAGGGATGCTTGGATCCATGAACATTCATCGAAAGATAAATTTAGAATTTTTTCTAAGGAATTTTTTAAAGTGACATCCATTTTGTCGGTTAGGCCAGGAAATTTCCAAATTGGGCTTGAACGAAGAATATACGTTAATTTTGGGACGAAAAGGCAATTTAAGGATGGTAAAAGCAATGTGAGAATTTAGAGAGCCCAATTTGTGAGTATTGTCTAAAAATGTTTTAATTTTTTCGTCTACTACTAATGGGATGCTTTCATCAAGAAGTGGAGCACCAAGGAGGCAAAGGGAATTTTTTTCGACTATTTTAATATTAGGGGCAATTTTTCGGAAAATGTCTCTTGCCAAATATATCTTTTCTATGGGAATATTGTCCGTGAAAAAAAATTCACATTTAGATAAATTTAGTTCAAACCAATTTTATTAAAATTTTCTTTCAAAAGAAGAAAATCTTTAAGGACATCATTCGCTTTGCCACCTAAAGTTCCATCATCTAGGTACCAAATATTTAATTTAGACTGCAGATTTGAAATGTATTTATGGATACCTAGACTAAATAGAGCTGGGCCTAGTGGGTCCCCCTGCTGAACGCCAACATTCGAAATAATAGTTTGATCGCCAAATAGTAATTTAGATGATGTATTGTAACATTGCCAAATGTATGGATAAATTTCAGGTAAGTTCGAATGAGCCTCGTTCAGCAGAGCTGCTCGATCTAAAGAGTTAAAAGCATTCTTCACATCAACTTTAAGCAATATCTCCTCCTCACCCTTTGCGAGAAAGGTACGAGTGGCATGTACTGCTGCTTCACAACCTCCTTTGCTACCGAACCCAAGTTGAATTGGTTGAAATTTTGCTTTTAAGTTGCAAACTATGCGCCTACATGCTAATTTAGAAACCAAACGCCGAAATGTAGACCCAACAGCTATAGGCCGGATTCCTCCGTCCTTTTTATTGAAGGTACAAAGTCTTGCACCATAAAGGTATTGAGTGAATGATGAAATTACCTTTCCAGATAACATAAAATTACACAGTTTGGTAATGTCACCCAAAAGAACCCTGCCGGCGTCACCTGCTGACGCACTCACAAGATCTTTAAGATGTTGTAGTGTAATTCCGTCAATGCCACCAGCAGAGCCACTTGTAAATGACATGATAGCTGCAAAGGTATCTTCATCTTTAATCTGTAAAGATTGGGAATAATCAGCTAGAGGAATCGGGAGCAAAGGATCCGAATTTGGTGAAGGATGCTTATCATGCAAGACTTGTAGCGTATCATTATCAAAGGGAGCAAGAGTATCGCTAGAGAAGAGAATGCGAGCCGCATTTTTAAGATCTTCATCCAGGGCTTTATTTTCAACAATTTTTCTTAGATCGAAATTTCGGGGTCAAGAGTTATAATTTTGAGTTCTGATTTCGTTTAAAACAGTTGAACTGTTTTGTTTTAACTTATAACATAAAGAGCCGTTTTGATTTTTGTCCACATGCAAATATGTGTATGCAAATAGAAATAAATTTTGCCAACTCGAATTAGAATTAAACGAAATGCACTTTTGTATTGCATTGGACAGAGATCTGGCTAACGAGATTCTTGCTCCTCTGGGTATTCTTTTTATAAGGGGGATACATTCGTGACATATTGGAATTAGGATCTCGAAAGGGTCTTTATAATTTTGATTATTCGAATCACTTACCGGAGAATTCACAGGGACTGTCTGCACTGAAGAAGGAAGACCGTGACTCCGTGAAATGTGAATTTTTAACCCTTTTTGACCCTTAAACAGCCTTCCATTTGCGCATTGCGGGCACTCTAGTAATACCGGCTGGGAAACAACGGACGAAACACTATTCGTATTACATGACATATTATTACACTACACTTAGAACGAATATATTGTCCATAAACCGAGGCGAGGCGTCCTGGATAGCTCTGGAGGCTCCCGGCTGCCAAGCGCCCGGCACCTCGCCGACGCCACCTAAAACATACGAAGGAATTAATTTAATCTGCAAATATTATCACGGAATACATGCATTGTAAAAGCCAATTTGATGTCAATTTCGTAAAGAAATGTGCCAATAAATTACAATTTGTAATAAAATATTAGAGAGAAATTTTTTGACAACGACATCAAAATGACATTCAACGTTACACTTAATTTAATATATTATAAATACATATAAGACTCTATAGAATACTATTGTGTGTGAGAGAGAGAGGGGGACCGTCGGGGCACTCGCGAAACTAACGACTGACTTGTTACCACGCTTGCGCTGAAGGCGCGGGTGCGGTCGTGGAGAACAATTCCGCTGACGCGGCGGTAGACATTGCGACGCCACGGCGCGGGCGCCGGATGCGCATTCCGCTGACGCGGATATCGCCAATGTGTCGCCACAACACTCTCCCCCTTTTTCATATTTTCACATGAAACAAAAAAAATCTATCATACAGATAACCTAAAAATATTTTTTTAACAAACACATTTAACAAATAACACTGTCTTATAATTAACACTAATATCTTATACTAACACTAATGTCTAACACTATCTCAATTTTAACTATAATGTCTATTGTGCGTATCCTGATTGCGAGCGATTTTGGTTAGCCTGTGCGGCTAGACCCAACTTGACCGATGATACTATTTCTTTCCTTATCCATTTCTGTCCTTTATTTCGGCAACATTTTAAGATGAAATATCCCAATATAAGTATGCATAATACGACGATTATTATGGAAATTGTTCCGAATTTGTGTAGCTTTTGTTCTAATTGACTGAATGATGCGTCGTTTGCACCATTTTGGGCATTATTATCTCTTCCGTTTTGTCAGTCTGTTTGCTGTATCCCTTGCCCATTATTAATAAATGTCTAACTGGATGTTTACTCCTAACTACTTCGTCTTGAAATGATGCCGTTACAATAACAATAATTACTTATAGCCTATACTAAAGATGCGAATACACAGTATAACTGATTATTAAGCAAAAAAATAAAAATAGACTATGTACTATTGTTATTTTGCATTTAATCAAAACATCTAACAAATACTAAATTAACAATTTAAGAAACGCACTGGTGGCTTAATAACTCGGCCACTGCGTGTGGTACAATGTTGCAGCGATTCTTTTATGGTATTTGAATTTCCCTTTTTACATTCAACATCACTATCATTAACATATTACTGTTTTCAGTAGATAATATACTCGTATTATCGATTTCCGTGTTTTTTAACAAATAAGCACACCGACTTCGAAAATATTTGATTAGGTATGTATAGTAAATGAAAACTACCAATCAGTTATTTTTTACTTTTTAGTGCTTTTGTTTGAAGTCGGTTTTAATTTTTTTGTTAAACAGTTTTTATTTTTCCCTTTTTGTGTGGAGAGTAGTAGCAAAGTAAGTATTCTAACGTATTAGGCTTGTCAAAACGAACAAAATAAGCCCAAACTCAAAGTATCTACTATTAGCCGTTGAAGAGTTCACCTATCTACCTTCTGGCCTTGCCATCAGATCAGGTCAACAACACCGAACCACTGTACTATCAAAGGAAATAGAAATACTTGCAAAGTTTCAAGTCAATATGACAATTAGAAGTAGGTTAAATTCATCATTCGTTGTTTTTCCACCCTTAGGGGTGGTTTTTTTTTTTGAAATTTAAATGGGACCAATCTGGAAGTATACCCTTTCAAACAAAACAAAAATTGTCCAAATCGGTTAATAAATGACGGAGTTCTGAGGTAACAAACATAAAAAAAAAACATACAGTCGAATTGAGAACCTCCTCCTTTTTGAAGTCGGTTAAAAACGTATGAACAAGACTTTAAGTCTTTGTGCACAAAAATTTTGCGAGAATCGCTATTCGCTCGTGACTTGGGTTTGTGACTACTAAGTATTGATCTCAATTTGTCAACAAATGCACACGGTGACTTAGATTTCGTGCTTACCTCAGAGAAAAAATCGCCAGGCAGTCTTAGGTTGCGCCCTAGAACCATTTCTGCTGCGCTCACATCGCCGTCGCTTCTACATGCTGCTCTCAAACCGTATAAGGCTGTAGGTAACTCGTCTAGCCATGATGCATTATCTGCTAATCTGGTTGAAAGTGCAACCTTTAACGAACGATGCCACCTCTCGATTTTACCATTGCTCTATGGGTGGTATGGAGTTGTGCGTATTTTCTGCACCCCTAACAACTTCATCAATCCGTTAAAAATATCACTTTCGAATTGCCTACCTTGGTCTGTTGTCATTCTCACTGGACAACCAAATCGACAGATCCAGCCTTCGTAGATAGCTTTGGCGTCTGTCTCTGCTGTGATGTCAACTGTAGGTATCGCTTCCGGCCATCGCGTATACCGGTCGATCATTGTTACACAATACCTATACCCTTGCGCGCTCGTGGGGAGCGGGCCTATTATGTCAACATGTATATTATGTTCAAATCTACCACTAAAAGAAAAAGTTTGCAAATCAGAAACGGTGTGCCTATGTACTTTTGCTTTCTGACATTGAATACAACATCTTGCCCAATTATTAACATCTTTATTCATTCCGGGCAAAAAAAAAATTGTGCTATCATTTTCCTAGTGACTAATACCTGGTTGGCTAATATTGTGTATGGAATCATATACTAATTTTCTAAATGTCTCTGGGACAAAAGGTCTTATGTACTTAGTTGATAACTCGCAATAAATCGGTTTATTCGTACCTGGAATAGTTAATTGTTTTAACGATACCTTGCCATTGTTGTTTTCCAGTAGGTGTGTAACCTGAGAATCACCTTTCTGTGCTTGCGCAAGTTCTTCGAAGTCGATGCTCGTCGGACACCTTATCGCCTCGACTCTAGACAAGGCGTCAGCAACTGCGTTCTGTTGACCTGTAACGTGACGTATTTCGCTGACAAACTCGCTAATATACATCAAGTATCGGGTTCTCTTTTGGGTTCTCGTTTTTTGCTACCTTTGTTAACGCGAATGTTAATGGTTTATGATCAGTATATACAATCAATTCTCAACCTTCGACCATATTACGAAAATGAAAAATGGCCATGTAGTAAATTGCTTAAAGTTCGCGATCATAGGTACTGTATTTCCGTTGAGTCTCTGAAAGTTGTTTTGAAAAATAACCAAGCGGTAACCAGTCGTTATCTACACGTTGTTGCAAAACTGCGCCCACACACGTATTCGACGCGTCCGTCATAAGAGATAACGGTACCTCAGCTACTGGGTGCGACAGTGTAGTGGCATTCCTAAGGCTCATTTTACACTGCTCAAAAGCAAACTCGGCTTCATTATTCCAATTTATTTTAGTCTTATCTTTTTTCTTTTCCCCATGTAAAAATTTATTTAGCTCTGCTTGATTTTGAGCTCCGTTTTTTATATGAGACCTGTAAAGATTTAACATGCCGAGGAATCGACGAAGTTCTTCGACAGTTCTCGGTTTCGGATAGTCTGAGATTGCCCTAATTTTATCCTCCAGTGGACTTATGCCAGCTGGTGTGACTTTATAGCCTAAAAAATCGATTTCTTGTTTACCAAAACAAGATTTACTTAAATTAATAGTTATGCCATACTCATTAAATGTTTTAAATAACTGCCTTAAGTGTGCCTTGTGCACGCTTTCAGTGGTTGAGGCTATAATGACATCTTTAATATAACAAAATAAAAATGATTCTTCCCCCTTCGGATTTTGAAAATATTCTGAACCTTGTAACATAGAATTCATAAAACGTTGGAAAGTTTGAGCGGCATTTCTTAGACCAAATGTCATTTGTGGAATTTCGAAGAGGCCAAACGGGGTAATTATAGCGGTCTTTTCGATGTCTTCAGGTGCCACGGGAATATAGTGATACGCTCTATTAATATCGATTCTAGAAAATATGTTCTTACCTGTTAGTCCATATGTGAAGTCCTGTAGCCTGGGGACAGGGTATCGATCCGGTTTCATTTTTTTGTTGAGTAGGCGGTAGTCACCGCACGGTCGAATCCCTCTATCTTTCTTCGGAAATGTGTGAAGTGGACTGGCCCAAGCGCTTTTTGACGGTCTGCATATATTCTAGGTCTAATTCTTGCATTAATTCAAATTCTATTTTTACCTTTTTATACCTGTCCGGTGGGAGTTGTCTGGCTCTCGTATAGACGGGTGGACCTTCTGTTTCTATATGATGAAAAACGGTGTGCTTTGTTGGAACTTTAAATGAGATTGGTTTAGTAATTTCGGGATATTCCTCGAGAATATCTTTGTAAACGTTATTATTTTGTATACTGTTAATCGAGAAACAATTATAATTTACAACGGACCCAATAGAGTACAAGTTTGTTACAGAATCTATTAATTTCTTATTATGTAAATCTACCAATAACTTGTGTGACTTAAGAAAATCTGCGCCTAAAATAGCTTGCTTAACGTCAGCAATTATAAATGACCACGTTTATTGTTTAGCTTTTTGTTTTTCTCTTTTTCATTATTGTCTGCTTCTTAAGTGTATTGTTTATTTGTGGAAACTTCATTGATTCATGTGTCATCTATTATTATTAATTATTTATGTAATATCGTACTGTTTGTTTCCCTAAAATAAATAAATAAATAAATAAATAAATAAATAAATAAATAAATAAATATGGTCTTCTTAGTCCCAAATTTAACTCTAATATTTTAATACCAAAAGTTCTAATTTCTGTGTCATTAGCTGCAAAAAGTTTATAGTTACACTGGCTTCGTTCTTTTACACTCACTTTACTCACTGGTATGACAGATACGTTAGCACCGGTGTCTACGAGGAAAATAAGTATTCTTGTTGTCGTTGATGCAAAGTCGGTGGTTGTCGCTCAGGTCAGTGCAGGTTTCCACCTCAGCCTGCACTGCACCTAGTTTGCCTCACTGCCCTTCCAGTTGCACTGTTGCTCACAGCGCGTCGCCTTGCTCTTGAACCTGTAATGGAACCTACACAGGCATCCTGGATCTTCTGGTGCTCTGCGCTTAAGGGAACGGGATCTGCTCCTGTAAATCGGTCTGCTTCTGCTCCTAGGACGCCTGCTGCTCTGGACCTCGCTGCGCAATGATGCTATCTCCAAAGCAAGTTTGTTCATTTGGTTGACCAGCCCTGCCAGTGGTTCTGGTGACACCTGGGCTATGCTGTTATCCACCGTGGCCATTTCGTAGGATCTACTGTTCTCAACGATCTTGTCCGCAATGACAGCCAAGCTATCTAGGGATTGGTCTTGGCACACTGCAATGACTGCCCTGACTGAAGATGGCATACGGGATAACCAGAGGCTCTTCAAGGTCTGATCTGAGACCTGTGCTGGGCGGCCTAACTCTTTCATGCGGCGTAATAAGTGCGTAGGTTTCTGAGCACCCAGCTCTAATTCAGAAACGAGCTTTTGGAACTGGCGCTCAGCACTCTCTTCGTACACCTGTAGGAGCCTTTCTTTCAGCGCAGTATACTTGTTTTCAGCAGGTGGCGAGGTAAGTAAGTCGCTCACTTACTGGATTGAGTCTCTTCCCAGTTTAGCGATGACCATGTTGCATTTCGCTTCTTCCTCTTGTTTCTGAGGGGCCATTACGGCTTCAAACTGCGCGAACCAAAGCCGCGGCATGTCCACCCAGAAATCTGGCAATTTATTTGATACCCCTATGGCCGCTAGAGTCATGCCTGGTGAATCTGTATCCTCTTCTTTTAGAACCGGTGGCATTGCTTGCCCACCTACGGATCGCATGGTTTGTGCCCCTAACATATCTATTCGCTGCGCTGGGCAATTTATTGAAGAAATCACTAGTATAGGCAGTATTGGATTAAATGTTATTTTATTAGTTGGCTGTATGAAATAAGTGTTTGCCTGTTTATTTTTTATATTGTAACACCTGATGGCGTCACTACTTTACTTCCTTCTTCCGGTTTTGTAAAGCAAGCGTCTAACGTCTACTTACTGTGCAAATGTGAATATAAATAAATTTTTCATCAGAAGTCTTGTTTATTAACCTAATCTCAATAGGTTATGGGCCCAGGTCCACGTAAGTGAACAATTGGTGATAAAAAAAGAGCAGAGAAAACAGTAAAGTACTAAGTGTGATTTGACAGTAAAACCGCGTGCTGCATATAACCTAAAATGGAGTTTGGAAAGACAATGAACCTAGAAAAATTCGATGGAACTAATTTTAAACAGTGGAAATTTCAAGTAAAATGTGCCCTCCGTGCCAAAGGGTTAAATATCTACACGCTAAAACCAGAAGGAAGTGCGACTCAATGGAACAAAGATGATGGGATGGCAATGTTTATATTAACATCGGCTATGGATTTTAATCAAATAGCACTCATCGAAAATTGCGAATCAGCGCTTGAGGTGATGACCAAACTTGAGTCTATATATGAACAAAAATCCGAGATGACTAAAATGATGATACATGAGCGTTTTTATCAATACAAAATGTCACCGGCAGATAGCATTGCTCAGCATATAGCTAAACAACTTAAAGAAAGTGGAGAGGTTATTAGTGATACTGCGATCATAACTAAAATATTGAGTACACTACTTCCCAAGTACAGATCTCTACGCCAGGCTTGGATGTCACTCGATACTCAGAATCAAACTATAGTTAATCTAACAGCTCGCTTGTTAGATGAGGAGGCCAGCTTGAATGTAGAAGAAGAGAATGAGACTGCTTTATTATTGGCAAAACAAAGTACAAAGAAGAGAAACATTCCATTAATAAAAACACACAAAGACTTAAATGAAAAGTCACATCGCTTCATATGTTACAACTGTGGGAAACGTGGTAATTATGCAAGAGATTGTCAAGCCCCTAAACAAAAACATAAGCAACAAAGTGAAAGGAATATGTTAGCTTTCAATGTAGCAAATACAGATTTGAAAAACAATGATGAAGATTTACGATGGATATTAGACAGCGGTGCCTCAGCTCACATGTCTTATAAACGTGAAAACTTTGTTGAATTGTATGAGTATACAGGATCTCCACTGAAACTAGGAAACCAAGAAGCTGTAGAAGTGATTGGCCAAGGAAATATTTTGATAGACAAGTGTGTCAATGGACAGTGGGAGACAAGTATATTGAAGAATGTTCTTTATGTACCTAAACTGAGAAGAAATCTATTTTCCGAAGGAGTAGTGACGAGACATGGATATAATATTGTAAAAAAACATTCTGATGCTTTGATTTACAAGGACAATAAAATAGTGCTGTGTGCATCTTTACAAAACAACAATTTATATGAGTTAAAAATTAAAACAATTGAAAATCCAGTGTGTAATGTAGTGCAAAAATTGGACCTTAAAACATGGCATGAACGTTTGGGACATTTGAATGTTAAAGAAAATGTGCAAAAACAATGTGATTACTGGTGTGGACTTATCAGACTGTGACAAATTTGTATGTGAGGGTTGTGCTTATGGCAAGCATGCTCGTCAACCATTCCAGAAATCAAACCGAGGACCACAGCAACCAGGTGATGTTGTATACAGTGATGTTTGTGGACCATGTCGCGTTTTCTTAATTTAAAGAGAGAAATAAAATTCAATATCAAGTTTTACAAGTATATTAAAATATAGTTACGTAGTACAAATAACAATATTCACGTATCCTAAGTAGGGATTATTACTATTAAGTTAAAAGGTATATACAATAAGAGAACGATACTATATAATATTGAAATAATAATAAATTAAGATTAAGGTTATTCGGGTTCGTGGGTTCACGCAAGAAAAAGTAGCATTAACAATTGTAAGATAAAAGAAATATTACTGTCCTGGCTAGCGACACGGTAGGTGTAGCTTAATTTTCATCCCCGGGTAAGTCCGCGCTTGTAGCCGGATAATGAAGTCTCAGGACACGGGAGTCTGGAATGTTCGGTGAAGTCCTCTCACGCCCTTGAGTGACCTCTAACGTCCTTAAGTGACTTCTGCGTTTCGGATGTCTTCCGAGAGTGAGAAATTTACGTAGAAGTTAAGAAAACCCCAGTCTGGGGTTAGTAAAAACTTACGAAGATGAAGATTAATTAAACTATTAAAATAAATGCACACTACTACATTGTAGTAAAATAAGACTAAGGTGCGGCCGTCCGCGGTCAAGACGTGAAGTGATCTCTGGCTGTCTCTTCAACTCGTTCCCCGCCGGCTGACCAATTAAAAGAAGGTCGCGTTGTAATGACGCAGCGTTTTTATACGTCCGCATAATATAGATAATGAGCAATGTATTCTAATGTTTCTTTTGATTTAATCTGTGCGAATGTGTTTAGTAATTAAAATAAATAAGGATATGTTACAACCACTCAGTGTGCCTTCTGTTCAAGGTATGGAATATTTTGTTATCTTTAAAGATGCTGCTACAAGTTTTAGGTATGTGTACTTTATAAAGAATAAATGTGATGTGTTAAACTGTTTTAAAAAATATAATTTAATGATTAAAAACAAATTCTCACATAGTGTACGCATATTACACTCTGATAATGGTAGAGAATACTTAAGCAAAGACTTTAAAGAATATCTTGACAGTGAGGGTATTTCTCATGAGCTCACTGCCCCCTACACGCCTGAACAGAATGGCCGGGCAGAAAGAGAACTTAGAACAATAATGGAAAGTGCTCGATCCATGCTTTATGCTCGTAATGTACCACTCAATCTATGGGCAGAAGCTGTCAATTATGCTGTTTATGTATTGAATCGCACATCCTCGAGTCAGACACCAAATATTACACCTATAGAGTTGTGGAGTGGTGTAAAACTTAGTTTAGATCATGTCAGAGTATTTGGATGTGAAGGGTATGTTCATGTGCCAGATCAGCTGAGAAAGAAGCTTGATTGTAAAAGTCAAAAGATGATGTTAGTTGGGTATGATAATACAAACTATAAAATGTATGGATTCAACCACCAAAAGAATTACAATATCAAGAAATGTCATTTTCAATGAACACAAAAGTCCAGAATTAAAACAGAATGAAGCTCAAATTTTTATATGTGATGATGATGATGAACAAAATGCTGAAGTGCTGATAGACAACACTGAGAATAATACAAGTGAACAGAATTGTGGAAGTGATGACAGCACACATACTACCAATGATGACAGTGATGAGACTTATGAACCTTCACAAGAAATTGATCTCGCTAACATAGATAGATCAAATATAACTTTGCGACCAAGAAGAAATAATTATTTTTATGAGGCAAATTTAATAGAGTTGGATGTACCTACAACTTATAATGAAGCAATTAATAGTAAAGAATGTGAATTATGGCTAGAAGCCATAAATGAAGAATTAGAAGCTCATCGTTCGAATAATACCTGGAGTTTTGTAGATAATCAAAATCAGAGAACTATATCATCAAAATGGGTTTTTAATATTAAAAGAAACCAAGATGGTCAAGTAGACAGGTATAAAGCTCGACTTTGTGCCCGTGGTTTCACACAAATAGAAGGGATAGATTACAATAAAATTTTTTCACCTACTACAAGATATGAGTCAATAAGAATATTATTTTTCTATTTTTGCTGAATATAATTGGAATATAAGACAATTAGATGTTAAGACTGCCTTCTTGTATGAAGAGTTAGAAGAGGATATTTTTATGGAAATTCCAGATGGTGTGAAAGCACCAGAAAATATGTAAATTAAACAAATCCCTGTATGGCCTTAAACAAGCATCCCGATGCTGGAATCATAAATTTACAAATTTTTTATTGAACTTTGGTTTTGTTCAGTCACAAGCAGACAATTGTGTGTTTGTAGGTAACTTTAATGGTATTAAAGCTTTGTTAATTTTATATGTAGATGATGCTTTAATTATGTCTAAATCAAATGCAATATTAAATCAAATTGTAAGTTACTTAAAGGAAGGAGTTAATTTTAAATCGTTTTGTTGGTTTAGAAATTGTAAAAAGTAATGACTGTGTTTGTATCAATCAAAAACACTATATTGAACAGTTAATAAATAAATTTAATATGAGTACTGCACACCATACACCGGTTGATGTAAATATTCAGTTAACAAAAAATATTGATAATGATCAGATTAATTTTCCTTACAGGGAAGCCGTAGGGTCATTATTGTTTTTATCTACAGCAACTAGGCCAGATATTTCAAATGGTGTAAATATGTTAAGTAGATATATTAATAATCCAAGTGTACATCATGTAAATCAAGTTAAGAGAATAATTAGATATCTTATTAAAACTAAAGATTTATGTATAAAGTATCAAGGTCATGAAAACTTAATTGGATATTCAGATTCAGATTTTGCTGGGGACTTAGATACAAGAAAATCAACTACTGGTTATATTTTTATGTTAAATGGTGGGCCTATATCTTGGTCTAGTCAAAAACAACCTTGTATTGCCTTATCAACAACTAAAGCTGAATTTATGGCTGGGTGTGAAGCCGCCAAAAATCTATTATGGTTAAGACAGTTTTTCAAAGAAATTGATATAAGTCAAAATTAAACAACTCTGTGTATTGATAACCAGAGTGCTATCAAATTAATAAATAATCCTGTTTATCATAAAAAGACAAAACACATTGATGTTAAATTTAATTTCATTAGAGAAAAGGTCAAAGAAAAATTTATTATTATTAAGTATGTACAAAGTTCACATCAACTCGCAGATATTTTAACAAAGGCTCTACCTACTATTAAATTTGGATGTTTAAGAGATGAAATATTGTCAAATAAGTAAGTTGTTTATTATTATAAAAGTTTTTTTAAAACAGGCAAATATAAATGTTTTCTTTTGTATAAAATTTAGTGGGAGTATTGGATTAAATTTTATTTTATTAGTTGGCTGTATGAAATAAGTGTTTGCCAGTTTATTTTCAACCACCTTAAAAAAGGAGGAGGTTCTCAATTCGACTGTATTTTTTTTTCTTTTTTTATGTTTGTTACCTCAGAACTTCGTCATTTATTAACCGATTTGAACAATTTTTGTTTTGTTTGGAAGGGTATACTTCCAGATTGGTCCCATTTAAATTTCAAAAAAAAAATACCACCCCCAAGGGTGGAAAAATAGCTAATGATGGATTTAACCTACTTCTAATTGTCATATTGACTTGAAACTTTGCAAGTGTTTCTATTTCCGTTGATAGTACAGTGGTTCGGTATTGTTGACCTGATCTGATGGTAAGGCCAGAAGGTGGATTGGATGGATCTGATGGTGGAAGGTGCTTTGGCTAAGTAATTAAAGCCTACCTATTAAATACATACCTAATCAAATATTTTCGAAATCGGTGCCAGCCCATACAAAGGAAAGCACACCGACTTCGAAAATATTTGATTAGGTATGTATAGGAAATGGAAACTACCAATCAGTTATTTTTTACTTTTTAGTGCTTTTGTTTGAAGTCGGTTTTTATTTTTTTGTTAAAAAGTTTTTATTTATATTGTAACACCTGATGGCGTCACTACTTTACTTCCTTCTTCCGGTTTTGTAAAGCAAGCGTCTAGCGTCTACTTACTGTGCAAGTGTGAATATAAATAAACTTTTCATCAGAAGTCTTGTTTATTAACCTAATCTCAATAGGCAGTAACTGTTTTACCACAGCACTCTATGTTCGTAACGTTTCAACTTTTTAATATAAAGTTTATTAAATCTTTACTATGTCGCACTTCCGACGGCCAAGATTACCCCTCGGAGTCGCTGTCCGCTAATTTAGAATCGGGGTCACCAATTTAGAGTCTTAACTATATGTGGGGATATAAATGAAATATGAAATGCCTTTAACCCATATATTGTTCTAAACGTTACACTTAATTTAATATATTATAAATACATATAAGACTATAGAATACTATTGTGTGTGAGAGAGACAGGGGGACCGTCGGGGCACTCGCGAAACTAACGACTGACTTGTTACCACGCCTGCGCTGAAGGCGCGGGAGCGGTCGCGGAAATAAATTCCGCTGATGGCGGCGGATGCGCATTCCGCTGACGCGGCTATCGCCAATGTGTCGCCACATGAGTATAAAAGACAACAATAAATAAGTATAAATTTACAAAATAACTTACAACTAATATTTACAACTTAATTTAATTAACACTTATGTCTACGCTATAATTAATATATATTAAATAGTAGATGTATTCGAAACACAACCAAGCCACTGTGTTCGGAAGCGGAGCTGGCACAGAGCGAATTGTGCGTACTCGTGAACGTATGGGCGGGCACTGAATTACTAGGGAGCGGCGTCAGCGCGCGACGACCCGTTTCATTTTATCTGTTTTTCGCCTATTGCCATAAATATAAGTTAATAAATGAAAATCTGTTTCTCCGAATACCTAGATAATGACAAGCTAAATCTATGAGTATAACTTTCATATCATATAATAATGTATTTTGTGTGTATCAGAGATTTTAAGGTATTTTTTAGACCTATCTTTGAATTTTTTTTCTATCGAGTGAACTATTGCCAATCGTGTTTTGGCCTCTCCGGGTACTTAGCTATTATTATTATTATTATTTTTTAATATAAAAATGGAAAAATGTCAAATTATATCTAGTTTTAGTTAAAAAGAAACAAAATTAAAAATTATATTGATGTCAATCATAAAAATGAAAATTAAGATAAAATAAAACAATCTAATTATAAATTGTTAACATATAAGGAATTTTTAATGTAGGAAACAATAATAGTGTTCTATATACTAAAATAAAGTTCAAAAAGATAAAATTAACATAAATTTATGAAGTGTAAAATGTTTATATAGTAAGTATAGTATAATATAGCATAATATAGTATAGCATTAGTATAGTGATAGTATAGCATTAAGTACTGTAAGCCATACTTTAGTAATGTATCATCAATCTCTCATGTATCATCCATATATGGTCGACCACCCATTAAGCTAAGCTTCATTATAAATTTAATTATTATATTCTGATTATTAAATATGTCTCCAACCTAAGAAGACGTTTATCTTTGAAACCTCTAAAACATACCACATTTGATGGCGATCCTGCCAGGATTCGAACCTGGAATCTTCTGATTAATGTTGTATGAGAATAAAAGTTTACTCGCTAAAGCGGCTAATAAACGTAGATATATGTCATCTTTAGGAATATCTTCTAGATTTATCATAAAATTCACACTTCCAGGACAAATCAGTGACAATACATAAAAACCAACAGTAGAATCCATACTTGGTCTTTCGTTTATGGCGGAAAAAGAATTTAAAGTAGTAAGCTTAGACATGGATTGTGACGAATTAATAATCATTTGAGAAGGAGTTAGGGGTATTACACTAAGTTCTGGAGCTGTTAACTCTCATACAAGTTCTGAGTAATAATGTGACGCCATAGGTAGATGATCGAATATCGAATTCAGAGCAAATGGGTTCGCCGCGATATGTAAGACATCATTTGGTAATAGATTCTTGTAGCCCTTTGCTTCTGGCCTTTCCTGTCTAATATGATGTTCATACGCAATGACTATCTCTCTAAATGGACGCATCTCATCTCTAGACAGAGAAAAGAATGCTTCACGTAGGTCATGTAATTCCAAGCCTTCAGCAACTCGTCCAAGTGAGTAATTCGGATTTCGCATTCGCTGAGTCACACAAAAGCGTTGCACACTAGAACATATATTCTCATGAGCTGGTTCTAGTTCGCACATTTGAGTTAATGGTATACCCAGATCTTCAGGCTCAGATGCCAATTCGCCCCCTATGGACACAGTTGAGGGTTCGCGATATAGAATAAGACATCTATCCACAACAAAGACTGCACAAGTAATAAGATACTGAAGAAATGTATCAATATTAGTAAATTTCGCAGCGACTAATGGCTCACGGATCACTAAAGCTTGAGCTCTATTTCCCGGAGACACAACTCTATACCTCGCTTTCAGTTTATCCTCAATCGAGAATTTCCATTCTTTTGGACCATAGCCGCTAGCACTCAATTTCTCCAATGAAGTCGCGACATTTCTACGCCTATTCTGCATCTCAGCTATAAAAGATAGCATGTTCAACAAGTCTGGAGCGCGTTCAGGAGCCTCATTCTCAGTCTTCTTTTTAGTAACATCAGTATTTTCTTTTTTCTCCTCAGGCTTGGGGTTATCTTTATCACCCCTCTTTTCTGTTTTCTTCTCCTCAGGCTTTTCGACCGAGGCGTTCACTTTTTCGGCTTCCATAATATCGACTGGGTTACAAAATTCCTCCCATGGACAAGGAATGAAGGAGTTTATAATTGAAATAATTATATAATATAGAAGAATTAAAAATAGAAGTTATGATAAAGTTGATGTCTTTTAACCAACTTTAATCCATTGTCCTAACTTTAAAGGAACATTTTTCATTATAACATTTATAAAATTTATGTTATCCGCTGTGTTGAGATTGGGAAAGTTAATCCAATCTTTTTGATTTCCTAATAAAAAGGTACTGAGTTGATCTAAATCGGTATTCAACACTTTTTGTATCACTTTTGGAGCTTTTACCATACTAATGAATTTTCCAATAATGACACCCTTTTCAGTAGTGGATATAAAGCCAATGTTCTCATGGGTGTCATAACTTAAAGATCCAACTCTATCTGAGAAGCATAAGTACAGTTTGGTTCTATTGTCAATTTCTCTCCGATGATATTATCAAATGTATGACGAGAATCAGTTGATGGAGCAGCACGACTCTCATTTGATTTCCCTTTAAGTTGAGATAATGAGAGAATTTTATTATCAACTTCTTCCATATAAGTTGTTATGATTATACTTAACTATAACATGTATGAATTTTAGAACTATATGTATTATATTCGTGGTTTTATAATGGTTCAAAATATCCTAAATTCTGGAAAAGAGCACCTTAAGTGTGAAGTTGTTGTCTGTGCGAACACTATGGACGCGTATGTCATGATCGGGCGTATGCAAAGTTTGTAGAGTGTTACCTTATTTCTAAGGGACAGCTTACTACGTTTGCCTAACATTGGGTAGAGTCTGCCTAGTATGAATGCTGCTCTGTTTCTGACTGTCTGTATGTGTTGTCTGAATATTAGCCTACTGTCTAACGTGACTCCTACGTATTTGGCGTGCTCGCGCCAAGGTATCGATTGGTTGTATAGTGTGATTGGTGTTTGGGGTCTGCGCCGACTATGTCGCCCGAGAACAGTCCGATAAAAGAACACGGCCGCACTTTAATCGGGGTTTATCTCGATGCCCCATTTTCGAAACCAGAGCCCCAGTTCTGTGACCGCCTTCTGAAGGCGGTCTATTATTGTGTTGACATCCCTAGATGAGGTGTAAAGGGCCGTGTCGTCTGCGAAGAGGGCGAAGTCCGTATTTCCGTGCCTCGGAATGTCGCTTGTGTATAATGCGTAGAGTATCGGTCCTAGTACGGATCCCTGAGGGACTCCTGCCCTTATGGGGCGTTGTGTAGAAAGGATGCCCTCTACTTTGACGCGAAAAGAACGATTTGACAGGTAGTCAGTCTCGTATGATGTGCACGAGACTGTCTGGCACACTCATTTGGTATAGCTGGTATAATAAGCCATTGTGCCAGACTCTGTCAAACGCCTTCGCTACGTCTAAGAAGAGTACCTCCGTGCCTATCGGTCGTTTGAGTTTGTTGAATTATGTGTGTATGTACTCCGTTAAGCGGTGCACCTGGTGTACGCTTGAGTGTTGTGCTCTAAAGCCAAATTGTTCCGGTATGATGAGTGATTTGGCCTCTACTACGGCCTTAAGTCTGACTAGTATGATTCTTTCATAAATCTTACTAATGCAGTTGAGTAGTGAGATCGGTCTGTAGCTAGCTGGGAGGTTACGGGTTTTTCCCGGTTTGTGTATACCTATTACTATTGCTTCCTTCCATTCGTCCGGGAACGAGGAGTCTGCCAGAAGGGCATTAAATATGATTACTAATAGATATATAATCTGGTTCGGTAGGAATTTGATGACTTTGTTTGAAATTTTATCTAATCCTGGGCCTTTTTGGCGTGTAAATTCTTGACTATTACCTCTTCTACTGAGGTAAGGTAGGGTCTGTAGGTGGTGTGTTTACCCTACTCTTTATGTCTGAGTTGACCTTTAGGAGGTGCTCAGTGTCTATGAGGTGTGTGTTTGGTAAGAACTGTGTTTCGTATGTGTCTGCCATGCACTCGGCCTTATCGGTGTCCTCTAAAGCTAAGGTATTGTCTTGCTCAACCAAGGGAGGCATTGTGGATGTACCCTCGTTCCTGAGAGCTCTCGACAGTGACCAGTATGCCAGGTGCGATGGCGAGAGCTCTGAGAGACGTTTGTCCCACTGGTTATTGCGGAGGTCGGCCAGGCGGTGCCTGACCGTCCTGTGCAATTTCCATAACCTCCTTCGATTTGCGTCTGTCGGGTATGTGTGGTATGCCCTAGTTGCTGCGTTTTTCCTATTGATTAATATCCTACCTGCTTCAGGGAGGGGCCAGCGCCCCTCGAAGGGCACCGAGCACTCCCTGGAACATTCACCTACTGTATTTTTGATAATTTCTAAAACTTTGGTATTCGCCTCTTTGGCCGCCGATACCGAAGTTACCGTGTCCGTTGTAATATTTAATTTGGCCGTATCTATTGTCTGGAATCGATCCCTAAGTCTTTTCCAATCTGTTATTGTACGTTTAATCGATCTATCTTCTACGTCGTGTCCTAGCTGGAGTAGGACAGGACGATGGTCCGAACTAAGCTCTGCTAGCACTTCTAATGAACGTACCTGAAGGGTAATATTCTTTAGGAGTGCAAAGTCTAATACGTCTGAACTGTCGTGTGTCTGTCTGGTCGTGTACCTAGTTGGCTCTATCGGCGCTACTATTTCTATGTCTGGGTTTCTTGAGCCGTCCAAAATGGCGTTCAATCTGACCCCTTTGCAATTTGAATTTGTACTGTTCCAGCGGGGATGTTTGCAATTGAGGTCCCCGGCCAGAATGACCGAGTCCCCCATGGACATGATCGACTGAAGGTCTCTCTCTAAGATGTCCTTATTAGGTGAAAGATAAGCTGAGGCTAACACTATCGACTGATGACCTGTCATTCCTATTTGACACACGGTAGCTTCGATATTCGTAAGCTGCGGAGGGTCTATCGGGACGCAATGTAGTGAACTTCTATAATAAATGACCGTTCCGCCTAATGCGGTCGATCTGTCCGTTCGAATGATTCTATAATTGGCTATCTTGGGATCTCTAATGCTAGGTTTTAAGAATGTTTTTTGTATTAAAAGGATATCTATCTGGTGTTTGACTATAAACTCGCGCACCTCTGTAATTTGATCGATAAGACCGTTTGCATTGAATGTGCATATGTTGAGTGAGCGTGGCTTTATTCTACCTAAACTAGCCATGTTATTGTGTAAATTGTGTGAACGCAGTTGAAATCGCTTCAATCCTCTCACAAAAGGACATGAACGTCGAAATCATGTTATGTAAATCCTGAACGTCCGGGACGCCCAGGAGGCTGCACATCGCTGATGATGTTGTCTTGGGTGCAGAAGGCTTTGGCGCTGAAGGCGCTGTGGGTTTACCCGACGGCGTCGAAGCCGCGCGGTTAACCCATGCGTTCGTAGTCGGCGCCGGGGCCGGTGTGTACACAGGTTTGGCTTCTGCCGCAGATGGCGTTGTCCTGTGTGTTGTACGCGTACCGGGGGCTTGCCCTAGCGGTCTCCTGCGCGGGGCGCGGGGGCACCCACGATAGTTCGCGGGATGACCCTGCTCTTTGCACAGGACACAGCTAGGAGGCACCTCCGGTACGGGTTCCTTACGCGGACAGTCCGAGGTACCGTGGTCCCCTAGGCACTTGACGCAACGGGGGCGTCCAAAGCAGTTTTTGGACGAGTGGCCGTATAACTGGCACCTGTGGCATTGCCCTGGGCCACCACGGTTCCTCGGAGCCTCCACTCGGACCGATAGATAACAAACGGCTCGAACGTTGTAAATCTTTTTGCCTTCTGGCGATAGGTCTAATGTTACCAGTACAAGATCCAGAGGATCTTTAGTGTAGGGCCGGAACATACGGTAGACTGTATGAACCGGGAACCCTTGTGCCTTGAGGTCCTCAAGGATGTGTGCCTCGGTGATTTCTTGGGGAAGGCCCCTTAGGACTACCCTAAGTTGTTTCTCTTCTTCGAGAGCGTACGTGTGATATCCTACATTAAGTTCCCTAAGCAACTTAGTGAGGTTTCTATGGTCTTGTGTACTCGTAACACTTACTTTGATGCCTTGTCCCGTTGACTTGGCATGATTGAAATTAATATTCCTTGCTGACATTTGTGTCAGGACATTATTCCAAGACTTTTTGTCTTGGACAAAGGTTGGGGGCGGGGGTTTTGTCCTAGGGACGCTGTCGTCCGTCTTAGGTGTCTGTCTTTCGTCAGTGCGTTTGTTTGTGTGTTCGCTCGGTTTAGTGAGCGATGCTACTGTCGAGGTCGTGGCTGGGTTGTTTGCCTTAAGGGCCTTCTTCTTTCGTTTCTTGGACTCTACAGGGATGAATCCGTCCTCTGTCGAGTCGGACTCTTCCCTTAGAGTCTCCATGTCGTGGTCAGTCGTGTCAATAATCGTTTTTGTAGCTGCTCTCTTAGCAGGCTTGCTAGGGGTAATGAATTGCACCGAGGGTGCTGAATGCGCGGGAGGCGCGGGCTGCGCTGAGGGCGCGGGGTGCGCGGAGTGCGCTTGGGGTTTTTGTGCTGTAAGCACGGGTTGAGCGGAGGTGGAGGGCTGCACTAATGGCGCGGGGGTTGACTGCACTGAAGGCGCGGGCTTGACTGGGGTCACTGAGCGTGACCGGGACTTTAGGTTGGGCTGGTTCAGTAGTTCTTGCAAGGGTCCCTGAGGGGCTTTGAACCCCTTCAGTGCTTCGGGATGGCATTCCTTTAGGTACTTGATGAGTGCCAATAGGAATTCGGTCGCCGTGTCCATGTTTTCGTCCTTTCTGTCTGTCTGCATTTCCCTAGGGGGCCTATTTGTTTTCACCCTGCCGCAAGGCAGGGTGATGAGTGCCTACTTTGGTGCTACCTACAGTCTCCGTGTGGTGCACGGAGATGTGTGCCTAACAACTACCACCTACCTACAAGTGTGTCCTTGCAAGTGGACGACTAGGCTGCTTGGCTCACTACACTGTACACTAGCACTTCACAGGCGACGCCGGATCAACTTCACTTCTCACTTCCACAATGGTCGCACGTGTGCGGGTCGGTATGTGCTTGCGCATCACCTCAATACAGTTTGGTTTAGCTATATCTGGCTGAGCGGTCATGGATACGTCCGCTCAGTTCGACGTCGCTGTCCGGAATGATATGATGATCTGATAGAAAACATCTAATACCTGAGAAATGTATATTAACGGTGCGAGGGGTACGGGCGGCAGCACCGAACTACCGTGCCCCCCCCCCTGCTCTCTCCCCCCGGCCAACTCCCGTATAAAACTCGGGGCGCTTCTATTGGTCCGAATAATAAGTACACTGGTGCGCGTTCCGGCCGTTTACGCGTCGATGAGAGTGTATACTACTGCGCGCGACCGAGCAAGTAGACATCATTTCAGTTCGCACCCTCGAACCGAACGTACGTACTCATCGACAATGCCACCCAAGACTAGCGGAAAGGCAGCGAAGAAGTCGGGCAAGGCCCAAAAGAACATCTCCAAGTCCGATAAGAAAAAGAAGAAGCACAAGAGGAAGGAGAGCTACGCCATCTACATCTACAAAGTGCTCAAGCAGGTCCATCCGGACACCGGTATCTCCAGTAAGGCGATGTCGATCATGAACTCTTTCGTGAACGACATCTTCGAGCGCATCGCCGCCGAGGCGTCTCGCCTGGCCCACTACAACAAGAGGTCGACGATCACGTCCAGGGAGGTGCAGACCTCCGTGAGGCTCCTGCTCCCCGGTGAGTTGGCGAAGCACGCGGTCAGCGAAGGCACCAAAGCGGTCACCAAATACACCAGCTCGAAGTAAATGGTCGTGTCGTCGTCATTGTACGTGCGCGCATCATTTCTTTACAAAAAGGCCCTTTTCAGGGCCACAAAACGATTCATATTGTGTACAGTTTCACGAACACGTCTCTCCCTCCCTCTCCTGACTCATCATAAATGGGCATATAATATATTATTCTTTTTGTTCGTTATGAAATTGATTATGACGATGATAATAATAATGATATTCCAAAAACCAATGAATCAATGATAAACAATATTATTAGAGGGATTTTAGGAATAATCATTATCGTTAGGTAATTACTTAAAATGCCGCGCGCGCGCACTAGCCCCTAATGACCCAAACATAATGTTATTATCATTCCCTCCACGAAAATATATATGATTAAAGTACCTACAATAAATAGCAGATGATAAAAATGTCGAAAGTAAATATAATACACAAAAAATTAGCAATCAAACACAAACTCATCCCAGAGACACATACACTATATTCTTATACAAATACACACCAAATTCCGTTCTCGAAAATACAAATTACAGACCGTGCTATTCTGACAGACAAAAAGAAAACCATCCATTACAATAGACCGGCGTGCTTATTATCTAAAATTAAGCGATCAGCGATAATTGTGCAGTCATTGCGCAGAAGACGCGCGATTGATTGCTCTAGGTGAAAAATAATCGTATTACCTAAGCGATCGCTCGCTAATCGTTCGCTGATCGCCAAATGCAGTTATCGCGATGTAACTAGCGCCACTAACAATTTGGTAGCGATAATTAAAACTAAAAACGTAGCAACTAATATATAATCTGTGAAAAAATGCTAATTGACATTTGGAAATTGGATTCTAAGTAGTAATTTGTTTTGTTTATACTTTTTATAAAATATGGCAAATACTAATAGAGTATCGAACGACCAGCTCGAAGAACTCTTAGAGTTCCTTAGCGAGCATCCTACCTTGGCCAAGGGAGTTGGGCTTGGAGCAAGATCCAAGGAAGCTGTCGACAAGCAATGGGACAGTCTTGCTACAAAGCTCAATTCCCATGGTTCTGGGTCGTCGAAATCTGGACAACGATGGAAAAAGGTAAGTTCTCATAATATTATAGAAAAGAGATCCATTTTTAACCAATTAATTGAAAAACTGCTTGAAAATAACATTTTATTTATGAGATAGAGCTGTGCTGCTCTTTATACGTTGTGATAAATACTTTTGTTGTTATAGTACTGGGCTGATATTAAGCATAAGAGCAAGGCTAGGCTAGCTAAATGGAGAAGGGATGCTTTGGGTACTGGTGGTGGTCCTTGTAGTCAAGATGACCTCTCCGAGGTAGACAAGAAAATCTTGTCTATCATCGGGGAGCAAGCTGTGTTTGGTGATACTGAGCACCGAATTCCATTTGTAAGTTTCTTTAATAGCTTTTTTAATATGATTGTTATTTATGAAAACTAAATACTTATTCTTTTTTAGATCAGTGAACAGTTAACACCAGAACCATCAACATCATATGAATTACCAAGTAAGTTATTTAGAAGAGCATCTGTGATGTGATGTGAGGGTCAGGCAATGGGATGTTGGGAAAATATATTTTGTTTTATTATAACTTTATCTAAGACTGATTCATATAAATTATTTATTTACTTAAAATATTTCAAGGCTTTAAGTAATGGTTTGGTTTAAATGTCATTTAAAATGGTGGTACTGCATGTCACACAATTTGTACCAATTAAATATTTTTTGTAATATTTCAGTATTAGTTTTAATATTATTCTTTTTTAATTTCAATTATCTTATAAATAAATTTTAGATAATAAAGCAGATGATGTGCAAATTATGGTGTTATCAGAGCCTGTTACTGTGGCCTCACCTTCCACAAGAGGTCAAACATCCAACCTATGTAAGTGTTATGATTTTTATAAAACTAAAAAGTACTGTTATAATAATATATTATATCTCGAACTTAATATATAACAAAAAGATGATTGTCTGTCTGATCTATCAATACTCAGCTCAAACCACTGGACGGATTGAGCTGATAGGCATATGGATAGCTATTATGAAATACATATATACATCTGCTAAGGCTTATATGTAAGTTATGAAAAAAATGAATTTTAATTTGTTTATTTTTAACAATTTTAATTTGTTTATTTTTAACAATTTTTATTTGTTTATTCACAGGCACTTCCCAAATTCCAGAAACTGGTTCTGTATCAGTAAAAATGGATGTAAACACAGAACCACCACTGACTGGTGCTTATACTTATTTATAATAAAAAATAATTAGTTTCCTTATTAAAATACATAAAGCTATAATCATATTATTTTACAGGATTAGATAGTCCAGTGGCGCGACCACGTATCTATCGCCCACGAAGACTTAATAGTCCTTATAAATCTAAAACTACAGGTAAGATCACTTTAGAAAATTTTGTTAACAATAATAATAATGAATGCTTTACTGTATTGTTTTGAATAAAATTAAAATATTATTTTATTTCAGTTCAATCTAAAATTGACCCAGAATGGGTAAAAGGACTAGAGAATCGCAGAGTTGATGCAGAGACCAAGCTTGCAGAGGCTGCTCTTATTATGGCAGAGTCTACGCGAGCACAAGCCGAAGCAGCTAAGGTGCAAGCAGATACGATGCGATCTTGTTGAATTAGTACGTGTGCAACATGAAAATATCCATGCTCTGATAGAGCTAATCAGAGAAAAACGGGAAGAAAAATAAAATACTGTTGAACATTAAATTTTTTATTTTATTTTTTTGTTTTATAAGGAAATCTGCAAGCAGTATTTACTTTTAGCAAATATGTTCTAAGTTTTATATATATATCTACGTACATACATGCATATATATATATATATATATATATATATATTTAATAAATTTTTTATATAATTAAAATAATTGTATTATTTATTGTCTGGGGGCTGACCACAAACGTTGCACTATTCTGTCTCTTTGTAGTCTCCCACTGGCCAAGAGCTGTTGTTCTGCATCAGCACCCACAGCTAGAGGTGTTCGTGGAACTCGATGATTCAAATCATTTTCAACATCATCATGGGGCAATTGTGGTACTGGCAAGCGATGTCTATTGCAAATATTATGTAATACAGAACAGGCATTAATAATCATAGCCACCATGTGGTGGTCATAATGTAGTACTCTGTGTGCCAATAGACATCTCCAACGCGCTTTTAGAACTCCAATGCAGCGCTCCACTGTATTTCTGGTACGACAGTGAACATTTGTGTAGTGCTCTTCTGCACTACCAGGTTCTGCATTTACAATTGGAGTTAAAAGCCATGGCCTCAGTGGATATCCAGAATCACCTGTAAATTACTGATGTTTATTAAAAATATTCATATTGCTCTTTTAATGTAATATTATTAGTTATTCTATGCACCTAGAAACCAGACATTTTCACCTCTACTGTGAAGCTCTTGGAGATGGCTCTGAATTTCACCATTTTTCCATATGTATGCATCATGTGAAGCACCACCAAATGATGCATCAATATTTAAAATATTTAAATCACTATCACATATCTAGAAAAAATACATTTATGATTTGTGTACATGAATTATAATATACAATAATGGACTAAAATTTTCTAAAAATATATAAAGAAAAGGTAACTGACTGACTGATTTATATCAATGCACAGATATAACTACAGGACTGATTTAAATTTTTCATATAGATGATTATTATGATGTAGGCATCCTTTAACCAATATTTTAAAATTTAATCCCTGGAGGGTGAAATAGAACTTAATTTAAGTGAAACTGTGGGGTCAACACTAGTTGTCATAAGTACAAAAAAATATGTATGAATTACTTACCATTTGAACATTTCGTGAATGGTAATGTTTCCTATTAAAAAATCTCTCCTCATGCTCTGTTGGCTTAATAAGAGCTACATGGGTACCATCTATACAACCCAAGCAACCAGGAAAACCAAATTTATTTGAAAAGCTAAAATAAAGTGAATTAGTGAATCATACAGTAAAAACAGTTGTGAAACTACAATTTTTACAAATCTTCTAGTCCTTACCCATTTATTATTGCCTGTCTTTCTTGTCGAGACTGAGGGAAATGTATGTACTTGGTCAGTATACTGTGTGTATTTAATGCCCTAGTCACTTCTTTCACAGCATTAGATACACTAGCTTGACTGAGCCCATGCAAGTAGCTCATGCCAACAGGCTTCTGATAAGAGCCAGTGGCATAGAATGAGAGAGCTGTAAGCACCTGTAATATCACCATATTATATTAACATTAAGCCTCCTGTTAAGTCAATAAAGGACAATATTGCATACATTACGATATTATTATTTACTTACTTTGCATTCTACAGAGATTTTTGTTCTCCTTTTCAACCGAACCATGAATGGTTTTAACTCTGAGCATAAATGTTTAAACAGCTCCTTAGTAAGTCTGTAGTTGGCTTTGAAGTCAGTATCAGAAAGCGCCAAAGCTTCGGCTTGATTTCGAAGTCTACGTCTCAGTCGTGCTGTAACGCGGCTGTGACGCCGTTGGTTTTCACGGTTCTCAATCTCTAGTGCCTCAAATAAAAGAAAAGCACGAGCCATGTCGAATGCAAATGATCAAAGACCAACAAGTAACGTAAACAGAAACTACGCTTTACACTTACTACAATTTATCAACACCAAAATAGTTAAAAATATTATAATCACTTTTTATACACATAAAAACGCAGCATTTATAACAATATAAGAGAAAATCCTAAATTTAACGACAAACAATAGATCAGCAATCGGCAAAAAATCACTTCTAGGGCTATCGCAAACTGACAGATTATATTGCTTGTTGATTGCTATCGCATTGCTCTCGTGAGTCATACCTAATACGAAAAAATCGTAATTTCATAGATTAAAATGCACATATAGTTCACCGATTGCTCGACAGAGGAAGCACTGTCACTTGTTTGCGATTGTTTTGCTATTGCCGATACATAATACGATTTTGCGATTGGACAGCAATTATTGTACGATTTTCGCTATCGCGAGTGGTTTGCTAGATACGTAATCAGCCTGCGGATGTTACGCTCCAAGATAATATAAATAATATAGTGTATACATATTATAGATATAGCCGTACCTAATAATCACAATTTCATTAAAACACGACGACACAACCGAAAAATTCCAGACATATCACCAAACTCATATACAAAAACCAGCAATCAATCAATTTTAAATACATGCATGCATGCATGCATACATCGTTCGAAAATTCACGCACAGGCGGCAGACACTGATCTGTATCTTATCACACACACCGAGCCCGCCCGCGCCCGACTGCCCGACTCCGATTTTTATTTTATTATTATTATTTTTTTCTCTTTTCCTAAAGAAATCTGTCCTAAATAATTAACTTACTGTATAATTATTATTTCTACAACATACAATCATACATACATACATACCCGCACGTATTCGTTCGTTCGTAACATTTCGGTATTCTCGCGATCTAGAACGAGACGGAGATATATATAGAGCTCTATAAAGAGGCGATCTCTGCATGTTTTATAAGTATTCGTACCCCGACCGTCGTGACGAGCGTGTAGTGCGTACCGTACGTAACTGATAACCGATTTCAAACTATTCGTGTAGTGTCAGCGAGTGAGAGATGGCCCGTACAAAGCAGACTGCCCGTAAATCTACCGGCGGCAAGGCGCCCCGTAAACAGCTCGCCACTAAGGCTGCGCGTAAGAGCGCACCGGCCACCGGCGGAGTCAAGAAGCCGCACAGATACAGGCCCGGAACCGTCGCACTCCGTGAGATCCGTCGCTACCAGAAGAGCACCGAGCTCCTCATCCGCAAGCTGCCGTTCCAGCGTCTTGTGCGCGAGATCGCCCAGGACTTCAAGACGGACTTGCGTTTCCAGAGCTCCGCCGTGATGGCCCTCCAGGAGGCCAGCGAGGCCTATCTGGTCAGTCTGTTCGAGGACACCAATCTGTGCGCGATCCACGCCAAGCGTGTCACCATCATGCCCAAGGACATTCAGCTGGCTCGCAGGATCCGCGGAGAACGCGCCTAAACGAACGCGCAACGCGATAATAATGATGATAATTCCAATGTATGCGAACGTTCGTTCGGTGAATTGTTGTTGTTATTATTGTATAAAAAGGCCCTTTTCAGGGCCACAAATTAATCTGTATTAAAATTTGGTTTCATACGTGTACACAGAGTTCGTCTTAGTTATAATATTATTACATTTTATATATATACAAACATACATACATTATGTACATAATGGAACAGAATATCGTTCAACATAATAAATGAACACAAGACCACGCCACTGGTCTACTCTCTAATCTATAGGTGCTCATATAAATAAATAATTATTATTAAAAGAATAACGTTACGTATACATACTTACTTTATTGGTTTTATATAATATGAATATGACAAAAATTCGTTACACGGAAATTATGTGTATGTTCGTCCTAACGACGCGTACACACGCTACGATAGCGGTCGAAATTAATTATTATTATTATTATATTGTATGTATAAGAAAAATAATATTATAACATACATACATATTTACTCAATTTTAACGGGGGATAACTTAAAACAAATGAACTAGACTTTATTATTGTAGATAAACACATACGCAGTATAAATATAAAATTATTATTATCTATATATTAAAACGAGCTATATTTTATGATGTATGATGTGAAGGTATTATTGTTCGCGATATATTTACGCGAGCATATTATTATTATTATTAATTAATATTTTACAATATACGTTTAATTTGAACAACAAGAGCATGTGCATCGCCTCTTCCCCCTAACCGCTACGTCGACGAACTTTGTCGAACGTGGACGACGCAGAGTCGTATCGCGGGCACGGTGCGATAGTATATATAAAAGGGGACGTAACCGCATTTCGAAATTCACAAGTGCTACGGAGAGCTACAACCGCCTAAGAGATAACACCTCTAAGCACTGTACGGACCTCCAAGTATTAGCCGCCCGGTTTGAACAATCTCGATTGTAAACAACCGATGGTCACGGTGTAGGCAGTTTTCCATCAGCTGCCTGCCACCCATAAAATCTTATGGGTGGCACAAACGGCCCTTCTCAGGGCCAAGACAGAACTCGTTCATCGAGGAAATGCTGTGAACGAACCGGCTTGCACCTCGGTGTCCTCCCGATCCGGCGACAGAACAACATCTCCAGCCCGCCAAGTCACGACACGAAGCCAACGAACGCCTATGATCGCAGGACAAAACGATGCCCCCGCGGAACAGGCTACAAGACACCTAACTTCGCCAGCGCTAACAAATGCGCCCTCAACACACCAAGCAACAATCGCAATATCGTCGACGCCACATCACTTAGCAACACCCGCAAGCATGTTGCAATCACAATTACTACAACCATCGGAAAAACCCGAAAAGCAGCCCCTAATGAGTCACCACTCAACAGCGCACGCAGGTGTGCTTCAAATGAGTCATCGCTCTACGGTGCACACAGGTGCGCAAACAATGACTCACCACCCGGCAGCGTACTCAGGTACCCCGCCGTCACCGAGCGTAACCGCCACAACGCCTCAAACAGCCGTCGTGAACACAACCTCCAGTTTCGCGCCGCACGCACCGGAAATCATGGATACAGACTCCATCTCAATCAGACGTCACCGCCCCTCTGAACTCATTCCCAATGAAAATGAATCGGATCAACCAAAAAGACACTGCCCGTCAGGAAGCATAAACGCAACATCTCGCGACCCGAGATTACGAAGCCATGAAACCTTCGCCGGAGCGCTCCGAGCCCAAACCGCTGCTACAAACGCCCCAGCCACCATGCCCGCCGCCACTACAACAGCCCCTGCCGCCCCCGCCACATCCACGAGATCAAAATACCCACCACTGATAGCAGAAACGCTACCAAACTGGGCAAAGCACTTCCGTGCCCTGAGAGACAAGCTCGGGCACTCACCAAACGCCCGCCCATACGGCAGAGGCGTGAAATTCACACCAGAGACAGATCAAGAATGCAGAACGATCCAAAGATACCTAACGGACCTCGAAAAACATGAAAACATATCATGGTTTTCATATTCGCTACCATCTGAGAGAAGCATTAAAGTAGCCATCAGAGGCCTGCCGATGGACACCGACCCAACGGACATAGAATACGCCTTAGAAGAGCTCGGCTATAAACCTGAGTTCATCAAGCCTATCAAAGCCCGACAAGGCCGACCAGGATGCATCTTCCTGGCGATACTCGCAAACACTCCCGACCTTCTACCGGGAATATACAACACAAAAGAACTACTATTCATGCCAGGAATAACTATCGAGGCATGGCGAGCTAAGAAAGGCCCCGCACAGTGTCACAGATGCCAGGGTTTCAGGCATTCAAGCCACGGCTGCCATCGTCGCCTAGCTTGTGTACGCTGCGGAGAAGAACACAGCGCCCGGGAATGCCCCCGGCCCTTAGAAGCCCCACCAACAAGCATAAACTGCGGCGGCGATCACCCCGCAAACTATGCAAAATGTTCACAGTTCAAGAAAGAAATCAGAAACAAGAAAGCCGGTGCCGTGGCAATAACAGCCACAATCACACCGAAAACAAAACCGGCAGCCACTCCTACGGCTCCGGTCTTACTCGAGAGCGACGGCTCCACATTGATGGCAGCCGCAAACAACCCACATCTAAGCCCCCGACGCAAGCTCCGAGGCAAAAAGAAGAAAAAGAATACAACCACTCAGAAAACTACCACTGAAAACGCAGTGTTCTCTTTTCAAGCTGTCGCGGCTCCGCAAGACGCCACACCAAACTACGGCGTCACAAGCAATCACGGTGAAACAAGCACCTCCATCACTCAGGCCGCAACACCTGTGTTCTCTGCATTCACAACGCAAGCTCAGACACCTGCACCGTCACCTCTAGCAAAGGTCAAGCCACCAAGTTATAATTTCGCAACAGCAAAAAGCAACACTACCAGTACGGCCCCCTTCAATTTCAACACCGTCACATCCTCCCGTCAAGACACAACAGCCTCCACACGAGGCGTTCCAAGCCACTCAAACAAAGATGGGAAAACCGTAGACGCAGCCATCGAAATCTTAAAGAACGTACTCGCCACCATAAGAAACGGCCAGGACCCCACAGAAGTGGTCCTGCAAGGAATAATCACACTATTCAGACATGGATAATCTCAGAATAATCTTTTGGAACGCATGCGGCCTAAAAACCAAAGCCACGCATCTTCGTTGGCTCCTGCGAGATCAAAACATTGACATCGCACTGATCAATGAAACTCATCTGATCTCAGCAGACCAGATAAACTTCCCCGGTTACTACATCTACCGTCTGGATCAAGACAACAGACGACGCGGACTGGCTGTGCTCGCAAGAAGAAGCCTGATCCACCAGCCACTACCTCCTCCAGCCACAACAAGCTTTCAAGCGACAGGAATAGAAGTCTCCCTCGCCGGCAACCACACAAGAATATACGCCATCTACAAGCCTCCCAAATCAAACCTATCACCTACAGAAGTGCGCTCGCTGTTAGACCCACCCGGGTCCTCACTAGCAGCAGGAGACTGGAACGCGAAAAACACAGCTTGGCATTCCCGCTCCACGAACGGGGCAGGCCATACTCTGCTCACAGACTCCGAAGCGCACGGGTACAACGTCTCCGCACCAGAAGCCCCCACACACTATCCATGGCAGCACTACCACGCGCCTGACATCATCGACCTCGCAGTCCACCGCGGAATACCCCAGATCTCGCTTGAAACATTACAAGATGCTTTCGGATCAGATCACATGCCCGTCCTCGCTACCATCTCAGGCTGGGTGGCAAGATCAATCCCACCACCCCCTCGCCACCGCATAGACTGGGAAATTTTCAGCGAGAAACTAGCAAACACCATGCCTACCAGAATCAGTCCCCTGACAGAACCAGAAGACATCGACGCCTTCACAATTAGCCTCACAAAAGCCATCAGCGACGCCATATCCGCCGCCACCACCAGTACTCCAAACACCAGACGCATGCCAACCACCTCTCGCCGCATTTTAGCTCTCATACTCAAAAAAGCGTGAAACCCGTAGGAACTGGCAGCAAACAAGAGACCCGGCTCTCAAAACAAAACTTAACCACCTAATAGAAACCATCCGGGCAGAACTCAGAGACACCGCGGCAACTAGCTGGGACAACAAAATCAATGCAGCCATAGGAAACCCCAGCCTAATTCACCGGATCTGTCGTAACTTAACAAGAAACAAAGAACCCATAAGACCTCTGCTTCACGAGGACGGCAACCTCAGATATCGCGCAGAAGACAGAGCAGAGATTTTCGCCAATCATCTAGAGAAAACTTTCTCTCCAAATGACCCAGGAAACAACCAACACGAACGCACCGTAGCCAGATGCATCGCCGAGGAAATAAATCCACCACTCAACGAAGAAGACGAGGTCTTCTTCTTCTCCCCGTCAGAGGTTACAAAAGCAATCAAAACTCTACCAATGAAAAAGGCCCCCGGAATAGACGGAATCACAAATAGTGCACTTCGCCAAATACCCCGGCGCACAATAGCTGCACTAACCCGTCTTTTCAACGCCATACTACGCAGCGGTCATTTCCCCGAGCCCTGGAAGAGAGGAGAGATAATTCTTCTACCAAAGCCGGGGAAAAACCCCACAAAACCAGAAGGCTACCGCCCAATAACTCTACTATCAGCCGTCTCCAAACTGTTCGAGAAGCTCATACTACCAGCTATTCTAGCGCACAACGAACCGCGCCCCGAACAGTTTGGTTTCCGTTCCGGCCACTCAACAACGCTGCAGCTGACAAGGGTTATCCACCATCTATCGACGGCCATGAACAAAAAAGAGTGCGCTGTAGCCGCCTTTCTAGACATGGAGAAAGCCTTCGACCGAGTGTGGCACGAAGGCCTGCTTTACAAGCTGGCAAACAACGCCACTCCTCGAAGACTACTCCATGTCATCGCATCATTTTTGAAAAACAGAAGCTTCCACGTAAGAGTGGACTCAAAAATCTCAACACCAAGAGCCATCAAGGCCGGAGTGCCACAGGGAAGCTGTTTATCCCCGGCACTCTACTCGATATACACCGACGACATTCCGCTTGATCCATCGACTTCCCTCGCGCTGTATGCCGACGACGTTGCCATAATGACGAGCTCCATCAGACCCAAACACGCAGCCGCCAAGATCCAGAGGTCCCTGGACCTTCTACCAGATTGGCTCGCCAAATGGCGCATGAAGGTGAACGTCGCAAAAACGCAGAGCCTGGCCACAAGCAAATACCAGCTTAACAAAATTCCAAAACTCAAACTGGAAGGACAAGACACCAAATGGAAAGGGACCGCTAAATACCTCGGAGTAACAATAGATAGAAGCCTAACAATGTACCGACACGTCAAAAACACCGCAGCAAAAACAAACGCAACCATCTGCCAACTTCGCCCCATTTTCGACTCTTCACTGCCGCTCAAAATGAAGATAAACTTGGTCAAGGCATACATAGTACCGCGCATAACATATGCCGCTCCAGCATGGATAGCCCTCACAAGCGATACATCAAAGAAAAGACTCCAAAGACTACTAAACAAAGCCCTACGACATGCAACCCAGGCTCCCCGCTTCGTAAGAAACGCAACAATAACGCGAGATCTTCGATTCGAGAGCCTGGACGAATGCATCCGACGCCAGACTGAAAGAATGTTCGAAAGAGCCGACGCATCCGCACATACACACATACGAGACATTGCCCCATGGCACACTCGTCCTCCTGACAGAAGAGCGCTCCCCAGAGACGGCCTAACAACTAGAAGCTAAAACTGCTAACCCGGCTAATGGTCGCCTAAAAACCGGGCCGACCGTACGGGTTACAAGGAACACCAGAAAAAGGCCTTAATGAGGCCTCTCCAAGGACGCGCTCATAGACATGAGCGGCGAGTGATACCATGGCCAGAGGGCACAGCCCTGAAGCCATTTCCCCACACCTCCCCCGCACGGGGCGTAGCGAGTGAGAAGAATCGAGTACAAGTGCTACGTGTTTTGTTCCGTTCGGACGTATCTACGGCTGTCGCTGTGCGTTGGTGTGTGTGTGGATATATTATTGTACTAACAGAAGTCGCTCAAGATGACCGGTCGCGGTAAAGGTGGAAAGGGATTGGGAAAAGGTGGTGCCAAGCGCCACAGGAAGGTGCTCCGTGACAACATCCAGGGTATCACCAAGCCCGCTATCCGCCGTCTGGCGCGCAGAGGCGGCGTGAAACGTATATCCGGTCTGATATACGAGGAGACCCGCGGCGTACTCAAAGTGTTCCTCGAGAACGTGATCCGCGACGCCGTCACCTACACTGAGCACGCCAAGAGGAAGACCGTCACCGCGATGGACGTTGTCTACGCGCTGAAGCGTCAGGGCCGCACTCTGTACGGTTTCGGCGGTTAAGCGCAAGTAGTGTGACTGCTAGACGACAGCGGCGGTCGGGCGGGCGGGCACCACCACCAACGAACGACCCACCCGGTCGTCGCTCGACAATTCTAAAAATAAAAAAGGCCCTTTTCAGGGCCGCATAAGTTTCTGTTGTCCTACATAATGTTTCTTACGTTACATTGGACGTCTCTCGCATTCACGTTAATTATCATTAGTCATATAAATATTTATTATACAAATGAAAAAAAAAAACCTACGCTATAAATAAACCACGATTCATCGAAACGATTACACACAACAATTGACGTTTGCGCGGTGAGCAAATCTGACGAGAGAGGGGGGGATATAATAATAACCAAATTGTAGTGGACTGTATTTATTTTTCTTCCTTCGATGTAATAAAACACTTCTTGAGTATAACTTGCTTTTATTTTACTTTACAATATTTGAACTGAAGAGAACACTTTATTCAACGGTAGTCAACTGAATACTGAACTGAACTGAACTGAACTGAATGATTTACATATTATCTTATCTTTTATCTTAATTTTTAGCTGTTAGCCTTGTAGGCCTTGACAGCGTAACCGGTTGGGGGGGGCGGGCTAGTAAGCCCGTCCTCGATGCTTAGAGCCGCGATGACTGGCTCGGAGAATGAGCGGAGGCGCACTCGCGCCTCCGGGTATGGACTGTGGGAGATATAAAATTAATATTATAATTAATTTTAAATAAGATTAATTGTAACGAAATTAAAACATATAGAAATTTAAAATTATACATTACCCGAAGTGGAGTGGAATGTATGTAAATGAGTGTATTTGTATACTAATTATGTCACGACCGTGTTAGGACGGTCGTGTAGCGGTGATCCCGACCGCGCCCGATCGCGGCCGAGGAATAACGAATCTCGGCGGTCTGCGTCGTCGCCGGCGGCGACGCATCCGAGTTCGTGTATTGGTCTGGAACGCGGCGTTCGCTAACGTAATAGCGTCGTCTGGATCTGTAAGGATGTTTCGCGGACGTCTTGCGCGCGGGTCGTTTGGTTTCGGCGTGTACGAGCATGTTTGCACCACTAGCGGGTTAGGGTGCGATACCGAGGTGTCGAAATGCCTTTGAGCGGCGTCTTTGACGAATTTTTTAATTGAGACTAGTTCGAAGTCCCTGTGAAGGTCAATATTTCTTACGTACCACGGGCAGCCGGACGCGATACGTAGAAATTTATTTTGTAAGGTCTGTAGCGTGTCGAGATTCACGTGAGCGAATGCGACACTGGCGTACGTCATGATGGGGCGTATGCAGGTTTTGTAAAGTGTCAACTTATTTCTAAGAGACAGTTTACTCAGCCTACATAGAAGAGGGTATAACCTACTGAGAACGAATGCGGCTCTTCTGCGGGTTTCGCGAAGGTGCGGCCTAAAGGACAGATTACTATCGAAAGTAACACCTAAGTATTTAACCTGTTTTTTCCAGGGGATCGGCGTGCCAAGGAGACGGACCGTCGAGACGGAGTCGTGGCGGCTTAAATGAAATAGCAGCGCTGCGCTCTTATCTGGATTTACTTCGAACCTCCAGCGGCGGAACCAGGCGCCTATGGCGTCGGCCGCTATCTGGAGGCGACGATGGATTTGATCTTTAGACCGTGAACTGGTGTAAATCGCGGTGTCGTCCGCGTACAGCGCGAGTTCCACTGCCGGAGTACGGGGAATATCGCTAGTGTATAGCGCATAGAGGAGGGGCGATAGCAAGGAGCCCTGAGGGACGCCCGCTCTGACCGGGCGGGGGGAGGAAAGAGTGCCCTCCACTCTGAAGCGGAAAGTACGGTTCGATAAGTAGTCTCGTAAGATGTGAACGAGACTGTCCGACACTCCTATGTTGCGTAGCTTATGTAATAAGCCGTTGTGCCAGACTTTATCGAACGCTTTCGCTATGTCGAGGAAAATAGCCGCTGAGCATCTTCTGTAACTGGATCTGACTTTACGTTGTAGTAAGTACTCCGATAGGCGGTGCACTTGATGGACGCTAGAATGATTAGCTCTAAAGCCAAACTGTCCATGGGGAAGGAGGGACTTAGATTCGACTACCTCTTGAAGGCGAGTCAATATGAGTTTTTCATAAACTTTGCCTAGCGCGCTTATAAGACTTATAGGGCGGTAACTGGCGGGCAAGTTGCTAGGTTTACCCGGCTTGCGAATACCTATCACTACGGCTTCTTTCCACTCGTCTGGGAAGGAGCAGCATAGCAATAGGGCATTGAATATGGTGACTAGAAGGGATACGAACTGTCTCGGTAGGGATTTAATTATTTTATTATTTATTCGATCTGGCCCCGGGGCCTTCTTAGGGTTTAACCCTTTAATTACCGACGTAACTTCGTCGTACGACGTCGGGCGAAGCGGTGCGCCCGAGGGAGGCATGGCGGCCCATGCTGCGACCTCCGAGTCTATCGCGCGGACGTGACCCGGGTCACACGGTTGAGTGCTGGGCGAGCATTGCGATTCAATACTATCTGCAAGACATTCTGCTTTCTCCGAGTCGTCTGACGCGAGGGAGTTGTCTGGTTTTATCAGAGGGGGCATCGTGGAGAGAGACTCGTCTCTAAAAGCCCTAGACAGCGCCCAGAAAGCCTGGGACGATGGCTCGAGCCCCTCGAGGAGCCTATCCCACGAATGCCCTCTCAACTCGTCGAATCTAGCCCTAACTTGTCTCTTGAGATTATTTAGCGCACTGCGGTTTCTCGCGCACGGGTATGAGCCGTGGGCTCTATTAGCTGCGTTCTTGCGTCTTATTAAATTCTTTAGGTCGCGCGGGACCTTGAAACGCCCGTCCGGGGGCACTGTTATGACGCGAGAGCAATCCTCTACGGTATTGTTAACGAAGTCGGTGAATTTACTGGCCGCCGCCTTCGCGAGTTCGGCGGATTCGATAATGTCTGGTATTTCATCATGTAATGGTGAATCTTGTGACCGAAAAAGTTCGGCGAACTTTTTCCAGTCTACAATTTTTCTGGTCAGTGGGCCTGAAGGTCGGTCGTGACCTAATTTAACGATTACTGGCCTGTGATCTGAATCTAACTCGGGTAACGATTCCACGGAGCGCAGTCGCAAGGCTACGTTCCTTAGAATCACTATGTCTAATACCTCAGGTGTGCCAGAGTGGCCAAAACGAGTGGGCGTCAGTGGGCCTATTACTTCGAAGTTAAGGGATGGGTGGCTGGCCAACTCATCGAGCACTCGACCCTTGGGGTTAATGCGCGATGAGTGCCAGCGCGTGTGTTTGCAGTTGAGATCTCCGGTCAAAATGACAGAGTCTCCCATGCCGAGTAGCGCCCTAATGTCGCTCTCTAGCACTGCTTTGTTGGGCGAGAGATATATGGATGCAATAATGATCGGCTGATGGCCCGTCATGTGAACCTGACATACCGACGCTTCGATGTTCGCTAGTGGCGGCGGATCTAAGGGGACGCAGTGTAACGTTTTCTTAAAATAAATGAGAGTTCCGCCTCCCCTGTTGGCGGTTCTGTCATTCCTAATCAATCTGTAATTCGCAATCTTCGGATCGCGCGTAGCTGGTTTTAAGAACGTCTCTTGTACGCAGAGAACGTCTATACTATAGTTTGATGTAAAATCGCGAACTAATCCTATATGAGTTTTAATGTTATTCGCGTTGTACGTGCAGATAGTAATACCGCGGGGTTTTGTTCGCCCTAGCCGCGAATCGGATGTACGAATTATTGTGTTGTTTGCCGCCATTAGAGAGTTAATATGCGGGGGCTTGGAAGCTCGTGATCGCTTCTATAAGGCCTGCGTGTTCGATCGCGGCCTGCATACGCGCCTGAGGGGCGCCGTTTGTTGCTCGTATTTTGTTCGCGAACACGCTAAGTTCACGAATGTCGAATGAACCGACGAAGTCCATTACCACTGAGAGGTCAGAGGCCAGGGACTGATTCGCCGGCATCGCGGGAGCTACGCGAGCCCTGGGCGGGAGCAGCGCGGGCTGCTGGGCCGGGATTGAGCGCGAAGCAGGCGCTTGCGCCGGTCGCGGTGCCTGCGTCGGTTGCGGCGCGGGCCTAGGGGCTGGTGTCGGGCGCGTTTCCGGGGCCGGGGTTGCCGGCTGCGGCGCGGTGGGAGCGGCTGCTTTAAACCACGCGTTCGTGGTCGGGGCCGGTGCGGGCACGTACACCCGGGGTGCTGAGGGCTCCCTGGGTGCCTGCTGAGTATGGCGGGGGGGCCTCGAAGCCCTCTCTTTTTTCGCCCCCTTACGCGTAAGCTTGCGCCTGCGTGGGGCCCGGGAGCATCCGCGGTAATTCGCGGGATGCCCCTGGGTCTCGCACAGAACGCAGCTGGGCGGCACATTGGGGTCCGGGACCTTGCGCGGACAATCCACGGTCGCGTGGTCGTCTAGGCATTTCACGCACCTCGGGCGCGCGAAGCAGTTTCTCGCCGAGTGGCCGTATAGCTGACAGCGATGACACTGTCCTATTTCGCCAAGCGCGTACGGTGGCACTACTTCAATGCCTGTGAGTCGGCAAACGGATTTTATATTGAAGATTTTCTTCCCCTCCGGCGAGAGGTCCAGAATCACGAGCACCATGTCGAATGGTGCTTTATTTTTTCCACCGTACATGCGGTGGACTTCGCGAACTGGGTATGCCTGCGACTTAAGGTCGCTCGCGACGTATTCGCAGCTAAGTTCTTTAGGTATGCCCTTGATGACGACGCGCAGACGGCGCTCGTCTTCCAGAGCGTAAGTGTGAAAACTAATATTTTTCGCTCTTAAATGAGCGGTTAAAGATCGATGGTCGTTAGGCGACCCTAACTGAATTTTTATCCCGTGCGGCATAGACTTTGCCGACGTAAAATTCACTTTCTGGGCAAGCATCCACGCGGAGACGCTATCCCAGGCAGACTTGTCCTGTAAAATTACAGGCGGCGGGGGTTTTACTTTGCGCGCTTCGGGCGCGGCCGGGGCGGATGACGTCATCGGCGCTTGTGACGTCACCGGTGACGCGGCGGTTTTGGCGCGAACTGGGCGCGTCGGTGACGCTAGCGACGCTCGCTTAACAGGGAGCGACGTCTTAACGCGCTTCCCCTTGCGCTTTTTTGAGACGACGGTCTCGAACCCGTCGTCATCAGTTACTTCCGAGCTGGACTCGGTCGCGGACTCTGCTTCCATACGGGAAGCTTCACTATGAGCCGGCGAGGAACGGCCGGACTCAGACGGGCAGGAGCGGGGCGACGCCTCTACGCTCGATGATTCGGGGTTTTCGCGCGAAACTATCTCCCGGGGTACGACCGCGTACACCTCCGGGTAAAATTCGCGTAGGAAGGCCAAAAGGCCCTCCGAACTAGCGTTTTTGGGGTCCATCTTCTCTGGACACCCACTCGCGGGCTAAACTTATAAACTAGCACCTTAAATCTAACACTTTTCCTATCGTCCCCCTTGCCTCGGGGCAGGGGGGGTGAGTAACGGTACCTAAGTCCTCGCCTCTGGTGAGAAGCGTAGGTTGAGTATAATCTGCACTCCACTTACCTCCCAGGTGTTACCCTGATCCTTTTTCGGAAATATCAGCCGCCGGTAACGGCAGCGGGCAGCAAAAGTCGTACTACGTTGCAGCGTCCTGGCAGCGGGCATAGACACGTCCGCTCGGGTCGGCGCGCGAAGAGCGACTCTCATGATTTACATACAAAATGCCCTAATACTTATTCTAGCATTAACACTGGCAATAGGCATACTACTAAACGAGATAAGATAATTTCCTTAATTCTAATTGGTTGCTTTATACAATGCAAGAGGGGGGCATCTATTGCGCGTACATGATACTTTGCGTGCACATAGATTTGTTAGAGAGAGACGGACATATGCTACTATCGCCGTCGGGGGCGGTCGTGGTTCGTCGGGCCCGTCGTCACTCGTTGCTCGTCGTCCGTAACAGTTCTCCCCCCGGCGCAGCGCTGCGAGCCTCCTCCTTCACGAGCACGACGAGCTTCGTGACGGGACGCTTGAAGACTCCGGTCTTCGTCTGGATATCCGCTACTCGCACGCCGCCATCAGGTCCCCTGTAGATTTGCTTTACGATTCCCATAGGCCACACGTTGCGTGGCAGGATGTGGTCGACTATGACCACGATGTCTCCTTGCTGTAGCTGCTTGGTGTTGTTTGTCGGCTCGCCGCGAGGAACGAGAGTTGGTAGGTACTCTCGCACCCATCGCTGCCAGAAGTGGTCGGCGAGCGCCTGGCTGGCCCGCCAGGTGCGTCGATCGTCGTCGGTGCATGGCCCAGTGATGGGTAGGCCAGCAGATGATCCCAACAAGAAGTGGTTGGGTGTCAGTGCCTCCGGGTCGTCTGGACTCACGCTTACGTGAGTCAGGGGTCGGGCGTTGATAGAGTACTCCGCTTCGACCAGCAGAGTCCATAGTACTTCCTCCGTCGGCTCCTTTTCCTTTAAGGTGGAGGCTAGTGCGACTTTCACTGACCGCACTAGTCGTTCCCATGCGCCCCCTTGGTTCGGGGCACCTGGAGGTATGTAGCGCCACTCCATACGATGAAGTAGGCCCTCTTCTTTCAGTGCTGGCGCCCATTCGGCGTAGGCGGCCCGCAGCTCGTTGTCGGCGCCTCGGAAATTCGTGGCGTTGTCTGAGTACATAGTGCTCGGCCATCCTCTTCTTGCTGCCATTCTTCGCAATGCCATGATCGCCGAACTCGTAGATAATGATGAAACGATCTCTAGGTGTACGGCGCGCGACGTGAGGCACGTAAACAACGCACCCCATCTCTTCTCTCGAAGTCGTCCTATTTTGACCATCATAGGTCCGAAGTAATCCACCCCACAGTGAGTGAAAGGGCGGCGAAATGGTTCGAGGCGAGCGCGGGGCAGGTCTCCCATCGACGGGACCTGGGGCTTCGCTCTTCTTACTCTGCAGAGGGCGCACTCCCTTTCTATGGTGCGCACAGTAGGCCGTAGGTGTATAATCCAATATCGCTGCCTCAGATCGTTGGTCACACGCTCACGGTTAGCGTGACCCGCAGCGCAATGCTCTCGTAGCACTATGAGCTTAGTAATGCGGTGGCGTCCGTCGAGGATGATGGGTCGCTTCACTTCGAGCGGTGCAGTGGCGGCTCCTATACGGCCTCACACCCGCAATATTCCCTCCTCTAGCACTGGATCCAGCCGGAACAGTCGGCTCGCCTTGGGAAGTGGATGTGAGGCCTTCATCCGTAGCAGCTCTTCTCGGAAGCTGTCTTTTTGAGCGCGGCGTATGAGTGCGCGCTCGGCCTCTTCGATGTGTCGATGCTCCAGTCCCGTAGCCCGACGCCGACACTTGTCCACGAACACTAACACCCTCGCGGCTGCTCTGACCAGTGTCTCGAACTTGGAGAAGCGCGCAGGATCCGGCAACCACTCGTCGCCCTGCTGGTCCTCCGTGGTCACGTGCAGTAGGACCTCCTCATCCTCTGTCGATCGTTCGTCGACCGGCCATAGTTCCTCTGGCTGACGTAGGAATTCTGGTCCCCGGAACCATCGGTCGTCACTGGTGATGCGAGTGTGCGCAAATCGTGTAGCGTCGTCAGCTACATTATCGCTGGTCGGGACCCATCGCTACTCTTCTGGTTGTGTCAGCTCGGCCAACTCTCCGAGCCGGTGCGCGACGAACGGTGTATACCTCCGCGCATCGTGCCGTATCCAATGAATGACAGTTGTGGAGTCGGTCCAGTACATTGTCCTCTGGACCTCCACACGATGCTCTTTCTTTATAGTTTCCGCCAGTCTGGCGCCGATGACTGCTGCTTGTAGCTCCAGGCGAGGTATCGTTTGTGTGCGCCTTGGAGCCACCTTCGCCTTGGCGGTCACGAGGCTTACGGCAATTGCTCCATTGGGTCGGGTGACACGCCAATAAGCCACGGCTGAGTAGGCTTGCTCGCTGGCGTCACAAAATATATGTAGCTCCAGGCCCTGGTAACCCTCCAGGGCGTAGCAACGTTCCAGTCGCAGACAGGTGAGGTCGGGTAACTGCCGCAGCCACGCTTCAAACATTTCGTTTTCTTCTGCAGGAATTGGTTCATCCCACTCCATCTTCATGCGCCAAAGACTCTGCAGGATGATTTTTGCTCTTATTGTATAGTGGCTGAGCAGTCCCAAGGGGTCATACAAAGACATGACCGCGCTGAGCGCCTCTCGCTTGGTAGGCGGACGGGTCTGGGCGCGTACTTCCGCAGGAACTCGGTTCATTGAGGTATTGAACCCCAGCTCGTCCCGTTCGGCGTCCCAGTGCAGGCCAAGTATCTTGTTCTCGGGCCCGTCTCCTCCTAGTCGCGTCGGTGATGTCGCCCGCAGCTGCGTGGGCACGTCGCCAATCACTTCTTTTGCGTTGGTGTTCCATCCACGTAGGGTGAATCCAGCCGCTGCGTGCACCTCCCTGGTTTCCTGGATGGCGCGTCGAGCTTCTTCAGTGGTGTCGTAGCTCGCCACCAAATCGTCCATGTAGTGACTCCTCGTGATAGCTTCCAAGGCACGAGGATGCGTCTGCGCGTGCTCCTGCGCATTGTGATTTCGCACGTAGTGGGCCATGAAGGGTGAACTCGCTGCGCCAAAAATCATGCTCGTCATTTTGTAGTGGCGAGGTGGATTGTCTCGGTCGGCGCCCCTCCACAGGAACTGTTGTGCTGGTTGATCCTCCGGTCGAATCTTCACCTGGAGAAACATCTCCTGTATGTCAGCAGTGATGGCTACTGGTCGCTCCCTGAATCTGAACAGGATGCCTTGAAGCGACGTCAGTAGATCAGGTCCCTCCAGTAGGTAATCGTTGAGGCTGACCCCTCGGCTCTTGGCTGCTGCATCAAATACCAATCTTTGTCTCCCCGGCTTGTTTGGATTCTGCACGGCGAAGTGTGGTAGGTACCAACAGACCTTGCTTGAACGCTCCGTGCCGTTGCATGGCACAGCGTATCCTTTTGCAAGCAGGTTTTCTATCTGTTTGGTGTATTCTTTGGCGAAGGCAGGTGCGGCATCCATCTTCTGTTCTATCTTCGTAAGACGGCGAAGTGCTGTGTCGAAACTAGGTGGCATCTTAATGTCGTCTTGTTTCCAGGGCAATCCCACCTGGTATCCACCTTCGACCTTCTTTAAGGTTTGCTCGACGATCTTTGTTGCCTGGGAGTTCACCTCGCTCACCCGTGACTTGTGAGCGATGCCGAGCGCGTCGATCCGAAAATGTTCCTCCACCAGGTCATGAAGGCGTTGATCTTGCTGCTTCTTCAAGCCTCCACCAGGTTCGACAGTGAATACATGAAGAACGCCATCCTGGTTGTGGATTACGCTGCGTGGTGCTGTTCCATGTACCACCCAGCCGAGTTGTGTTCTAGAGGCGGCTGGTTGATTCGGGCCTCCAACTCGCAGTTCTCGGGATACAATATACTCCCAGTGGTCTGTCCCCACCAGGATGCCAGGGTGTGCCTGGTCGTAGCACACTTCCTCCTTTGGCAGATCTCGTAGGTGCTCTTGCTTCAGTAACGCGCTGGGAATGGACTGCTGGTGAAGCTTCATGTTCTTGATCGTTCGTGCTCGAAGCTTGTGTCTCTTTCCATCCTTCCCCTCCAGGTGTACCGTAACCAGCTGACTATCTTCCTCGTGCTGAGTCATGTTGACCCCGTGCATGTGAAGTGGTGTGAGAGGTCCCTTGGCGCCGATTTTCTTCGCCAGCTCTTCGTCGATGAGGGTGATGGTAGCCCCTTCGTCCATTAGAGCATAGGTCTTCTCCTCCCCCCGTGGCCCGACGACGGTGACTGGGCACATCTTCAGAAGAACCGCTTGAGTTGACACAGTGGCTTTGGTTGCCACCGACAGCACGGCTTCGGTTTCATTTATCAAGGGTTTGGGTGTCTTCTCCTCTCGGTGCAGGGTCGGATGGTGTGGACTGCGACACTCGTTCACACCGCATAGCTTCGCTTTACAATTGCTGCGTCTGTGCTTCTTAGTTATGCACTTGAAGCATAACTTCTTTTCCTTCACCAGTTCCCATCGTTCATCTAGCGAGAGCCCTTTGTACTTGGGGCACTGTGGCAGTGCGTGAGTCTGCTCACAGCTAGGACATTGGCTGACTTGTTCCTCTTCAGCTTCAGTCACGTTATACACGGCGCTCATCTTCTTCCTCTGGTTCCCGGTGTTCGTAGAGGGTCTGGTCTCCCTCCGGGTTGCAGCAGGTGTTGAGACGCTAGGTGGGGCATATGCATGCTTCAATGCCCGGTCTGCATCGCGCATGAGAAAGCGAGACAGCACTACAATCTCTGGTTGTAGTGTAACTTCATGTTCCTCGGCGTAGTCACACCAGCGTGCTCTGATGTGTGGACTCAAGTTTGTCCAAGACCTCTCTCGCAAGCATTGGGTTGTAGAGGTAGCCCTGGCGTCCGATGCTGTTCAGGATGCTGACTACGCTTTGAACCTTCACTGCAAAACTGTTCAGGTCTACTGCTGATGATCCGGGTCTCGGAAGCTTCTTTAATTCCAGGAAGGCTTGATCTATGATGACCTCAGGCCTTCCGAAGCACTGTTCGAGGGTCTTCATCACGACGTCAGGATCTGTAGCGGCATGTAACAGGCCGGCTACGACGTTTCTTGCTTCTCCCCGCAGGCAGCTCCTCAGTCTCTGCAGGTTCTCGTTCGCTGATATCTGGTATATCCTCGTAGAGTCTTGATAGGCTGCTCTGAACGACAGCCACTCGTTGGCTATTCCAGAAAAGATCGGTAGGTCAGCGCATCTTATCCTGGGTCTAGCCATCTTCTCCAGAGCTTCAGCCAAATGCTCAATCCCTGGTTTCCTTCTGGTTGGAGTGGGTGATCTTCCTCTAACGTTGAACCGGAGGTGTTGTTCCCCTCCCCTCCTTCCCTGCTCCTCCTCCTCCCCCCGTGCACTGACGGGGTTGGTGCGGAGCCATGTGTCCACCTTCTGTTGGTGGTCGAGGTTCTCTTCATGCAGGCTCTCCTGCTCCTCTTGGATATTGGTGATGTCTGCAGCCAGTCGCTTTCTGACGAGTTCAGCTTCGATCTCCAATTCCTTCTTCCTCAGGGCTGCAAGCTTCTCTGCAGCTTCAAGTTCTGCCAGCCGTACTCTAGCAGCCACGCTTGCCGTCGATCGCACTGAATGCCCTGGTGACCTGGTTCGGGGTCGGTCTCCAGTCTTCAAGGGTCTGTAGGCAGCAGAGGTTGTGGGGGCAGAGGCGTCGTTCGTAGCCCCTAGCCCAACCTCCGTATCCAAGGGCGTGGTTGGTGATGCTGGTGGATTCAGAGACAGTCTTCGTCTTCGCTCCAGTTCAATTTGTTCAGCTCCCTGGCTCCAATCTTCCACACGGGGTTGACCTTCCTGGTGTTGCTGTTCTTCCATGTGCTGCTGATCTTCCAAGCGTTGCTGTTCCCCTGGGCGGCGCAGATCCTCTGGGCGACGTAGATCCTCTGGGCGGCGCAGGTCCTCTGGGCGGCGCAGGTCCTCTGGGCGGCGCAGGTCTGGACGACGCTGATCTAGGCGGCGGGGGGTGCCAGGGCGGCGCGGCTCCTCTGAGCGGTGCGGCTCCTCTGGGCGGCGCTGGGCGTCCATCTCGGCAGCGTCTCCTTGGCTCCTGGTGATGACCATTCTTCAATACTGGATTGATCTTCTATCCGGGTCGGAGGGCCAGCTTGTAGTGGACTGTATTTATTTTTCTTCCTTCGATGTAATAAAACACTTCTTGAGTATAACTTGCTTTTATTTTACTTTACAATATTTGAACTGAAGAGAACACTTTATTCAACGGTAGTCAACTGAATACTGAATTTACATACAAAATGCCCTAATACTTATTCTAGCATTAACATTGACAATAGGCATACTACTAAACGAGATAAGATAATTTCCTTAATTCTAATTGGTTGCTTTATACAATGCAAGGGGGGCGCATCTATTGCGCGTACATGATTTGTTAGAGAGAGACGGACATATGCTACTATCGCCGTCGGGGGCGGTCGTGGTTCGTCGGGCCCGTCGTCACTCGTTGCTCGTCGTCCGTAACACCAATTGTGTTGATAATAATGTCTATTTCAATTACATTTTCCATCCGTCTGTCTGTGTGTGACCCCGCATCAGGGAAAAACGACAGGAGGGATGGATTTTGATGAAATTTGGTATGGTGATATAGGTGATTGTTCGGGTCAACTTATAGGATAGAAAACATCTAATACCTGAGAAATGTATATTAACGGTGCGAGGGGTACGGGCGGCAGCACCGAACTACCGTGCCCCCCCCCCCTGCTCTCTCCCCCCGGCCAACTCCCGTATAAAACTCGGGGCGCTTCTATTGGTCCGAATAATAAGTACACTGGTGCGCGTTCCGGCCGTTTACGCGTCGATAAGAGTGTATACTACCGCGCGCGACCGAGCAATTAGACATCATTTCAGTTCGCACCCTCGAACCGAACGTACGTACTCATCGACAATGCCACCCAAGACTAGCGGAAAGGCAGCGAAGAAGTCGGGCAAGGCCCAAAAGAACATCTCCAAGTCCGATAAGAAAAAGAAGAAGCACAAGAGGAAGGAGAGCTACGCCATCTACATCTACAAAGTGCTCAAGCAGGTCCATCCGGACACCGGTATCTCCAGTAAGGCGATGTCGATCATGAACTCTTTCGTGAACGACATCTTCGAGCGCATCGCCGCCGAGGCGTCTCGCCTGGCCCACTACAACAAGAGGTCCACGATCACGTCCAGGGAGGTGCAGACCTCCGTGAGGCTCCTGCTCCCCGGTGAGTTGGCGAAGCACGCGGTCAGCGAAGGCACCAAAGCGGTCACCAAATACACCAGCTCGAAGTAAATGGTCGTGTCGTCGTCATTGTACGTGCGCGCATCATTTCTTTACAAAAAGGCCCTTTTCAGGGCCACAAAACGATTCATATTTTGTACAGTTTCACGAACACGTCTCTCCCTCTCCTGACTCATCATAAATGGGCATATAATATATTATTCTTTTTGTTCGTTATGAAATTGATTATGACGATGATAATAATAATGATATTCCAAAAACATTGATCGTTTACATGTTGACGTGAATCAATGATAAACAATATTATTAGAGGGATTTTAGGAATAATCATTATCGTTAGGTAATTACTTAAAATGCCGCGCGCGCGCACGCACTAGCCCCTAATGACCCAAACATAATATTATTATCATTCCCTCCACGAAAATATATATGATTAAAGTACCTACAATAAATAGCAGATGATAAAAATGTCGAAAGTAAATATAATAAACACCAAAAATTAGCAATCAAACACAAACTCATCCCAGAGACACATACACACTATATTCTTATACAAATACACACCAAATTCCGTTCTCGAAAATACAAATTACAGACCGTGCTATACTGACAGACAAAAAGAAAACCATCCATTACAATAGACCGGATGTTACGCTCCAAGATAAAGTAAATAATATAGTGTATACATATTATAGATATAGCCGTACCTAATAATCACAATTTCATTAAAACACGACGACACAACCGAAAAATTCCAGACATATCACCAAACTCATATACAAAAACCAGCAATCAATCAATTTTAAATACATGCATGCATACATCGTTCGAAAATTCACGCACAGGCGGCAGACACTGATCTGTATCTTATCACACACACACCGAGCCCGCCCGCCCGCGCCCGACTGCCCGACTCCGATTTTTATTTTATTTTACTCTCTTTTCCTAAAGAAATCTGTCCTAAATAATTAACTTACTGTATAATTATTATTTCTACAACATACAATCATACATACATACATACCCGCACGTATTCGTTCGTTCGTAACATTTCGGTATTCTCGCGATCTAGAACGAGACGGAGATATATATAGAGCTCTATAAAGAGGCGATCTCTGCATGTTTTATAAGTATTCGTACCCCGACCGTCGTGACGAGCGTGTAGTGCGTACCGTACGTAACTGATAACCGATTTCAAACTATTCGTGTAGTGTCAGCGAGTGAGAGATGGCCCGTACAAAGCAGACTGCCCGTAAATCTACCGGTGGCAAGGCGCCCCGTAAACAGCGCGCCACTAAGGCTGCGCGTAAGAGCGCACCGGCCACCGGCGGAGTCAAGAAGCCGCACAGATACAGGCCCGGAACCGTCGCACTCCGTGAGATCCGTCGCTACCAGAAGAGCACCGAGCTCCTCATCCGCAAGCTGCCGTTCCAGCGTCTTGTGCGCGAGATCGCCCAGGACTTCAAGACGGACTTGCGTTTCCAGAGCTCCGCCGTGATGGCCCTCCAGGAGGCCAGCGAGGCCTATCTGGTCAGTCTGTTCGAGGACACCAATCTGTGCGCGATCCACGCCAAGCGTGTCACCATCATGCCCAAGGACATTCAGCTGGCTCGCAGGATCCGCGGAGAACGCGCCTAAACGAACGCGCAACGCGATAATAATGATGATAATTCCAATGTATGCGAACGTTCGTTCGGTGAATTGTTGTTGTTATTATTGTATAAAAAGGCCCTTTTCAGGGCCACAAATTAATCTGTATTAAAATTTGGTTTCATACGTGTACACAGAGTTCGTCTTAGTTATAATATTATTACATTTTATATACATACAAACACACATACATTATGTACACAATGGAACAGAATATTGTTCAACATAATAAATGAACACAAGACCACGCCACTGGTCTACTCTCTAATCTATAGGTGCTCATATAAATAAATAATTATTATTAAAAGAATAACGTTACGTATACATACTTACTTTATTGGTTTTATATAATATGAATATGACAAAAATTCGTTACACGGAAATTATGTGTACGTTCGTCCTAACGACGCGTACACACGCTACGATAGCGGTCGAAATGAATTATTATTATTATATTGTATGTATAAGAAAAATAATATTATAACATACATACATATTTACTCAATTTTAACGGGGGATAACTTAAAACAAATGAACTAGACTTTATTATTGTAGATAAACACACATACGCAGTATAAATATAAAATTATTATTATCTATATATTAAAACGAGCTATATTTTATGATGTATGATGTGAAGGTATTATTGTTCGCGATATATTTACGCGAGCATATTATTATTATTTTACAATATACGTTTAATTTGAACAACAAGAGCATGCGCATCACCTCTTCCCCCTAACCGCTATGTCGACGAACTTTGTCGAACGTGGACGACGCAGAGTCGTATCGCGGACACGGTGCGATAGTATATAAAAGGGGACGTAACCGCATTTCGAAATTCAGCACCCAGCCTGGAACGCCGCTATCACCTGCACCGCCGGCAGGCGCCTCTTCACGGACTCGGAAAGGCACCACTACTTCACCACCGGCCCAGAAGTACCAACACATTACCCCTGGACGATTAGCAGCTCCCCCGATGTCATCGACTTCGCCGTACACAAGGGATTGCCTCATTTGACGCTGGAGGTGATCCCCGATGACCATGGATCGGACCACATGCCAGTGCTTGCCACCATCCCCACTACGCCACTCCGTGCAGGCTTGCTGCCAGCCAAGGGACGAACCAATTGGGATATGTTCGCAGACCTGATGACCCGCAACTCTCCCTCAAGGATTGAGCCCCTTGAGGGAGACGAAGACATCGACGCACTGGCCTCCAAGCTGTCCGAGGCTATCACCGAGGCAGTCGAGGAAGCCACCGCCCCCGCTAGCAACACTAGACGACTACCACCACCCCCTCCTGAACTGCGCCGCCTCCTCGAGGAAAAGAGGAGTACACGGAGACGCTGGCAGACGACCCGGGACCCCCTTACCAAAACACGACTGAATCGGCTCGCCGAGCGAATCAAGAGTGTGCTGGAAGACGCCTCAGCCGACAGCTGGGATCGACGTCTGGAGGAAGCCGCTGACGACACGACATCACTCCATCGGTTGTGTCGTCAGCTCTCCAAGAAGAAGCCGCCCACGCGACCCTTGCTCCGCACCGACGGCTCCCGATGCTATGACTCTACGGAGAGAGCAGAGATTTTCGCCGAACACCTGGCAACTCAGTTCTCTCCTAACCCCAGTAGAGATCCACGATTCCACGCAGAAACCGAAGCCGCCGTAGCTGAATCTCTCCGCACGCCAATACCGCCTGAGGAAACCCCTCTCTTTTTATCACCCTCCCAGGTGCGAAAAGGGATCGCGGGTCTGAAGCCACGCAAAGCCCCGGGACCAGACGGAGTGACGAATGGGGCACTGCGTCACCTACCGCGCCAGACCATCGCCACACTGGTCCGGCTCTTCAATTCAATACTAAGGACAGGACACTTCCCCGAGCCTTGGAAGAAAGGCGTGATCATCCTTATACCCAAGCCAGGGAAAAGCCCACTACAGCCGGGCAATTACAGGCCGATTACCCTCCTCTCAGCGATGTCCAAGCTGTTTGAGCGACTCCTCCTGTCACATCTCCGGGCGCATTTCCAACCGCGCCCCGAACAGTTTGGATTCCGCAGCGGCCACTCGACGACACTCCAGGTGGCTCGAGTACTCCACCATGTCGCCGCAGCACTCAACAAGAAGGAGAAGATTGTTACCGCATTCCTCGACATCGAAAAGGCCTTCGACAGAGTCTGGCATGAGG